TCTATGGGGTATTTGGTAATGGTTGGACATCCCTTGTTTTGTTCTAGTAGGCCATATACCTCGCTCAGTACTCTCGAAAATCCCTGGGTCGAACATTATGGCAGCCTAGTCATTACCTCCTACAAACACTCCAATTTGGATGTTTTACACCAGTTATTGTTAACCAGTCAGGACAATATTTATTTTCAGGGTTTTAAACCATAATCATACCTGGTGTCACCATCTTCTATCGTAATCACTCTAACTCTCCTGATAATGTGTCAGATTTCCATCAATAGAACAGTTAGCGTCCTCCCACCTTAAGTTCGGATACTGATTATCGAAATCCCCAGCTATGGTGGTTTGATAATAGCTCAGGTCTTGCACCATCACTAATATGCCTGTTGCCATTCGATCCCGCTTCATGGGGCGGGAGTCAGTGGGTGTCCCAAAAATGGACGCCCAGCGTGGCAAATGGAGTAGTGCCTCTACAACACAGTATGCTATGGTCACAGATGTTGTAAGTGGTTGAAGAACTCAAGAGGATAGAGAGAGCAACCAAGTTGGAAGAGTGTCTCCATAATCATTTGTAAGGCATTTTAATCTGTTGAATGGTAAATGTCCTCCGGTTTTTTAATAGGTATGCTCACTTCGCTTGCCCTCTGCTGTTCTCTGAGAAAGAAAGGTACATAAACACCGTTTCCCACGACACATGTCATCGTTTGGTAATTTGAGTAATCGTTCTTATAGAAAAGTGTGTTTCCAAAGTGTCACCGTCTTCAACCTAAGAGTTCGGAAGGCGAAATGCATCCATTTCAGTTGCTTACTAACCCCTAGACAACTCCGTCCTCTTTCGAATTAACTCATGTGTTGCGTTCGGTTCTCTGCTAGAGTTTTCACCTGGCTCCAAGTCTGCCCACACGTTTTCATCTCCTCTTCACATGATCTCCTCCAGGTCACCCTTGGACGACCAACTCGTCGCTTCCCTTTCGGGTTCCACTCGAGCAATGGCTTGTCTAGTGATGTCACTTGCTGGTTTCCTCAGAGTGTGGCCAATCCATTCTGAGGAAACCAGCAAGTGACATCACTAGACAAGCCATTGCTCGAGTGGAACCCGAAAGGGAAGCGACGAGTTGGTCGTCCAAGGGTGACCTGGAGGAGATCATGTGAAGAGGAGATGAAAACGTGTGGGCAGACTTGGAGCCAGGTGAAAACTCTAGCAGAGAACCGAACGCAATGGAGACGCATGGCTGAAGCCCTATGTTCCTCTAGGCACTAAAGGAAATAATAATAATACATGTGTTGAATGAGCAAAACAATACCTTTTGCTCAATACTTTGTTGGCATCAATTGGGGTTACCTTCTTCATGTAGTTATTCGGAGAACCTGGGTAAGATCAGTTCTGCTCTCAGCACCGTTACAGTGCCAAGTGAAAATCAAGTGCTTTGCGCTTGATTGTCAGGTAGCTGTTGGGGAGAATATTACTGAGTGAAAGCTGGTTATCTGATTCAAGTGAAACCGACACAAGCAAGCTTGATTTTGTAGTCCTGCTGACATGAACAGATAACCACCATGGTCAGCTTCTTCACATCGTAACTCTATGGGATAAATGAGGCTTGGGGATGCACGATGAGCCCCGTTCGCAGCTTCCTTGATCTTCAGGGTAGATTGAGATTGGTAGCACTTAAGGTTCCCGCTAAACGTGACTTTCAACACAGACTGCTTATGCAGTAATTTGATCAGTGGTTGCGGCGGGGCGAATTTCGCAAAGACCGACCGTGATTATGTCATTGATGTGAGGTGAATAGGATAAGACATCTTGCGAAATTTCCAACGCCAGGATTATGCTTCCGGCGGACATAATTTTTTTGGCAGTGGCTGTAGCGGCGTCAACACAATGGTGGTGCATGGTAGGGAGTCAGTCAACTTTGTAGCCGAGTGCATGTCTAGCAAGATGGGTGGTCACCTACATGTACTGCCGTTTCTACTGATCGTTTTGTGACCAAAAATATTCTGGAGATTATTAACTATCAATGTAGCAGTCACTGTTATCCAGCACTTTCGGGCCTGAAAAATGTTTACAATTTTACTTATTCGTGACATGCTGCTTAATTATTGTGCACATGCAGTGAAATTTAGAATGACCCAGACAATTTTTTGAGTCTGAAAACAGTGAAGTCATACCATTTTCAGCTCTTCAAACAAGTAAGAAACTTACTGAGTTATGTAAGGGTTCGTAACCCTTATAAGTGTATCACACTTCACACTCCAGAACATTTCATGATCTGGGGTTTTTCTGATTATGTCAGCGAAATCATGACCAGACTTGTTCCGAAATACCTAGTGCCAAACAGAAATATTTTGAACTGGTCCAGAGGAGAGTCTCAATCGATGTGTCTGACTTCAGGAATAGAAACGTTCAGAAAAATCTTGTTTTGATTTTCTTAACACGCTGGGATTAATTTAAATAATTTATAATGTAACGTATGATTCATTCAGCAGAATTAGCCGAGATCCAGACAGCGAAAGCGAGCGAACGCAGAAGATTGAGAACATTCACAACATCAGAATTTGCAGCATGAAAATTTTCTCCAATGGTACACCCCTGCTACCTTATTGAACACTACTCATGCGTTCAATATAGAGGGAGGATTTAAAAAAGTCATCCCATGAAGGCTTCTTGAATATTGGGGAATGCCGAAATTCATGAGTCACATCTGAGAACACTTCCAGACGTTCTCAGTTGTACTGCCGGTATTAGGGACAGGAAGACAGTGCATTCCAGTATAACATACATTGAGCATCGTAGAGCGATTCCTTTCTCTTCATTTCTTCCACAGTAATTTAGAGGCGCAGCCCCTTGACATTGTTCTCAGTGATTACTCATGGTTGGATAATATGGTGTTGATTCCTTTAGTGGTACGCAACATCCAGCCAAAAGCGTTTGGTGATAGAAATGATTTCTCCCCAACGTTTTCTATACGAAGGGCATCAGTGTATAGGTATCGCTGACAATTTTGAGTATGTCGCGTATTTGTCTTTCGAGATAATAACAGGAGTGTATATCATCAACCAGAAGGTACTTCGCAAGACAAAGCGAAAACACTAAGTTTTCCGTCTAGGTTATTTTTATTCTGGGATCAATAATGCTAAATTACGGTGTGTGATTAGCTTGGTAAACATCGTTCAGAAACAGATGAGTGAAGGGTGACATTACGTTAAATGGTGACAGTGCTCGGCTGAGTGCATTCTGCCTAACCATTCCTCTGAAACGGTGAAAGTTAGCAGCCAATATGGAATTTCACTACAGCTACAGTATACCTATTCAGTGGATTTATGTAACACCACAGCCATGAGACTTGCAGTTTGAGAAGATATTTTCTTGAATGCTAGGCGTTAGCGACAATAAAACAGTCGACACTTTCCGAAGATGCTTGTGTTTTATAGAGCGTAATCCTTCTGGAATAGCTGAAGCTAGTGCGTTATACCTGGTGATTTCAAGTATTATCTGAAAGATATCATAAAATTATCACTGACTGGAGGGTTTTAGACCTACCATGTCGTCTAAGCTGACTGACTCTTCTGTACACTGACGACGTGAAGATATGGAGGTCAATAAAGTGTTCAGAAGACTCAGATAGGCTGCAGGCAGATTTAAATATTCTAGAAGACTAGCCAATGGTCAGTGGTATGACTTTCAACCTGAAAAAGTGCAAAGTAGTGAAACTACGCACATGTAGGCTGCAGAATGCAAGTTGAACCATGTGCAACGAAAGGTTGTCCTACACAAAGTTGGAGCGTGACTTAGGTCTAGTTCTAACAAAAGATGGACACTTACATGAATTACTCGGGGGACGTAGTGACGGCAAATGCGGTCATACACTTTACACATGGACAGTTAAGAGCACTCATTCCTCAGTCCTTTCTAAGGTTGTACAAAACATACGTCAGATCACATCTTGAAGTGCACAATATCTTTGCACCTTCACTGCTTAGAAGAGACGTCAACATCTTAAAAAGAGTCTAAAGACGGGCGTCAGAAGGAGTGGTTGGTCTCCGAAATAAACCGTGTGGTGAAAGGCTAAAGAAATTAGGCCTAGTCACATTTAGCTACCGTCGGCTTAAGGGGGACTTGATTACTGCTTATAAGATAACAAATGACCGGAATCACTCAACAAAGGTGTTCTGCCATTAAGTACGTTTGGGCTTCCTCGTGGGAATCCACAAAGGGTAGCATACTGGAGGGCGAAGAATCGAGTGCAGTCTTATTTCTTTTCACTTCGAGTTTGCCGTCCATGGAACTTTCTGTAGGCAAATATGGCTACTGCATCGTCTGCGGGCAGCTTTAGACAAAGCTAGACAATCATACAGCGATGCACGGATTGCATTCAAACGGTCTATCCCCTTGAAATCTCAAACACTACTAATGTGTAGACATCTAAGTTCATTATTTTACTTCTTCACATCCTCTTTTGTTTCACTCTACTTATTACTCCAACTACTGCATCCCTTACACTTGTTATCATGGATATTATATGCATATATATGTATGTATACATCAACTTCACATTTAATTGGCTGTCTCTTTTATGTTTTCTTTATTTCTTTTTCTGTGTTTCAGTCCGAATAACCTACACTAATTACTTCTGGTATTATTATTTCTTTTTTTGACAACGATACCGGAGGACTAACGGGTCAAAGGATCCACTGCATTCACAGTAGCAACGAAGTCTTAACACACTGCATACTACGAACAACATATAATTAATGCCAGTCAACCAGAGCTACGACAGTTGAGTGGTGGGACGAACTACGCAGAAGCTTAGCAAAGACCAGGGACCTTTACCTGATAATCAAGAAGTGAGGACAAAGAAATCAAATTGGCTTAAACTAGTTAGTACAAGTGATATTGGATATTGGAAACAATCAAGAAGCGAGCTCAACGAAATCACTGGTTTATACTAGCTCGTAATCAGGATATTGGATATTGGATAATGTACAGTAACATTTTGTTTTAAGCATTATCAACGACTCGCCGCTCTATGTGAATTTTCTAGGAAAGATAAATGATCACGTTATCTGTAAGGCTGCTCTATATTTTCTTTAATTTATTATAGTCGAGAATGACAGAAGCTTTGCCATCTGTCCGTAATCCTCCTGAGTTTGGCAATGCTCACTGTGACCGTAGCACATTTGTTACGGTTACAGCTGAAAATACCTTTGATATTTCAAGAGTTCTGAAATTAATTTCTGATCCTCATACAGTGAGTTTCTTATTTTCAAATAATCATTTATAGGATTTCATGTATGAGAGGCACAAAATCGCTTTAAGAAACCTAAGAAATGCGAACATTTTCGGAATAGTATCCTTTCTAAATTATTATTTCCGAACATTCTGAATCAATATTATTAATTATTAATGATAATCAAACCATTTTTACTACATTCTGTGATAATTTATGACTCATGCATTTATAAGTGGGAAAAAGTGGGCTATTTTCAAAAATGGGCAAAGTGGGAAAACGTGGACTATTTTCAAATGTATACATTTAATTATATTCATTTGTGTTCCTTTGTGTTACCTATTCCGGAAGTTGGTAATTTTTTGTGTTATAACGCTTGATATGAAATATATAGGTTTCTCAAAACGTACATCACATATGATTCTGCATACATTTTTGGTAACCTAGTGGTTAAAAGTCACAGTAATGTCATATAAATAAATCAGCAGTCAAATTGTGTAGAAATGCATCAATACTTTCCTGATATTAAATAAAGAAAATGTTCAGAATCCTAAAGATAATGAAATTAAGTACGTCAATCCTTTTTCCAAACGTCATAGGCATTTACCACTGTGCGTCGGTGGCACAGTGGTTAGGACTCTCGCCGACCATGCACATGGTCCGGGGTTCGATCCCCTGCCGGCGCACACCCGATATCTATGGTCGGCCTGTAAACTTGGGCTACCGATATCCATGCTGAAAATTCCATACTTGTACTGAAAATACTGTGTGGCATCAAGCTGTAATCAAAAATAAAAAAATTTAACTCCTGAAACCTCATTTTATACAGTCTATATATTTATATATATAATTACAACATTAAAATCGAAACTTTCGTGATACAGTAGTTGTACTAGCATCGGATCCTCTACCTTTTGGACAGCCTCGTAAAAAGCAAATGGTGACCTCACTGAACAGTTTTATTCTATTTCTTTGGACCAGCAGTCATTAAAAATATATCTTACATATAAAAGGTTGTCAAAGAATAACAAACCTAAATGTCGATATGTTCAGATAACTCATTGTTATCATTTTTTTCTGAGTAAGAAAAATAGTTACATGCTTTCTATCATTAAAAAAGTAAAATGAGACTAGACTTCACCCTACTGGTCGAGCTTTATGCAGTCATCCAGCAACATAATATGAGAAAAGCATTAGGTTTGTTTTGTTTTTCAAGAGTATGCATGAAACTCGTTTATGTGATTCGGGATAAAAATATCTATGTTTTTTATAAATATGTTGGTTCACTCAATTTTCTATGATCCGAAGTATTAACAGCTAATTTCCTATTAAAAATACAATATATTCTCCCAAAAAAATATAGAAAATACGTGATCTTATACATTACTGTAATATTTTAAATATCTGTGCAAAACGAGTTACACATTTATCGGACGTTTATCATCACAGTTTAATTGAATTGATAAAGTTATGTGGCAATCCATTTTTAAAAAGCTTAAGTTCAGATGAAGTGAACTACTTCAGTGTAGCTGTCGATTTCATGAATCATTTCGGTATATTTGTTTGGCTCTCATTTATGTTATATTATATTATTTTGTAAAAATTAATAATTATAGGATACCTTTTACGTGTAAAGAATGAAGAGATTTCTTTGGCTGTTTGTCATGCTTTGGAGAAATTTTATTTCATGAAAGACGCTTTAAATCAAATACCTGAAGGTAAACGAATTTAAAAAAATTTCTGTTTAATGTATTTTTGTTCAGATGGTAATAGAAGTTAGTGTTTTAACACTAAGACTTAGGCATAATAATGTCAGTGAGTCCCATATGCCAAAGTTGTCTTGACGGCAGTAGCCGAATACTAGATTTGAACTTATGAAATTCTGTGTCCATGTCACATGGTCAGTGTAAAGTATTTTTTTTCAAAAAATAAAGATTGAAAGTGGAAGAAATCAGAAGTGCTTACACGGAGTCGGTATTTAAATCAGATTCAGAAATCACTGTAAACTACGACTGTATTGAAACTGTTAATCAGAGAAACATTATAATATGTACTGAAGATTTATGTTAATATCAGAGAGAAAAGTTTCAATGCTGAGATCGTGCTTCAAGATCTCATTTTAGATAAGATTTTATTTTGATAAATCACAGTGTTATACAGTAATATTATCTGATGACGTTTCGGCCACAAACTATTGTTCATAATCACATCAAGTCACTCACACAACTTCCTTCCTTCATTTATATACATGAGCAAAAACTGATTAGACACTTGAATTTAAATCGACATAAGATGAAGTTTATCTGGAACGAGTATTAATGCTATCAATCAAATACAATAAGATGGGAAATAAGGTGTTATATATTATATTATTTTGTTTAATTGGGTCCACCGGATATTTTAGCTTACAGAGCTGAGCGAATGCCACCGTAATTACTGCTTTATTGAGAATCCTACGTAGGGCCTCAGATGTCCCCTCCTTATATGACATAACAGTAGATGACTTATATTCTCCCTTATTCATGTTATCATAATTAGTTTCACTATTATTTTTATTTCGCTTTTGACCTTTTTTATGCTTCTAATGAATCTTATAGGATAGTTATTCAACACCAGCGCCTCTTCTATCTCTTTCGTTTCACCGTTTAGGTCTAATTCTACTCTAATCAATTCCACTCATGTATATAAATGAAGTAAAAAGTTGTGTGAGTAGTGCTTTGATATGATTATAAACAACAGTTAATGCTCAAAACGTGGTCATCAGTTAATATTACTGTATAACACCACTGTGTGACTTATCAAAATAAAATCTTATCTATAATGGAGTTATACGTTACCACTGTGCCCAAGTTTTATACCTACATGCTTTAAGATATTCAAAAGAAGGTACTTATGATATTTGGGATTACTTTATTGTATACCCAATTACTTATAACGATGTATAAACCATGTCTGCTGTATAGGCAAGAATCACGCACTCACCAGCTACTTATAACAAAATTCACATCAGATTGTTTTCTGTATCTAACATAGTCTTGAAGAGCATTGTATCCATAGTTTTGAATAATATTAGTGAACTATACTTTAACGCTTTTATACGGCAGAATAAGTGACGCTACGTAGAAGAACGTTCAAAATTTAGTTTCTTTATAATCTGTAAATTAAGAGTAATTTTGAATTTCTGCTCTAAAAAGATTCTAATTGGTTAGAAGTATACTTGAAGACGTTTTCAAATAGAAAAAATATGATTTTCAGGCACCATTAAGACTATATCTCTTTCGAATATAAATGTTAGCAGACAGACTACAGTGTGTATTTAGCTTTCGTGCATTTCTTTAGCAACATTTAGAGAGTTTATGTGATCTAAGTGGTGTCAGTTAACTTATGCTGGAGACTGTTGTTATTATGCAATAGGCTGATTCAAAGAAGGGAGATTCTGGCATAGGAATAATCATAATTTATTAATATTCCTTTGGGTTTGGAGTAGAATGTGGGGTTTCAGCAGCACAATTCCATGTTACTCTCTTTTCTGGAGTCACCTCGAACTGGCCTCACGACTGACCCTAATCCTTTATCTTCTCCTCACATGATCTTGACCATAGCACCCTTGGAAACACACCCAGCTCTTCGTTTCCTATTGAGACACCACTTGACAGTTTAGCGCGTTATGTCACTCAATGGTCTCCACAGAATATGTTCAGTTCATCTCTTCTGGACGTTTGTTAGACAAAAGGATATTGTTTATAGTTGGTTTGTAAGGTTTGGTTTCTGTTTGTAAAAAAAACGAAAACTAACCCTTCAAACCAACAATAGAAAATTAATATGATGCTCGCTAGTGACTTGCTACAGGACGGAGTTCTATTGAGAAGTCGTGACCACTGAGGTCCATCCGGTAAAGTGTGAGGATGGATGTCTCACCGATGAGATTGGTTGCTGGTCGCGCTAAACCACGAATTGGTTGGAGTTAGAATTCATGGGTTGGCCATTTAATCGGGTCCCAGTGGCTGAATGGTATGCGAGCTCGCTAGCCTTGTAAACAGAAGGTCCTGGGTTCGAACCCCAGTGGATGCGTACTTCCGGTGGTTCCCAAACTAGGATGAAACAACTGTCCAATACTCCCTGATTTTCAAAGGTTCTCTAACTGATATCAATCCGTGATCAACTCATAAAAAAAGGATATTCGTTGATTTGTTGCCATAGTTGAGTTAGGAATAATGCTACTCGAAAACTGTTAATCCAAATGCCGCTACAATTCGGGTTTTAATTTCACTTTCAAATATCAAATTATTACGTATAAAATCAACATTCTCACCTAATTATTTATTCACGTTTTTGTGATTTTCCATTGATATATTTGGAACGAATTCCTCTGCTTCACTTTGATGTTTACTGTCCTTGAATAGATGCTTTGATATTACCATGATTAATAACTAGAAGCTTTTTGTCTGGTAGTGGCTAGTGGTACACTCTAGGATGTGCATTTTGTCCTATTTGGGATTCGTCATCTGCTTGCACCCACATTTCCCCAATGAGTGATGGTGTTTCTCACTGGGATCGGAATGCTGTGCATACCAATTGGGAAAATCGGTGGTCTTTAAGGTCTACTAGACAATACTTTAGCGGTTGAAGCTACGGGTGCTTGATTCGAATTCCAGTGGGGATACCATTAATTACTGAGGGGTGCAGGGGTGGTAGGTACATTCTACTGACGGGTCCAGAATTTGACGAAACCCCTAACCAATTTCATTTTATAAAAATTCAGCAACCTTCTTTGTTCACTTTCTTTAAACAGAACTCAAGGAACGACAAACTTCTAAGAAATTCAATCAAAATGTCGTATGTCATAGTGATATTATTGAAGCATTATTATTGGTAAGATAATTTCCTACAATATTTCTACATAAAAAAATAGAGTTATCGCGAAATCAGTGAAACGAACGAATTGTCTTTAGCTATCATTAAATTAATAGAGAGGCTGACAAAATATTCAGGTAGGTTTTCAATTACTTCAGCTAAATTAATAAAATGTAAACAAACAGAAATGAATTCAAACAAAATCATTTTGAAATCAGGCGCGAAAATTATCTGTGACCATATAAATTTACCAATATCATCGAATGATTTACTTTCTTATAGTATATCTACTTTATGGAATTTAATTGATAGTATAACTGATGAAAGTGTTAAAATTGAGTGGATGAAACAGATAGGAAATGAAGTGAGTCATTCCCTTGTCTTTGCTGTTATTGATTTTTAAATGTTATCACTTACTTTAAAGGTTCCTTTTTACATTGGAGACACTCTAACTGACATAATATGTCGGTTTGAATAAAGTAAAAGTAACGGTTTGGTTAAAACCAGATAGTACCACCGTTTATTTTGTCGACTTCTCATCAGTTGCGTACAACGTAAACAATAGATTAAGTCTATGCACAGGACAATTTTAAAACACTTGAAAAGGTGACATGATTTTAGTGAACGAGAAACTTCAAAATTAATAAACTTTGCTCAGAAACTAAACTTGCTGTTCTGCATGTCTAGTAAAATACTAACCCGCGTCATTCTGGAGAGAATAAAGGATGCACGGAATGCAGAACTCCTCACCCTAGGAAAAAACTGGATTCAGGAAAGGTAAGTCATATGCTGATCGAATTGCAACTCTACGCATCGTCACCGAACAAAGCATTGAATGGCAGTCAAATAGCTACTTCCACTTCATCAACTTTGAAAAGGCTTTGAACGTGAAGTAATTTGGAAACTGAAACTACTTCAACACTACGGTGCACCTCAAGTCTTTGTCAACTTCATTCAACAAAAGGCTAAATGACAGTGTCACGTGTCAGGTGGTCCACGACGGTAAACCAAGCGGAACGTTTCAACTGAATGCAGGAGTAAAACAGGACTGTCTATTATCACCGATGACATTCCTGATTGAGGTGGACAAGATTATGCGTCAGACTATAGGAAAGGAGGAAACAGGAATACTCTGGACCACAGATAAGAAGGCTCTAGAAGATCTGGATTTCGTGCCTGGATGATTTTTATTTAATGTCAAACAAACTCGAAGAATTACAGGATAAAACCAATAAATTGGCAGTAGGGGCTGGCAGGGAAGACAGGGCTCCAGTTAAACATAGAGAAGAACAACAACCTGCACCAATCACCCTCAGCAGGGGGGATTTCTAATAGGTTACTTCCTTCACTTATTTGGCTAGGAAGCATCGTTTCAGCTACAGGTGGATTGCATGGATGAAGATGTCAAAGTCAGAATAGGAAAGGCAAGATACGCCTTCATCAGTCTGAAGCCAGTTTGGAAATATTCCGAACTACACTCAACATGAAAAACAAGATTCGGATTCTGTTCCACATCAATGTCAAGTCGGTCCTTCTATACGGGTCGGAAACTTGGCGCCTGCGTCACGAAAAGGATTTTCAACAGGTTGCAGACGTTCATCAACAGCTGACCTTGCTGACTCCATATTAAAGATCAAATGGCCGGCTGGCCAGAAAGAATTAGCACCAACAAACTGTGGAAGCGAACTAACCAAGAACTGATTGCTAAACAAATATGTGATAGAAAGTGCGGATGGACTGGGCACACTTTGAGGAGAATGTTGCGTGATATCTCCCGCCAGACCAGTGCTTCAGCGAAACCCAAATGGAAGGCAACGAGTGGGTTGTCAGTGCGAGGGTGACATGGAGGAGATCGTACGAGGAGGAGATGAGAGATTATAGTCAATCGTGGACCCAGATGAATGCGGCAGAATAAAATAGAACAAAGTGGATATGTGTTGTTGAAGCCTTATGTTCCACTCGGAACCCGAGGGAACAATAATATAATGATAATATAGAAATTACACTTGTGTAACTTACACGCAGATGGTCCGAGTTTAAAAAAAAACCAAAAATGATAAGTTTTTGAATACCACGGAGGATGAGTTGTTGAATAAAGAACAAGAGGTAGACATGATAAGTTGCGTAACAATGTCATGAGTTCAATTCAGGGCATAGAAGCAAAAGACAAGCGAAATCACGTAGAGCGCAAGTGAGAAAAAAGGTTAAGGCCGAAAATTCTGTAATCAAGTAACAAAAGGGTGATTAAAAGCATCGAGTTACTAGAACAAGGAAAGACTGAGAGCTGCATTTACGTGAAGAAATAAATCACGCTTGGAAACATTTATTTCCCGATACGAATTTAAAACAAGCAATAAAGGTTAATAAAGCAGGATTTAATGAATTCATCAAATTTCGGTAGAACTCGTCAGCTGAATATTCTACATACACCGATATATACTTTTGAAGTTACATTCGGAGAATATTCAGCTGACGAGTTCTACCGAAATTCGATGAATTCATTAAATCCTGCTTTATTAACCTTTATTGCTTGTTTTAAAATCACGCTTGATAGAAGTTGCTTCAGTAAATTCGAAGAGGTTAGAATCGTAATGTCTATCGACAATCTTAGAGAAATTCAATGACCTGTGTCAATGAGATGTCTAGCAATAGCTCTGTTGATAGCGTTTGTTCCCTTGAGACGTAGACTTTTCGGTACATGTTTAGAAAATCGAAAGTGTGTCAGCAAGGTGTATCTGCAACCTTGAAAGAACTCATGTCCCTTCTGAGATTAGAAGCCGCATCACCAGCCAGTGCTGCAGTCCATCAGAGACTTTACCACTGATCTATTCGGGCTTGCGATTGACCTCCTGTAAGACTGTAGTGGCTATTTTCATTGAACACTAGTAACTAGTGTGATGTGTCTAGTCATTTCTTTGGTGCAGACTGAATCCTATCAGTCAGCTTTGCAATGTGGACATCATTCTAGGTAGTTCGCCATCGCGGTGCACATTGATTTGATGATATTAGATGGTTGGAGGCAATCGTCAAGGTACCTATGTCAAGAAAGGCTTCCTGCCGATCGCCTCCAACCATCTAATATCATCAAATCAATGCGCACCTTGATTGCGAGCTACCTAGAATGGTGTCCACATTGCAAAGCTGATCGATAGGATTCAGTCTGCACCGAAGAAAGGACTAGACACATCACACTAGTTACTAGTGTCCAATCAGAGTACATATACACGTTTTATAACAGCTAATTTTCCAGTGAAAATAAATAAGTAAAGTTTATTTTGTCCAATTTATTTCTAGTAGATTAGACAGTGAACTTATGTTACTTGAAAAACTCCTGAAAGAAAATAGTTATCCACAAAGGTTCATCAAGTAATATAGCAAAGTAGAATTAAAAACAACAAAACAACGCAGATATAGTTATAGTCATCAGAAATTTGAGCTTTTTTACTCAGATTTATTTACTTCGAAGGTGATGATACAAATAAACGTTTAACTTCATCATTAATCATAACAAATGCTGCAGCAAAACTAATCTCTGTGCTCCGAACGTTGGTACAGTCAAAAATTGACAAGCAGCCCCTCATATTTTACATCCATTTGCGTATATCAATTTATGTGTATCTGTAGGAACAGTTATACTAAGAGAACAGAAAATAAGGACGTGTGTTAGACTCTTTGAATATGTACTTGACAGCTTTTGATTAAAGGGGTTGAATAGTCTGAATTCGTCAATCATCAGACAACTGATAGACACAAGATACCGAGTACACGCATTGGTTGGGAGCGAAAACATGTCAAAATTGTCTTATAACTTGTTCTGCTAGATATTACATGTTGTACACTGCTGAGGAAAACTGGCTAAATAAAATGGATCCTTAGTATTCTACATCAATATTTGTTCTTTCCGAGTTCAAATTTATAAAGCAGGAATTTGTTACTAACTACTTAAATTTTTATTAAGTAGTACAATAACTTTTAGTAATTTTATGACAAAACATCATTAAATGTTTTCTTTCTTTTTCTGTGTACATATAAATATGTAAGGACTGCCTAATAAAACTTCGAGATATCTTCTTCACATTGTTGGCACAAAGTCATTCGAAATTCTGTCGTAATCTACGCAATGATGTGTTAACAATAATTTTATTAATTATAAAATATGCAAATGTCTATGGACAGTTGAAACAAATTCGTATAGTAGAAACTGGTCTAGTGAAACGATTGGTGAATTTGTTAACATTTGATGAATGTAAGTGGCTCATTGTCGTTTTATTTCGTTTGTGCATCTTTTGGATAGTGAGAAGTAAAACTGTTTGTAATTGTATGCGCTGGGATAGATTTGCTTCAAGTCTGACCGTCCTCGCTTGGGGGATATCATAGGTAGTACTCAGCCATGACTACATTGAGGATCAAAAGGATAACCTTCAGTCTGTGAGGCAAACCCGTTGTCGATTCAACCAGAGGCAAGAAATCCAATCACCCATGAATTCTAACTTCAGCCGATTCATACGATATATAGCACCACCGCGAGCTAATGTCACTAGTGAGTATTTGTTGTCCTCACGCCGAACCTGGTGAATTTCACTGGTCCGTCCAGGTTATGGGTTAGTACTTTCAATGAATTGCAAACTAGGACGAGATAGCTGTCTAGGACTCTTTGGTTTCCAGTGGTCCCCTAATTGATGTAATTCGGTGGTCGAACTTGAAATTTTTTGCATATCAACAGCTGAAAATATGTCCATTTATTGTGTACTGAAGGTGACCATTGAATTAAGCTGTACAAATTCCTATTCACGCTTGTTGACTATCCCTAATAAGATGTATCCGCATACTTTTAGAAGCCAATGTGTTTTTTACTAAAATGTGTTTGCTTTCTTTCTACATGACTCACCATCTTCAAATGACATTAATTTTGTCAAATGTGCTGACGACCTGACTGTATCTTTGCCTGTCAAATGTCAAAGTGACTGCTCTAAACTAAATAGCTTTCTATCAGAAATCAGCCAATGGTCCAAGGAAAATGGTCTTACCTTAAACCCCTCCAAATACCAAACAGTCAATTTCACCTTTAGGCATAAATCTGACCTAAACAAACTGGTTGGCTCTCACGAGGTGTGCAACATTGATGCCACTGAAATAGAAACCAATTCGGAAATTAAGTACCTAGGCGTCATCCTATCTGCTGATCTCTCCTGGTCGTCTCATATCTTGGCGATTTCTAAGAAAATATTCCGTCTTACCTTCTACATCAGGAAGTTAAGACATTCTGGTATAACCCAACCCTTACTCCTACAATTCGTTAACTCTCGCATTCTGTCTATTATTATCTATTGTTCCCCCTTAGTTTTTCCCGGGATACTGAAGAAAGACTATAACATATTACGCAGGATGTTAAAGGTTGTCAGCAGGGTAAGCAATGTGCCACTTAACCAGCTTGTTAATATTCTGGTTGACAGGCACATGGACTCATGTGAAAAATGGGCCAAGTCCATTTTATATGACTCACAATACCCTCTTCACTTACAACTCTCCAATTGCATCTCATCAGGCAAAACCAGAAGCTTATACAGAAAACTATACTCTCGAACTAGCAAATACAAAAACTCAACCATACCCTACCTAGCTTGTGTTCTGTGCGATAAAGAAAGCACTAAGGGTGACACCTATAATTCGTTAAATAGTCAGTAGTACAACTGGATCTCGTCTTTCCAACTCATATCATTTATGGGTACAACATTCTCTTTCTTTCTTTTCCTTTTCTCTCTCTCTTTGTTTTTCCGTTATGTGCTGCTTTGTTTCTTTCTCTCGCTTACGCCAGTTAATAAGACAGCTCCGACTTTTCTAACACCTTCAAACACAGTTCAACTTTGGCTTTGCTACCGACATCCCAATATGTTGTTGTCATAATGAACTGAGATTTCCTTAGTCTGTGTAGAATTTTATGTATTGATAATGTACTAACTGGATGCAATACTGTAGTAAAAATGCTGAGAATTTCATTCTGTATCACATGTACTGTTTTGGAATAAAGCAAATTATTATTATAATAATAAATTATTATTATTATTAAAAAATATGAATTCCTAGAGGTATGATACTTGCATCACTTTTCATGTGGATGTAGATATTAAATTTGTCAACCAATTGGTAAAATAGCAGGTGAACGAAAGGACCCATAGTAGTAAAAGTGTAATAAGTTATAAGGAAATCTACAGGAAAGAACAATCACGTTCAAGGTCATCAGGAGGGACAGTTGTATCATCCAATGAGAGTTCCCAAGTCTCATTTTACTTTAAAGTTTGATTTGAGGATGTTGTCTGGAGGGATAAGGGAAGCTTCTCGACTGAACTATCCACGCTAGAGAATACAACAGTACGAAAAAAACGTTAAGCCACTCTGTTCATGAACATTGTGGATCTCCTGAACACAATAGGCGGATAATATGACGCTAATATATTCCTTACTGACCACTTTTAAAGATTTAAAACTATTACAGGAAATTACATCAGCTGAAAGTAGAAATGACAGTGAATGAACAATAAACCTGAAGTGATCTGTTGTCCCGGTGAACAGTGAATACAATCCTCTGAAAACAGCTGTTGCATTTCACTTCAATTGTTTAGTGATCATCTCTTAACGACAGATATGAGGATCTATTTTCAAGTATTGGTTTTGTGGAGATCCTGTTTGATTGGTTGGAGGATTTCATCATGAGCTGACATCAGTCAGATAACCATTGGAAAACCTGGGAGTTCTGAATAACTGTTCCGCCGTAGTTTTGGACTCTTCAACAGCACGCATCCATTGGTACGTATCCCAACCAGTGGTTCTCTAACTGATGTCATCTAATGAGTATATCCTACAACCAATCAAACAAAATCCCTACAAAACCAATACTTGAAAATTAATCTGATGCTCACTAGCGACCGACCCTATTCAGTTGGTGACCTGGGGTTCTAGTGGGAAGCCGTGACCAGCAGGGTAATGCAGGCTGAAGATGAGGCAGTAACTCATCGAAGAAGACATTGAGAAATGGTCACGCTATGCCGTGAATTGGCAGAAGTTAGAATTCATGCACTGGCTGGCCATTGGATCGGGTCCCATTGACTCAATGGTCTACGAGCTCGCCTTGTAACCAGAAGGTCTTGGGTTCGAACCCCAAAGGGGGTTGGATGCGTACTGATGAAGATTCCCGAAGTAGGACGAAACGCTTGGCTGTCCAGTACTCTCATGCTTTCCAGTGGTTCTCTCCACTGATTTCAGCTCATGATGAAATCCTCCAACCAAATATGAGGATCCTCGACATAATTTTAGAACTAAGATGTATAGTTGTAATAGTATTGAGAAGGTATACAGGAGGACATCAGAGTTATTGATTCAAACTATCGTTTTGAATTCCCCACTTATTGATTATGATGGACATAAATATGCGACCTGCATTGACATGTAAGTTCATGGTAAGAATACTTTGACGAGGCTTTGGGGAGAACGTGGTTATCAGTGGAATCCAATAGGAGGATATCATTTTTATCTGAAATGCGTCAAATGGATATATCTGCATCTTCAACGAAGCCTGAACTCAGTGCAAGATTTTGTAACGTTTCGATAAATTGACCGACCTCTTGCAACCAATGTACTTATGAAAATATTAACTGTAGCAGCTGAGATCTCTCTACCAAGTTAGGATTGTGATCAGGGCGATCCAGTTTCTATGGTAATTTTCACATTCATGTTACTCTTTGAATTCAAATTAAAAAGTTTAACGTTATGTCTCAATGTGATTTCGTTCGATAACTAAATATGTCTGATATCTAAATAGTATTAACTTAACTCACAATATAATTTTTGTTCATATTCCATTGAATTGGTGGATGGTGACTAGCAGTGGAATCCAGGATGCGTATGTCGTCCTATTTGGAACTCGTCCTCCAGCTGGATGTACCTGCATTCCACAGTGGCTATTAATGTTCTCACTGGGGCTTGAACCCAGTGCCCATAGTTTCAGACGCCAAAGCGTTATCCACTAGACTACCTGGGCCACGAGAACCACGACCTCTTGTGTGACGGGTGATATTAATTATTTAATTGAATTCTAGATTTTCCTGTCGACCGATTGGACCGAAGTGCTCGGTCACTACTTACTGGGAAATGCAGGTACATCCAGTTAGAGGACGAGTCCCAAATAGGACGAAATGCGCATCCTGGATTCTACTGCTAGTCACCATCCACCAATTAAATTCTGATTACATGCCCAGACATCGCCGAAGCATCTGCACAAGAAGCCGACATGTCAACCTGAGACCGATCACTTCGGTCCAATCAATCGACGGGAAAATCTAAAATTCAATCATATTCCATTTGTTTACTGACAGTTTTCTAATGAAACAACAGGGGATTTCAGGGAGAAAATTCTCTTTTTGACCATTTCATTTCCACAGTTATATAATGACACGTATATCCATCTATCTATCTATACATTTGAATTACAATAGATAAATACGTTTGTACAGTCATGAAAATGAAGTCGTCACAAATGAGAATATTTTTTCCTCCTGAAACCTTCATTTCACGTCTCAGTGAGATATGTTAATTTGGTTTCTAGTGTCTTAGGTAATCTTATAATTCATGTACTCCAATATCTTCTCACTACCCTTGACATGTTCTTGAGGAATTTCTGTTGTATTAAAAACATAGTTAAAGCGATTCATTCAGCTTTAATAACTCGACATCGATATGTATCCTAATCATTTTTAATTATTAACGACCAAGTTAAACTTTTCAAAACCACTAACTACCAATGATCTGCGTCTGCACCAGTGACCATAAATGGCCAAATGATTTTTTTTCACGTGAGTTGAAGCTCCTATTCTGCTTGATTCGAGTCAAATGCCTGCTCCGCATGGAGTTAAGTTTGCAATTTAGTGAGGACTAAGTCTTCCAGCATTGCTTAGATATGGGGTTGATTAGGAAAGAAAAGATTTTTTTATTATTTTTTTTCCTTTGATTGCAACTTGATGCCACACCGTATTTTTAGGTACAGGTATGGAATTTTCAGCATGGATATCGGTAGCCCAAATTTTGCAGGCCGACCATAGATATCTGGTGTGCGCCAGCAGGAGGTCGAACCCCGGACCATGTGCGTGGTAGGCGAGAATCCTACTGACGCACAGGGTATGTTCATGTGGCAATGTTATGACTATAAATAGCTTCAGCAGATAGGTTGGTGGACATGTGCATCATTGTGCAATTTTTTTGAGAAGTGTCAGTGTCAGGGAAGGTAAGCTGATGATTCTAGTATTTCGGAAGAACATTTTCTCTAGGTCCCATCTGTTCTAAACCTAGATTTCGCATACTTGTAATTACTGATCTTTAAAACAGCCTATGAGAGGCGTAGCTGCAGGTTATAACTCCTTGTCATCCTTTGGATACATTCACTATAGAGTCAACCATTCTGATGATTTTGTGGGTCCCATTGCAGAGACCCAACACCAATCCTATCGAAGGCCTCTGGGGCAGGTTAACAAATCGGATTAGAGCCATTGATGGATCACAAAGCGATGTTATTTGTAGTCATTTAGATGAATATATGTATAGGATGTGGTGTAACTTTTCTATTGATACCTACTATTCCATATTAGTTTGTTAGATGTATCACACTCAGTGAAACAGTATTATTTACTGGATGACACAGTTTCGAACAAAATTTATTGTTCATAATCATCTCATCAATTATAATCACACTTCTTCGAAACTTGAGTTTTATAGTTTTCTTTGTTCTCTCCTATTTGTCGTCGTAGGGGTGGTAGTAGAATTTTCCAGATATCTGGGACAGGTGTTGAATCATTCCTATTACATGTATTTGCAGTTGATTCGACAAACAAAGCTTCTGTTATCAATCTCTCCCTCCACCCTCTTACAACACTATATTTTAAAACTATCATCTTATCCCATCCTATTGTAGCAAAATCTAGATTGGTTGACCCGAATAAGATAAGAAATCTAGAGAATAGTTCAGCTTTACGACTCACTACATGCAATTACATGCAACCATACAATAGGATGGATAGGATAAGATGACAGTTTTAAAATATAGTGTTGTAAGAGGGTGGAGGGAGAGATTGATAACAGAAGCTTTGTTTGTCGAATCAACTGCAAATACATGTAATAGGAATGATTCAACACCTGTCCCAGATATCTGGAAAATTCTACTACCACCCCTACGACGACAAATAGGAGAGAACAAAGAAAACTATAAAACTCAAGTTTCGAAGAAGTGTGATTATAATTGATGAGATGATTATGAACAATAAATTTTGTTCGAAACTGTGTCATCCAGTAAATAATACTGTTTCACTGAGTGTGATACATCTAATAAACAAACCAATATGGAATTACTTAATACCACAGTGCCCAAGTTTTACACATATATTGATACTTCCTATGTTAAACTGGGAGATACTTTTATCACATGTGAAAGAAAAGTATCCTCTGTGACACTTTTATACAGTCATTCATACTCAAAATGTGTCTCCTTCATGTGATTGGTGCTTTCGAGGCCATTCGCTGATTGGTAGTCAGTGGTGCCTAAAGTGTAACTTTGCCTTAATGTCGTTCGACTTTTGTATCTCTGATGTACTAAAGAGTTATGTTAAATTTGTAGTAAAAACATTAAGCTTCCATAATTCCCGCTCTAAACAGTCGAAAAGAGGTACACCGATAAAATAGATGCGTTTCATTCCACTAGTTGCACTTGTCATCATTGTTACTGCTTTGTTCAGATTCACTAAAACTAAAATTGATCAACGAAATTTTATGTGATTCATTTTATTTTATTCTCTTCTATTTCTTTTGTTTTAAATGTCTACTCATTTAGTTCGATGCATGAATCCATTATTTAAAAATTTAAAATTATTACCGAATGATGAAAATTTCGATATGAAAAAGTTGATTATTTCAATACTTGTGGAGATATCAAATGATCCAGTTGCAGTTTACGTAAGTAAGCATCTTCAAGAATAAACAAAAATAAATTATGTTTTTCTTTTTTAATGGGTGGTCCGATAGTCGATTTTATCACGAAAGGACATCAGTGCAGAGAAGCACTGTAAACTAAAGCAGTACTGTCAAACTTTTCAGCAGTAGGCACACACGAAGCTATATCTCTGACTGTTGAACCATCTGACTCAGGAACTTGCAATCTGGATAAATAAAAGTTTTCGCTGCGATATCACCTTTGAATTCTAGGTTCATGAAGAGAGTTTTCTTAGGAACCATTGCGATGTCCGACAACGGAGGCTTCTCCTTCATGTTCTTTTTGATGGATCTTGATGGATACCCGTTCTCTAGTAGGGTTTCACGTAATAAATTTAATTCTTTTTCTACCATGCCTTCCGAGCAGATTTCTCTAATATATATATATATATATATATATATATATATATATATATACAAATATACTATCAGAAAAAACACCAAATTCTTCGAATCGCCCAACGAGAAAGACACAACCAAAAGAACAGAAAACCTACTTAAAAAATTGCTGAAGAGAATGAAAGAAGATTCAGTCATAACACCGGAGGTTTATGTACAAATAAAACCATGCAGTTCAACTATTCCAAGACTGTATGGACTGCCTAAAATGCATAAGGAGAATGTTCCACTTCGACCTGTCATAGACATGGTTAACTTACCATATCATCAAATCGCGAAGTGGCTAGCTGATATCCTTGAACCAGTAAAAAGACATATGACAAAATATAGCCTCAGAGATACACTTGACTTCATCAACTCAGTGAAGGATGTCAACATGTTTGAAAGAAAAATGCTCCCACTAGATGTTGCCTCTCTATTCATAAGCATCCCCCTAACCGAAACAATATGCTTCATTTGTAATTACAACGAAACTAACAACCTAGATGTCTTTTTTCCCACAAAATACCTGAGGGAACTACTTCTCAGATGTACGTTCAATATCCAGTTCAAATTCAATGAACAGTTCTATGTACAGAAAAATAGTGTAGCCAAGGGGTCTCCTCTCGGTCCACTCCTAGCCGACTGCTTCATGGCGAGTCTTGAAAACAACATCCTCAATCCCTTGATAATTCAACTGCACTTATACAGGAGATACGTAGATGATACGTTCATAATCTGTGATGAAAAATTTGCTGTAGATTCTCTCCTCAAAACGTTCAAAGCAGCACATCCATCAATAAGATTCACCTTAGAACGCGAATCGAACAACACATTTCCATTCCTCGATGTACTACTCACCGGACAACACGACTGTACGATCCAAAGATCGATATATTGCAGGCCAACATGGACTGGACAGTTTATCAACTTCCAGAGCTTTGTCCCACTGATCTGAAAGTGAAACCTGGTACGTACATTATGTTCAAGGATTAGAAAAATCTGTTCGGAAGACATGGTAGAGAAAGAATTAAATTTATTAAGTGAAACCCTACTAGAGAACGGGTATCCACCAAGATTCATCGACAAGAACATAAATAAAAGTTGTTTAGAATTTCAAACATGACTCTTTCCAAAAGATAAATAGTTCGTAGCCAGGTGATTATGAGCTCTAATCGTCTGATCCTTAGCCTTCTGAAGATATTGGTTAGACAATATAGAGACGGGCGCCCACCTACTTTAGATAACTCATATAAATAGTTACAGACTTCGAGAATTGATACTAAGTTTTAGTCTTTTCACCCCTAAATATCTTCCAGTCTAATACAATTAACAGTGATAATATTAGTGTATTTCTTGATTCATTGGGCTTTCAAATGCATCTGAAATGAGGAAGTATGTGCAACTGTCTTCTCAGTGACCTTCAGAAAAAGACTGTCAATGAATATGGTTTGAAAATATGTACTTTTTTAGTATTAGTCATTTTCTGTGAACAAAACTTTGACTTTCAGTTAGCAACTGAGACGTGACATGCTTACATCATGGCCTATAGGTTCTCACTTCAACTACTGGCACAGTCTTGAGTGCTTATAGATGAAGAGACTCAAACTGGCAAGAAACAAATATGCAGTACTCCGTGGTTGTCAACAGTTCTTTGACTGAGTTCAGTTTACAGGAAAAGATTCTTTCTTGTTCGATTTCCATTGTGCTTTCGATTAATAATCATACCGGTTTAATAGGGATGTTGGTTAAACCACAGAAAATTTTTTGGGGTGAAATGCTGACCACGTCAGCAATTATGTCTCTTGCGGATCAGCTGGTAGACTACTGGGCTAGTAATTCAAAGGCCTGTGGATCAAATCCTAGTGTAATCTAGGTTCTCAGCTCTCCCTCATACCTCTTTTACTACAGCAATAACAGTACGTCACTCTAAGGCTATCTCAGATAGCCGTATCATCAATCTTAAAAGTGCCAAAACGAGAAGTTTTATACAAATTCAGTAAAAAAAGGAATTGGGAAACTACACTGGACAGTGATGTTCGTCTAATGAAGTCATCTTTACAGTTATAAGCCATAGTTTATCTTATAATATTTAAGTGTTCTGGTAAAGCAGTAACTCTGATGATTCAAAGGTTGAATACTCGACAACCACTCAAGAAATCCGGGATCGATTGCCGACAGATGCACTCCTGAACTTCATCTAAGTCTACTAGACATTAGTAGGCTTGGAAAAGAGGTAAGGTTGGGCGTGAGATTAGAATCCTCATTCTTCGAAAGCACACACATACTTATTCATTAAATCTACAGAATGCCTACCACAGACTAATATCAGGCTCAAAAAGGATCAAACGGATCATTCGTCTTAGACTGACACGTTATACCATATCCTACTGGCGTTTTTCACCAATACACTGAGAGGATATATAAACACATTGTGGGATATAAAGTCTATGTGCTTAGATGTGTTTAATTTTACGGGTATATGTCAGTTCTTCTTAATGTTCATTTCGAATGAGTTTTCTTGGATGCTGTTGTATTGTTCAACACGCTAACTTTGAAGTTATTCCTGAAAATATTGTTCAGAGGGACCGTAAATAGCCTTATAAATAAAACATTTATTTCAGTGAATTGAGCAGCACCAGTGTTATTCACCTGAATTCCATTTTGGGATTCTCTATCATTTATCACCTACAGCCTCATTAAATTTCGAACCCAGGACTTTCAGATTACAAAGTGAGCCAATAGAATGTTTAGCTGCTAGTCTTGATTTCATTAACACATAAATCCCAACTTTTGGCGATTTGTGATATGGCTCCACGGTTGAAAAAATTAAAAGTTATTTGGTTATAGGATTTCATATTGAACTGATATTGGTTAAGTAACCATTGGAAAACCTCCTGGGAGTACTGGACAGCTGTTTCGTCCTAGTTTGGGACTCTTCATCAGTATGCATCCACCACCAGGGTTCAAATCCAGGACCTTCTGGTTACAAGGCTAGCAAGCTCGTAGACCATTAAGCCAATGGGACCCATTCCAATGGCCAGTCCATGAATTCTAACTTCTGCCAATTCACTATATAGCGCAACCGCCAGCCAATGTCTTCGGCGAGTATTTGTCCTCACATCCCACTCGCTGTACCCTACTGGTCACGACTTCCCACTAGAACCCCAGGTAACTACCTACCTGAATAGGGCCAGTCGCTAGTGAGCATCTCATTGATATTCAAGTATTGATTTGTAGGGATTTGATTGATTGGTTACAGGATTTCATCATGAGCTGACACTGGTTAGAGAACCATTGGAAAACATGGAGGGAGTACTGGACAGCCATTGGGTCGGGCTGGTCCCAGTGGCATAATGGTCAACGAGCTCGCTAGCCTTGTAGCCAAAAGGTCCTGGGTCCGAACCCCTGTGATGGATGCGTACTGCTGAAGAGTCCCAAACTAGGCTGACGAAACAGCTGTCAAGTACTCCCTTGTTGGTTTTCCAATCGTTCTCTAACCAATGTCAGTTCATGATGAAATCCTGTAACCAATCAATCAAATCCCTACAAACCATTACTTAAATGTTATTTGTTAAAAACTATTCTAATTTACTAGGATTAATGCTACTAATTCTACTAATCTTTGCAGGTAATGTCTGACGCAGGTCTTATCAAAGGCCTATTTCAATGGATATGTCCAGTGATACAAACGAATTCAGGATATCTAGGCGATGAGCAGAGACAAGGCTTACGTAGTTCTACAATTTTTAGTGAATATTACAATTTGGGCAAATGTAATGTACAGTCGCAAAGTCAACTTACAATGAAAAATGAACAAGATCCATCAGAAGATGAAGAAGGAAAAGCAGCCACTGTTGATAAAAATTCAAAGCTGAAAACAACTCAGACAAATTTATGCAATGAACAAACTGATCGTGATCATGGTGATCACGGGGATGAGGATGATGATGGAAACACTTTTACGAAAGATGAAAAACGACAAAATCTTGATGTGATAAGTAAATGGCCACAAGCTTATTTAGAAGAATTGCATTTATATATGCTTGATGCATTGGCTACATTAGCACCACGTTTGCTGAGCGATTGTTTAACTTATGGTATCCCACCAAGGCTGTTGTTATTATTACAATGGTGTACTAGTTCAGGTGAGTGAATAATTCTCGAATGTATAAAAAGGTAATCTAGTGTACCTGTATGTTTTTGTATATATGTCATTCCCTATGTGTAGATTTCTTCTAAGAAATTCGAGGCAGTAATACAATCGATTAGTTAAACCACTCGCTGAGCGATGCGTAAAATCCAAAAACGCGGGATATGTCTAGATTATGACACTATTTTATGCATAAAATAATGAATACTATATTTGAACCTCGAATTTTCAGGTAACTAATGCTGAATACTGTGAAAACAAAAACTATCAAAGCTTTGTCGAAGGCTGTCCTCGGCCAGTTTAAACAGAGCGCGATTGCCAGAGAAAGAATAACAGGATTTCAATAAACCGTATATAAATGAAGCATATAAAGTAGACACTGTTAGATGGTTGGAGGCAATCGTTAGGAAGCCTCACACCTAGGTTTCATGCGAGCTGGAACTCACCAGTTAGCTAGCCGTATCTGCAACCTCGAAGGAACTCATGTGCCATCTCTAAGACTAGTGTCAAACCAAAGTATTGAATACAGTCCTACAGGAGTCCGATCACAAGCCCGAATAGCTCAGTGGTAACGTCTGTGACTGCAGCACTTGGTGACACGGATTCGAATCTCAGAAGGGACACAAGTTCCTTAAAGACTGTAGAGACGCCTTACTGAGTGGTGAGTACCAAGAAGCATGAAAACTAGATATGCAGCTTCCTGCCGATTGCCTCCAGCCACCTAATATCAACAATTGTCAGCGTGACGTGACGGCGAGCCATCTAGCATGGTAGCCATATTGGAAACTTTAGTGATAGAATTCAGTCTGCGCCAAACAAAGGACTACACACACACTACACTAGTCAGTGACCAGTGTCCAATCAAAGTATCCAATTCAGTCCCATAGGAGGTCAGTCGCGAGCCCGAGTAGCTCAGTGATGATAGGTTCAATTTCCAACCGATGTAATCCCAAACCTCGCCTAGTTCAATAATCCCTAGTAACACAGAATACCATTTAATACCATTTACAAGATAAATTGTATGAACTGCAAAATGCATTACGTCGGCCAAAGTGGGCATCCCCTTCGAATTAGTATCCAAGAACACAAATTAGCCGTGAAAAGACACGATGTATATTCTTTAGTATCAATGCATATAGACAATTATGGTCATCAATTTGATTAGGTTGATGTCAAAATCTTAGACAGAAGAAACACCAAAAGTGCCAGAGAATTCCTAGAAGCCTGGTACTCAAATGAAAATGCAATTAACAAACACGTTAATGTAGACGAAATATACCAACTAATAAAAAGTAAATCAGGTGACCAGAAAGTTTAAAATCCAAGTCAATAGAAAGTGGTCAATACACATGTAAACATAGTAACCAGGAGATGCAATTACATCACGCATGAAGAAATTTAAATCATTTCACTTTGTGCTAAATATTGCGCTGAAGATGTTGTCCAGAAAGACGACGAAAGCTCCGCAACCAAACCAACCAGCTCAGAGAACACTAATAATTGCAAGCCCTTAGTAATCCCAAAAAAGAAAACAGGTTGGGCGTGGCTTTAGCAACCCCACTCTGTAAAAACGTCACCAACACTGCTACAACTTCGAAAAGAGTTTGAAGCTTGAAGTATGTTCTACTTGGAAATCGAGGAGTGTGGGAAGGAATTCACGGATTAAAGATCACTACTTGTATTATGGTAATTTAGCACTCAGCCAATTGGAAAAATTTTCTCATGCACTAAGCAATGAGCCACACGTATTGTGTAAGAAGCTGGTGGTACTACCCCTCTACTTAGACAGATGTAGGTGGGAGGGTTCAAGACCATAACCTACTGACTGAAATTTGGTTCATCAAACCAATGAGCTACATCTCCACTATCTATCCGAGTAGATTACATTAAAGTGTTAAAAATTTATGTTCATTTTAAGAAATATCCCTCTGTGTGGAAGGAAGCCCACTGACTATCCAACCTTTGGTAAGATACACTCTGTCATGATTTTTCCATTTTTTAATATGCGTACTTCAAATTTGATCAAATGTATTGAAAGTTGAGATTCTTATCATGAACTTCTGAGATTCTTTACAATGATTTTATAAAGAGTTCGTTACTTTACTATTTCTGAAAAACTTTAGAATGAAACCGTTTCGACTGTTGTCAGTCTTGTTTCTTCCGTAATCGATCAATATATTTGTTTTACTGGTCTCTATTAGCGTCGGTGGCTCATCGACCATGCACATGGTTTTGATCCCCGGCCGACGCACTCCTTTACCTCGCTATGCCAGAAATAATACTGATGAAGAGGAAAGTTTGGGCATGAGGCTAGCAGCTCCATCCTGTAAAATAAACACTGCTAGAGAAACTTCAAGCCACCAGCTTGTAGCTCTATGTTCCACTGGGGAACGTGAAGGATAAAAAAAAGTCTCTATTATCTAACAGTTCTTCCAATAAGCTAACCAGAATTCAGATGTCTTGAGATGATTCAGCTGACTGAGTGGAGCCAAGCCAAATAAACCGATGATAAGCTGGTCGCCAAACAGCTGAAACTGCAGTCGGGTGTTTGGATTACTTCTTTTGGTTATTCAGCTACTCATATCAGTTTGTAGGATATACTATGTATAACGAATACTTGTAATTACAACTTCAATGCACACTGATTTATTGAGCTAATAAATAGGATGACGGAATTACTACAGAGTCAGTGCTTCTATATGGTAAAGTCACTTGGCTCGCGCGTCACGGAAGGCATTGTCAACATTGAGCGTCGATGGCACAACGGTAGAATGCTCACCAACCACGCATGCAATCCGGAATTTGATCCCCGGCTAGTAATATGACTGGTAAAGGGGGAAGTTTGGGCATGAGGCTGGCTAGTAACCCCGTCCCCTAAAAATAAACATCACTGCTACCAAGACTTCAAACCTCTAGCTTGAAGGTGCCCTATGTTCCACTGGAAACGTGAAGGAATAAAACATTATCAACAGACTGTTGCATACTGTCATCAACAACTGCCTTCATTCGATACTGAAGACCAATTAGCCTGAAAGGATTAGCAACAGGGAACTCTGGAAACGAACCACATGAGAACCTATCATCCAACAAATACATGGAATGAAATGGAGAGAGACTGAACATACACTGAAGAGACTATTGAGTGAAATCACTCTTCAGGCCCTTGAGTGGGACCAGAGAGGGGGGCAGCAAGTTAGGCGTAAGTTCAGGGGTGATATAGAGGACATTGTATGAGTAGATGAAAGCTTGTGAGCGGTCTAGAAGCTAAGCAAAAATATTGAGGAGAAGGGAGTGAAAATGAGGTGTTCTGTTGAAGCTTTATATTCCACTTGGAGCCCAGGACAATGATATTACCTTGTCACCAATCAAAAGGAATCTGTATAGTGCCTGAGTACTCTCACCTTCTATGTTTTTCGAATGGTTTTGCAATGAATTAAACAACCAAAATTTCTGCAATTTTCCTATCCCTATGATTCAAGATGCAAGTGTTTACAATGACACTATCCGCTGATATCTCATATTAACAAATTAACCCAGTTCAAACAATCTTGTTACGCAATAACCATCGAAAGTAGTTCACTAAAGGCATTTATCGATTTCCGGTTACTTAGTAACATAACTACATATACGATTAGAAGTTAATAAAGCCAGAGGTGATCCTAAATGGTTACCGTTAGCTTCTGTGTTGTATCTTTCTTTGCATTTCTTGCGAAACAGAATGGGGCTTCAGGCTTTGAGATTTCGGTGTCCGTGATGGGTTTACTAGCCTCATGATCAAACTTCCCTCTTTCCAGAGCTAACTACTTTCCAGTAAATTAGGTACGTCTCTAAAATTCAATCGTTCAACAGATCAATTGCGAATCGCTTCTATTATTAAGAGACAGTAAGCTATTAAATATTTGCAGATAGGCTCCTCCGTTTATTGATTGAGAAACATTTAAGATTCTAGTTGATTGCTGGTTTCACAAGTTTGAATAGTAGTGCAAATTCCAGTTAAGTAACAGGTGTTCATTGTCATTTCAATAAATGTTTATCCATCTCAGAAACCAAGAACTTTAAAACTTATTGAGAAAATATCATATTCAATCAGTTGTTACTTATTGGAGAAGTCGGAAAATATTCCTTGAAGACTTTGATTTGATTTGGTTACGCGTTATAAACCCTTTCAAATGGCTGAAGATGCAGCTAGGAGAGACAGGACTTCAGGTGAATATAGAGAAGACAGAGGTGATGAAGATACGCGACGACGACGACCACCAGCAACCCCCAGCACCAATCACCATCAATGGGAGAGATTTGACAGAGGTGACTTCCTTCACTTATCTTCATAGGAAGCATGGTTTCAACTACAGGCAGAACGGATGAGGATGTCAAAACCAGCCTGAATTGGAAAGGCGAGGCGAGGTACTCCTTCATCAACCTGAAATAAGTTTGGAAATCTTCTGCACTCCGCCTCAGCATAAATAACAAGACTAGGATTTTCGACACTAATGTTAAGTTAGTCAGTTCTTCTATATGAGTAAGAGAGCTGGAGCAAAACTCAAAGCATTTCCAACAGGTTGCTGCAGACTTTTATCATCAGTTGCCTTCTCTGGCTCCATAGTGAGGATAAGATAGCCAGCCAACCGGAAAGAATGAGCAACAAGAAACTCTGGCTGGGAACAAACCAACCAAGAGCTGATCACTCAAAAATATGTAGGACAAAATGGAGATGGGTTGATCGGGTATACGTTGAGGAGATCATCGAATGACATCGCGCGCCAGGCCATTGCTTGAGTGGAATCCAAATGGGAAGTGACGAGTGGGTCATCCTAGGGTGAAATGGAGTAGATCATGAGAGGAAAAGATGAGAGATTATGGTCAATCGTGGAACCAGTTGATGAGGACAGCAGAAAATAGGACAAAATGGAGATGTGTTGTCGAAGACGTATTCTGCACTCGGAACTCAAGGGAATAATAATAAAAAAACCCTGTCTTTATCTTGGTCATAGTAATGTTCTTTATTTTATCTCTTGAATTGATTCCACTTCAATTTATCTTCACCTTCTTTATTGTTATCATCATCGCACTTTGAATTTTTTGACAACAATTCTGTAATTTATTGACTTCAACTCTCCCCGCCCCGCTCAATCACCTTAAACACCATATTAATTATCTTTATTCTTATCATATGTATAATGACTGGGTAATTTTTAGTGCCACTGAATACCGATTTTCCATAATATAAATACTACTATACAGACTGAAAATGTAGTCATTGATATATTTCTTCACTGAATAAAAATTGTATTTTTCCTAATTATTGAGTTAAATAGTGATATTTCTTAAAACCTCCTAGAGTCATTAAAAATTTACTGGGAAGGCATAAAATACGATCGTCCAGTTAATTTGTTATGTCCACTCACAGAATATTCTTTTTATTCCGTTACTTTCCCAGTGGAATATAGGATTTCAAGCTAGAAGCTTGAAATTTCGGTAGCAGTGGTGTTTATTTTTAAGGTGTGGAGGGGATTGTTAGCCCAACCTTCCCTCTTTACCTGTCTTACTACTGGCTTAGCGAGGTTTTGAAGTGCTTCGGCTGGGGATCAATCCCTGGACAACACGCGTGGTTGACGAGAGTTCTACCTCCATGCCACCGACTCACAGACAATAGCAAACAAAAATAACAATGACAATCAGTCTTCAGTGTAGAAATGGTCAGGAATTGAAATCGTACGGAGAGACAGAGAGAGATTCAACGAACAGGTGTTACTTTCTAGACTGATATTAACAAACTAGCACGGCCAGGGGTGGGTAGACTTCAGTCTTCCTGTCAAAATGCTCTCGTGTGGCCACGAACACATAGCTAGGGAGGGGATGTTCCTCACAAAAGTGAAACAGTGTGCTTACAACCGGACTGGGGCACATGCAGGTCTACCTTGGAAAGCTGGAATTTCTAATTGTATGCCTGTCGTGTACACTGACTTCAGAATCCAAACTAATCGAATCTCGTATGAACGCTATTCGGTAGCTAGTAGATAACCTTGGGAATGTACCTCCTGACTCTGCTCCACTGACGTGTGCGTCAAACTTGAATTCAGAGACTCGGTAGGCAGTGGTTCTTTGAGGCAACTCATCTGCTTCAACCTGAGTAGTATCTAAGCCCTCTCACAAATTTGGAAATCTTTTACGGTACCTCTCTTGGTGCCGATGAGGTATCAAGTTTGTGTTGGTCCTTGGATAAATTCACTAAAGATCTTATTTTTATCCATTATTTTCTTTCTTTGTCTGCTTTGTTTTCCTGTTCTGATAGAACCATTTCTTGGACAAGGGAATAGTTTTCATGGTGTTGGTGGTAGAAATAGCAAGAGAGCACAATTGCGTTATTCTTTACGTTTGATACGCAGTCTTGTCGAGACAAATGATGAACGTATTATCTTGGTAAGTAAAAACCAAAAAAAAAATCCGAGTGTTCGTTTGCGAGGACTCGGTCTGATTGGTTACAGGATTTCATCATGAACTGATAACGGTTAGAGAACCATTGGAAAACCAGCTGGGAGTACTGGACAGCTGTTTCTTCCTAGTTTGGGACTCTTCATCAGTCTTGGGTTCGAATCTCAGTGGGTGCGTAATGATGATGAGTTCTAAACTAGGGCGAAACGGATGTCCAGTACTCCTAGGTTTTCCAGTGGTCCTTTAACCAATGTCAGTTCATGATGAAATAGTAAATGTTTCATATTTGATGTTGCTATTTTAAGACATTTTTGAAAATGGCTACATCATATAGTGAAGTACAAACAAACTGTTTCACGTTACTTAATCGACTCAGTCAAACTGATGGATGTTGTTTTGGCATACAGACGTCGTGAATGAGTATCTTCATTTAATAATAATAATAATAATGATAGCAGTGTGGCCTGTACTACTGACAAGATTCATCAGTAGTATATGGAGGAAGAGGGATAAAAAATAGCCACAACATTTTAAGTCATTGGCTATAGAAGTAAAAGTCTATTTTCCAAATAACCATTTAGTTTACGTTGTGGTCAGGAAATAATCTGGAGTTTTTACCTTTAGAATATCAAAAATCAATCAAGAGGGCTTAACCTTCGGAATACAAAACTACCAGTCAGAACATTTTATTTTCCGCTGTCCTTATATTATAATTATTTCCTTGGTTTCTGAGTATAATATAGTACTTCAGCAATACATCTCCACCTTCTTCTATTATCTGCTGTCCTTTTCAGCTGGGTCCACGATTGCCTATTATCTCTCATCTCCCCCTCTATAAACGCTCTCCGCCATGTCACTTCACCTACTCTTCGTTTCGCGTTCGAAATCCACCCAAATGATGGTGTGGTGCGCGATATCATTCGACGGCCTCCTCAACGTATGCCCGATCAATCCATCAACATTTCCTCCTAAATATTTGTTGAGCAGTCGGCTCTTGGTTGGTTTGTTCCCAGCCAGATTTGCTTGTTGCTAATTCTTTCTGGCTAGCTGGCTGGCTACATAATCTTCAATATGGAGCCAGAGAAGGCAACTGATGACAAAAGTCTGCAGCAGTTCTATCTTCTCTGCCAGCGTCTACTGAAAGTTTGCTGGTTTTCTCCTGTAATTCCTCGAGTTTACGTGATATTAGACATATATCATCTGCGAAATCCAAATCTTCTAGAGCCTTCTTTTCGGTGCAACTTATTCCTGTCTTCTCACTTCCATGCACAGTCTGCCGCATAATCCAATCCACCACAATTAAGCATATCATCATCGGTGATAATAGGCAGCCAGCCTTGACTTACTCCTGTATTTACTTCGAACGCTTCACTGAGTTTCCTGTCCTAGATCACCTGACACGTTGTGGGCATTGTCATATAGCCAGCTGTTGAATCAGCTTGATAACGATTTGGACACTGCACGCCGTAGTGTTGAAGTAGTTTCGATAAATGTGGCTAAAAGTGTATAAATATATTTTGTGTGTTTTTCTTCAATAAGAAAGTCAGTTTCCAAGCTTCTTGTCTCCTGTCGTTACAGTTACATCGGATATATTCGAAACATTATGCTTGATACAATATGGAACTTCCAGTACATAGTACAATATTGCATCTAATTTTCTCTTTACATTTGCATAGTACGCTGGGGAAAATAATTAACATGTCATTTACGTTGAAAATAATGTCAGTAAAACGTATTAATGTAAAATTAAAAATATGAGTTAATAGAAATACTGATAGTAATATATTAATGATTGACAGAATGAAAATGGGATGTTTACTTATTGTCTTGGCGAACCCGGAGACGACAGCAGATATGCTGACTCCATTATTGCAAAAGGTCTGAAAAGAGGAAGAGGTTCCTACTGACTGGAGGAAAGGTTACCTCGTGAAACTACCAAAGAAGGGCGACCTAGGACTCTGCAAGAACTGGCGAGGAATCATGCTCCTGTCGACGCCAAGTAAAATCTTGAGTCGCATCATCCTGGAGAGAATAAAGGACGCACTGGATACAGAACTCCGACCAGAACAAGCTGGATTCAGGAAAGGCAAATCATGTTCTGACCAAATTGAAACTATACGCATTATCATCGAACAAAGCATGGAATGGCAATCAAACCTCTACCTCAACTTTATAGACTTTGAGAAGGCCTTCGATGGCGTTGACCGCGAAGTAATTTGGAAACTACTCGAGTACTACGGCGTACCCCAAATATTCATCAACCTTACTCAACAGCTGTACGATAACGGCACATGTCAAGTGATCCACAACGGAAAACTCAGCGAAGCGTTTGGAGTAAACACAAGAGTCAGACAAGGGTGCTTATTGTCACCAATGTTATTCCTAATTGTGGTGGACTAGATTATGCGTCAGACAGTGGGAAACGAGAAGACAGGGATATCCTGGACCGACGTGAAGAACCTAGAAGACCTGGATTTCGCGGATGATTTATGTTTGATGTCACACAAAATCGAAGACTTACAAGCGAAAACCGACAAGCTGGTCGAAGAAGCAGCAAAGACAGGACTCCAGGTGGACATACAAAAGACGGAGGTTATGAAAATAACCAACCAACAACAACAGCAGCAGCAACATCCAGTGCCAGTCACCATCAACGGGTTGGATTGGAAAGAGGTTACTTCACTCACTTATCTAGGGAGCATTGTCTCAACTACAGCAGGAACGGACGAGGATGTCAAATCGAGAATCGGGAAGGCGAGAAACACATTCATCAACCTGAAACCAATCTGGAAATCTTCGTCACTCAACTCAGCATCAACAACAAAATTCGGATTTTCAATACAAACGTCAAGTCAGTTTTGCTATACGGATCAGAAACTTGGTGGGTCACAAAGAATATTTCCAACAGCCTGTTGCAAACCTTTATCAACAGCTGTCTTCGTTCTATACTCAAGATCAGATGGCCGGAGAGAATCACCGACAAGAAACTATGGGAACAAACAAAACAAGAACCAATCGCCCAACAAATATGCAGGAGAAAGTGGAGATGGCTTGGACACTCGCTGAGGAGGCTGCTGGGTGACATCACGCGTCAGACCAACGCTCGAGCGGAACCCGAAAGGGAAGCGGCGAGTGGGATGTCCAAGTGTGACATGGGATAGATCGTGTGAAGAAGAGTTGAAGCAGTATGGATTAACATGGATACAAGTGAAAAGTACAGCAGAAGACAGAAGCAAGTGGAGGCGTGCAGTTGAAGCCCTATGTTCCACTAGGAACCCAAGGGAATAATAATATAAATAATAATAATGCTTATTGCCTTACAATGGATTAGTGTTTCCGTAGATAACACTTTCCTCATCGCATTGGATGCATGACAAATAAAGTGTTGTAGAGTTTTTTGTTAACTTAGTCGACCAAGCATAATATCTTCTTCTATATTTGCTTCTAGTCCTAACCAATTTCTTGGATGGGTCCTAGTGTCCGTTCACAATAGTTTTAACAAGTTGGTTAAACGAAAACCCCTGGCCGCACCAACTGCGTTTAGTGCCATTTGCAGTGTAACGGTGTCTTTCTTAAGTAGCCGATGAAAGATTATGGGGGAGCAATAAGAAGTAGGATAGGTAACATACAAGAATTAAAAAAAAAACAACTGTAAAAGTTGAAACTGAATGTTACCAGATTATCGTAACTTCCATTCATAGAAGGTTAGACGATATGTCTTTTTAGGAATTGACATGATGTGAGAAAACCAGGAAAGATCAGAGGAAATATGTAATTCAAGGCATATTTAACATTCAACGTAGTTCCACCCAGTTTTAAGTAAATGTTATGTGATTGATAGTGGTTAACAATGGAATTTTGGACAAAATTTTCTTTCTTAAGTGTTGGTTTGTGGGATGTAATTTACTTATGAGATGATCATTGATAACCAGAGAATATCGGACATCTAACTTTTGTCGATTCGTAGTATGAGGTAATTCTGTGCCGTGTGCTACTGATAATGTGGTGAGAGCTGTCTACTAGCCAATTGGTTGACAGTAATTGAGGTCAATGTTTATGTATCAAATAATAATAATAATAATAATAATAATAATAATAATTTGCTTTATTCCAAAACAGTACTTGTGATACAGAATGGAATTCTCAGCATTTTTACTACAGTATTGCATCCAGTTAGTACATTGTCAATAAATAGAATTCTACATAGATTGAGGAAACCACAGTTCATTATTACAACAATGCATTGGCATGTTCAGTAGCAAAGGTAAAGCTGAAACAGTGTTTGAAGGTGTTAGAAAAGTGGGAGCTGTCTTATTAACTGGCGTAAGCGAAAGAAAGAGACAAAGCAGCACATAACGGAAAAAGAAGAGAGAGAAAAGGAACAGAAAGAAAGGAAATGTTGAACCTATTGATGAAGTGGGTTGGAAAGATGAGATCCAGTTGTACTAATGACTATTTAATGAATTATAGGTGTCACGCCTAATGCTTTCTTTATCACACAGAACGCGAGCTAAGTAGGGTATGGTTGAGTTTTTGTACTTACTGGTGCGAGCATATAGTTTTCTATATTGGCTTCTGGTTTTACCTGATGAGATGCAAGGGGAGAGTTGTGAGTGAAGAGGGTGGTGTCAGTTAGATAAAATGGACTTGGCCCATTTTTCACATGAGTCCATGTGCCTGTCAACCAAAATATTAACAAGCTGGTTTAGTGGCACGTTGCTTACTCTGCTGACAACATTTAACATCCTGCGTAATATGTTATAGTCTTTCTTCAGTAGCCCAGGAAAAACTAAGGGGGAGATGGTGGTTGTTAGCCAAATTGGTTGACAGTAATTGAAGTCAAGGTCAAGATGGACAGGCGGATACAGTTAACATATAGATGAACTGACACAGCCACAAGAGATGCAAGGTTAACTTTCTGTGAGAAACAACCAATCAACAGACTGTATTTTCTACTAACATTAACCTACAATAATGTACATCAAAATCTATAAATACGTGTTGATTTTCCGTAATAAACGTTCTGTTGCCTGGCCCTTGTCTTCTGTTGTTACAATAAGATTCATCAGTTGTATATAAAGAGACTTCCATCAGTATTAAAACATCAAATAACTGGGAGACAAATTTGATGTCAGAGAAATCAAATGACACGGCGTTGTGGAGATACATGGGAGACGAAGTGAAACGAATACAAAGAAACACAACATGAAGACCAGAAGTAGCAGGCACAACACGAAAGATCTGTGTAAATGGTGATTTGCAGATCAGAGTGTACATAATTTCGCTATATAGAGATACTAATTCCTACATAAACATGCCTTTACCAAGTCTTATTAAAATAATTATTTTGAATTTCCAGTCGAAATTCTGTGTTTGTCATTTGATATTGGTGAACCTTACTACATGCACTTTGAAGATTCTTCGACTGTAGGTAATTAGATAATATCAAGTTGATTTCTTGTCTTTCATACCAAACAGCTAGCATCTCCATACACACCAAGCATTTCGGCCCACTAATATCAATCAACCGGGAATTCGAAGTTCCTAGGAGACAACACAAGTGAGATACTAACACATCGCCTTAGAAATGCGGTAAAGCCAAGAGCATTCCCTGCTGCTCAGTTACGCTGTATCTTTAAAACCACTCCTCTTCTGCGTTCGGGAATAAAAGACAAACTGCCTAATTTCGCCTCTTCCATGTGTATGTACCAATTTAACTGCTCCTGTGGAGCCAGTTAGCTGCATAGGCCGTACACTTAGGCGTGTTTCGCGTCGAATTTCCGAACATCACCCTGCCTGGTTAAGCCAAGGTCAAACAAAATCTATTCGCAGCGCAATTCTGGCTCATCTTGTGGAGACAGAACACAAGATTGACGTTAATCATGCTTTCAGGGTCATTTACCGCACACCTACGAATCTCAATTTCGCTTTAAGAGTTCGACTTCTAAATATTGCTGAGGCTGTGGAGATTCATATTAATAAGCCTAATTTATGCACCCAAAAGAAGTTAGTTCAGACATTATCCTTACCTTGGCCATCCAGGTTTGAATGATCATAAATTTTTGTGGAATTTTCCTAATTTTAGTTGGTATTCTATTCGCTACTATATCTTTATTATTATTATTATAATTTAAGCATCTTTAATGAACTGTAATTCCACTGATCTTACTTTACAAATCGATGTTATTTAAAAAAACGCTAATATTGTTATTAACTACTAATTTAAAATATTCTGTGTATATAAACATATATATAATTGTAGAGCCTGGAAGAGGAATTTATCGAAAAGGATATTCTTTGCTCGATTATTTTGTGTTTTATAGATAGATGTCTGAATGAATATTTTTGCTATATTGAATTCGAAGTAACTTAAATGAAAACCAACTGTTACTCGTTACACATTAGTAGACTCTTGTAATCCAGTGGATAAGGTTTTAGGTTTTTAGACAGAGGGCGCTGGATTTGAAACTCGCTGAGAATACAATCATCCACTAAGATTCAGATATATCCTAGATTCAATCAATAGTATGAAATAGTTTGCGTCTGTATTTTATGTCAGTGATAGTGTAACAATACTGTTGATTTCTGGGTTCCATAATAATACCTATCACGGATTACTTCTGACCCTCAGAGTCCGCGAATATACAGAGAGAAGACAAACTAGTTCATGCCAGTGACAACAATTTGATTTTACATAACTATAACTATATACAAACACTAAATACCTCAGAAAGTTAAGCTAAAAAATGACCAATTACATTCGTTGCATAAGGTCATGCTTGTAGATTTTCCCACAGCCCATCATCGTTTAATCATGTCTAAGCCTGTTTTCTCTAGCTTTGACTTGTTTAAACTTGTTTTAACTGCCTTCTATTACAGTAGTGTTCACTTGTGTTATTATAATACTATCGTTCTCACTGTTCACCGATTTTACCTTCTTTTTTATATCTCACACAGGATTTTGTCTGTCATGGTTTAATTCAATTTTTAATACCATTAATCTGTCCAATTTCATTAAGACTGAAATCGGAACGACCTCATGATGAATTATTGAAATTTGGCGGTGAAACATTAAGAGAAAGGCGTCGTTTACAAGATGAACGAAATATTGCACTGACAAACTCAAAAGACTTAGTGGACGATGAACAACAAGAAGAAGAAGATATTGTTGGATTAGAGATGCAGTGTGATTTACTCTTGATCTTAGCTAAATTATGTGATCTTGATGCTGAAAGGTAGTTATTGATTTATATGTAATTCTATTCAGTTTAAATAACTCAGCTAGAGGATTTCAAAGCTCTCTCATTTGCGTTATATGTATATGTTTCTGTCCAACAGCAACAAGAACAGACAACAATCAGCATAAATGGGAGAAATCTGAAGGAAGAAACCTCCTTTGCCTACCTACCTGGGAAGCATAGTTTAAACTACAGGCGGACAGAACTGATGAGGATATCAAAGCGCGAGGATCGGAAAAGAAAGACAAGCTTTCATTTCTCTCAAGTTTGTGTGGAGATCAACATCACTATTCAGCATCAAAAATAAGATCCGGATTTTCAACTCCAATGTGAAGTCAGTGCTACTAAAGATAAGGATCAGAGACTTAGAGTGGTCTCACGAAGGGCACTTTGAACAAACTACAGACCTTCATCAAGAGCTGTCTTCGCTCAATGCTTCGCTCAAGATCGGATGGCCGGGTAGAAAAGATCAGCAACAAGTAGGGATCTCTGGCAATGAGCGAACCAACAAACCCAGCAGGAACCAACTGTGCGACAAATCTTTAGGAAGAAATGGAGATTGATTGGCTATACTCTGAGAAAACAAATCATCAAGTGATATCACACGCCAGGCCATCGCCCGAGTGGAATTCGAACGGGAAGCAGAGAGTTGGTCGCCAGTGCGAGGGTGACATGGAGGAGGAGGTGATGTGAAGATGAGATGAAAGCATGTGGACAGACGTGGAGCCAGGTTAAAACGTTGGTGGAGAACCGAACGTGCAATGGAGACATGCAGCTGAAGCCCATGTTGTATAAACTGTTCATCATTTTTACCTAACCATTCAAAAATATGGTGAAGATTTGCAGCTTAGATGGAGGTTTATACGAGGTGGTTATGTTCTCTGAGATGCATCGCTTGACTGAGAACCTTCAATAGTTCTTCTAGATCACATCTCCAGAGCTGACTAATAATGAAATAGTTCCAAATTCATTTGTTTATTGGATAAATCACGTCGTGAAACAGCATTATTTACTGGATGAAGAAGTTTCTGACACAATATATTATTCCTGAATAATCCCCATCCAGACATTAATGTTTAAGAAAACACGTGTTATTTAGCGAAGAGTCTCTTTTCGCCGGCGAATTCATTCCCAATTAGCTGTGTACCAACAGAAGACAAGGGCCAGGCAACAAATCGTTTATTGAGAAAATCAACACATATTTATAGATTTTTATGTACATTATTATTCGTTATTATTAGCCGAGAAGCGACGTCTTCTCATTGGTTATCCTGTCATCTCTTTGTGGCCGTTTCTTTGAAGGTCAGACTATATATCTGCCAATCGTATCCACCTACGCAAAGTCTGCTGTGATTGGCTGTTGAGTTAGTCTTTGTTCTTGCTTTTTTCTCATGACCAAGATTTGGGATGTAGAGATTGACGTAAATTGCTGTCTTCCAATTTCGGCTAGCAGACAGCTCTCACCACAATATTACTTGCTGAAAATTCCATATTTGTAGCAAAAAGACTGTTTGGAATACAGCTATTATACTCCTTATTCTCAGTCTTCAAGGTCTTTTGAATGATTCATTCCACCACAATAAAGAATATAATCGCTGGTGGTGGGCAGCCTTGTCTTACTCCTGTTTTCACTTCAAACTCTTCTCTGAGCTCCCCTTTGTAAATTCTTTACATAATAATGAATATGTGGTGAGAGCTGTCTGCAAGACAAATTGTAGACAACAACTGACGTCAGTGTTTACGTCGCAAATCGGGGACATGAGAAGAAATCAAGAACAAACCCTAACCTTGAGAAACTCAACAACCAATCACAACAGACTTAGCGTGTGCCAAGACGATTCGCAGATATATGGATAACTTTGTAAGCAACGGTCACAAGCAGCACAGAATAACCTTCAGCGAGAAAGCAACCAATCAGAAGACGTTGTTTCTCTGCTAATAATAACGAATAATGATGTACATAAAAATCTATAAATATGTGTTGATTTTCTCAATAAACGATTTGTTTCCTGGCCCTTGTCTTCTGTCATTACAAATATGCTTTTCATTGAACCTCTTACTTTTATTGTCTATAGGAAACAAATGATTGGTACAGACGGCGTCGATGCTATCATCCAACTGCTTAAACAAACTTCAAAGAGATTAGCAACAATTGAATCTGTTCAATATCGTTTATTAACTCAGTCAACGCCTATTCAGGCAACATCGACATCATCATCGTCATCTCTGTCATCAATGCATTCAATTATATTATATCGTGAACCTTTGTTTAAATTAGCATATGCTTTGACTGAAGCTGTATGGTCTTGTATAATCGGTTCAAATGATTGTGAAGATTATTTCTTGATGAAAAATGGTGCAACATATCTACTCAATTTATTAGAGGTAAGGGAAATAGTTAAATAATTTAGAATATTTCAAAAAGATGAACATACTAATTAATTAATAATAATAGTATCTTTATTCTGAACAGTATGTACAAAACGCTCAGAATTTTCAGAGGAGTTGATTGCATGATATTTTCCCTTCGTACAGTCAATATCTTCAAGTAAAATATTAATTGACAGTATATCCTTCCTGTGACACTGTGGTCTCTGAGCTGATGAAGCACTTACCATTCCATTATGATATTTATTTGTTTCGTCTGCTTCCTTCAAGAAATCCACGATATCTAGTTGAAAGACAATTGTAAGATGTTCAGAAGTACACTTTCATACCGAAGTACGTAATTAAAGAACAGTTATCTCATGTATTGGGTCATGTCGCCACCCACAATCAGGCCATTCCTCAAGTTCAGTAGGAACTTGCGAATCAGAAGCTTTTAAACATTTTCAATACACACAAGAGTAGATAATACCATTAGAGGTCATGTCTCAAACGGTTAAAACAAACCGAACGAGAGAAAATAGATGTAATAGCGAGAGAAGGAAGTTTTTTGGAAGCCCAGGTTTTAAATCGGCCGCCGTAAAATATGTAGGCGTATATAGTTTTCCCACGCATGAACTTACTCCAGGTCAGTGTTGGAAAAAAATTATTCCGATTAGTTATTTGAGGTCGACAAAAATAGCAACTTAAATGTGATCTGAAACATAGATTCAATTTACTAAAGGTAACATAAATAGTTGAGGGTACTATACAGCTACTCTGTCCTAATTTTAGGCCCTTCAGAACCCACCCAAGATCAAACCTAGTAACTTCAGGTAATGAGAAGCGCCCATCTACCTTTGAGTAGTTACCGTTACTAATTCCTACGTAATGGAATAGAAGCTAGAGGATATTTAAGTAGAAGCTTGTATACTAGTATCCTGGTTAATACAGCTCTGAAGGCAGTTTCAGACTGTGAGGAATAAGAAGACAGGAATAAGTTGCACCAATAAGAAGACCCTATAAGATGTCGATTTCGCAGATGATATATGTCTGTTGTCACACACACACTCGAAGACTCACAGGTGAAAACCGACAAACTGACTGAAGAGGTGAGGCAGGCAGCGAAGACAGGACTCCAGCTAAACATAGAGAAGAAAGAGGTGATGAAGATAACCAACCGAAAATAGCAACAACAACCAGCACCAATCACCATCAACAGGGGACATTAAACAGAAATTGCCTCCTTCACTTATCCCGGAAGCATCGTTTCAACCACAGGCAGTGGGAACAGATGAAGATGTCAAAGTTGGCCGGAATCGAAAAGGCAAGAAACGCCTTCAACAACCTGAAACCGGTTTGGAAATTTTCGACACTCAGCATTAAGAAAAAGATCCGGATTCTCAACACCAACATCAAGTCGGTCCTCCTATACGAGTCAAAAACTTGGCCAGCGTATCACGAAAAGAATTTCCAACAGTCTGCTGCAGAGTTTTATCAACAGCTTCGTTCGCTCCATACTGAAGATCAAATGGCCTGAAAAAATAAACAACAAGAAACTATGGGAACAAACCAACCAACAGTCGATCGCTCAAAAAATATGTAGGAGTAATAGATTGATCGGGCATACATTAAGGAGGCCGTCGAATGACACCACGAGCCACAGCATCACTAGAGTAGGATCCAGATGGGAATCGAAGAGTTCTAAATTGACAAGGAGGAGATCGTGTTGGGAGAAGGAGATGAGAGATCATGGGCAGTCGTGGGCCTCGCCAGCTATAGAGGACAGCAGAAAATAGAAGAAAGTGTTGTTAAAGCTCCGTGTTCCACTCGGAACCCAAGGGAATAATAATAATAATGGAGGCACGTAGGAATGAAGTGGACATTGATCATGTGCTCAGAAATAGGACTAATTTCTCGGTTGATGAAATACTACTAGGTGTTCGCTTACTTCTAACCTCCATTGTACTCACGCTTCAAAGCAAAATATACAAAATAAAATAGAGTGGTAATGGGATCACCCACACACTCTCTCTGTAGTGGACGTATTTATGGATATTTGGATACATAAAGCTCTTGGAAAGTTTAATCCAGCTCCTAGGCTGTGGTAGAGATATGTTGATGACACATTCACTGTACTGAAGTCTGAAAATATTCCCAAGTTCATTACACATATACAGATTTAGTATTAGATGGAATTCAATTCGCTTTTGAGTTAGAAAATGAACAAGGTGAGTTAGCTATGCTAGAGAGTAGAATAAAACGAAAACAGAGTCGTTGGTTAGATACTATCCTTTATAGGAAAAAACGATATATTCTAATAAATACTTAGACTTCAATTCATCCCATGCAGAATCTGTAAAGGTAGGTTTAGATAAATGTCTACATAATTGGATCAAGAGACCAACTACCAAATCAGGGAACTTAAATATTGAAACCAAACATATAAGAAAATCATTATTATTATTTCGTTGGGTTCCGAGTGGAATATAGGAATTCAACAACACATCCCCACTTTCTTCTATTCTCTACTGTCTTCTTTAGTTGGCTAGTGCCAAGATTGCCCATAATCCCTCATCTCCTTCTCACACGCTCTTCTCCAAGTCACTCTCAAACTGAATACCCACTCGTTGCTTCCCATTTAGATTCCACTTGAGGGCCTGGCGTGCGATGTCATTCGACGGCCTCCTCAATGTATGGTCAGTCGATCTCCATTTCTCCAACATATCTGTTGAGCAATCGCCTCTTAGTTGGTTCGTTCCCAGAGTTTCTTGTTGTTAGTTCTTTCTGGCTGGCTGGCAGTTTGAACTTCATTATGGAGCCAGGGAAGTGGACAGCTGTTGATAAATGTCTGTAACTTGTTGGTAATTTTTTTCGTGACTGACTGACTGACTTAACGTTTGTGTTGAAAGTCCGAATCATTACAGGCGAACGATTATCCACCACATTTTATCCAAAAATGTGTGAAAACCCATAACGGGAATAAAAGTAGTAATATAATTAATGATAATAATATCAATAATAATACATTTAAATCCTCAATAATACTGTCATTTAAAGATGGAACATCAGGTGCCCTATGTAGGATTCTTAATAAGGCTGGAATTCAAGTGACATCTAGGCCAACCAACTCACTCAGAAACAAACTTTGCTGGCTTAAGAAGTCGATAGATCCAATTTGGGAAAAATAGTATAATTCAGCCAATAGAACGTTTTCAGGCAGCACACCCATCAATAAAATTCCCCATTTAGAACGTGTTACGAACATGGCATTGCCATTTGCCGATGTACTACTTACCAGAAGACAAGACTGTATGATCCAAAGACTAGTAGTATGTATTGGCTGTGAAGTCAGTTACATATATCAAGGAAGATCTAGAATGACTGAACCTGCTAATCTAAATAATCTAGAGGAAAGCTCTTCCATTGTAATGCATCTATTTGCATCTGTCCACATACAGTTGGGTGAGATGGGATAAAAATCTTAAAAAGCAATATGATTACGTGGTGAGAGACAGGCAGAGAGAGGCTAATCATCAAATCAACATCAAACATGTACAATCTAAATGAAGCGACGCCTATACCGGATATACAATAAGAGAATAAGACTGTATGCAACCAGTTATGAAGTTGTGTAGATACATTGTTTTATGATTATGAGCAATAAATTATGCTCCAGACTTCATTCAGTTATTAGCACTTTACTACTGCTTATTATATTAACTTGTTTATTAGATATATAAAATCAAAACAAATGATTCAGCGAAGAGACTCTCTCCAACAACGAATTTATCATCAAGCTGTACAATCGTATATATATATATATATATATGTATATATATATATATATATATATATATATATATATGGTTTTTAAGAAGTTGTATCCGGTGTGGGAATTGAATCATAGGTGTGAATGCATGAAATAATAATAATATGAAATGTAATTAAAACTAAAATGATTGTGGTTACTATTACTACTCTCACTTTTAACTGTCCCCGGTATTATTTCACTTTTTCCACTTGTCATTCTAAATCAGTTCCCTTTTACAACATTAAATTTTGTGCTACCAAATTTCACACAATATAACTTAACGTTTTTATTTTATTCGATCTGTCTACTAATCTTATAACTGCACACCTTTTCAAGTTCTATCCATCCTATGAATTATTCTATATATGACATTAATTTGGTTTGCCACTTGAAATTTAACTACGTTTATAATCACAAACATTTTAGTTTTAATTACATTTCATATTATTATTATTTCATGCATTCACACCTATGATTCAGTTCCCACACCGGATACAACATCTTAAAAACCATATATGTACGATTGTACATCTTGATAATAAATTCGTTGTTGGAGTGAGTCTCTTCGCTGAATCATTTGTTTTGATTTTATATATGTTACAATGGGAATTTTCCATGATTTAAAAAATATTAGTTGTATCACACAGTGACACAGTTTCAAACACAATTTATTAATGATCATAGTCACATCAGTTTTAATCACACTCGCATGATCACTCATATAATTATTATCACAGTCAGGGATACTGGTGGTGGATATATATATATATATATATCCACCACCAAAATATATATATATCTACATATACATATGTATGAATTGTGGTAGATATAATCCTGGATATGTAGGAAAACTTGGAGATTGAAACGTTTAGCCTCACCCCAAAAGTATGGTCAAGGTATGTAAAGGACACACATTCACCCTACTTAGAACACAGAAAATGAATAGATTTTTCGAAGACATCAACCCTATGGTGTAGGCAATTCAATTCATTTATAAATTGGTAAGTCAGGAAGGAGGGGGAGCTTTCAATGTTAGATTGTAGCATAAAAAGGAAAGATGGGAAGTTAAACACTAGTGTGTGTTTACAGGAAACCCGCACATTCAAACCCACATTTGGATTTTCGATCATCCTATCTTATGTCAGTGAAAATTATTATTATTGCTTCCTTTAATTCTTAGAGGAACAGAGGGCTTCAGCCGTGCGTCTCCATTGCGTTCGGTTCTCTGCTAGAGTCTTCTCTTGGCTCCAAGTCTGCCCATACGTTTTCATCTCCTCTTCACATGACCTCCTCCAAGTCACCCTTGGACAACCAACTCGCCGCTTCCCTTTCGGGTTCCACTCGAGCAATGGCTTGTCTAGTGATGTCACTTGATGGTTTCCTCAGTTCATTGAAGGCGCAGAAGTCAACGAAGAGTTCTCCATTTTCATTCATTTCTCCGAGAGCTTCTCTACCCATGATGAGTTCCCTTCCTGTGTTGTCTGGTCCCAGTTTGGCGTTCATGTCTCCCATTAGTATTTTAATGTCACCAGCTGGAGTATTGTCCATTGTTGCCTGTAGTTGTCTATAAAACTCTTCTTTCTTCTCGAGATCTGCGTTGTTTGTGGGTGCATAGCATTGTATAACTGATACTTTCCTTCCGTTGGAGTTGAACCTGGCGTTCATTATCCTGGGCGAGATCGCTTCCCATTGCATCAGGGCCTTCGTTGCCGTTGGTGACATCATGATAGCCACGCCCTCGGTGTGCGAGTGGTTATCTTCTGGGTGACCGGAGTAGATCACGGACTCACCCGTTGACAATTTGGTGAGTCCATTCCCGTTCTATCTGCTTTCACATATTCCCAGTACTTGGATTTTGTATCTTTTCATTTCGTTTGCGATCTGGGCAGCTTTGCCAATCTCGTACATGGTGCGGACATTCCATGTCCTCACACAGACTTTTTCTTTTGCCGCAAGGAGATTCATCGTGCTGAAGTTTCTGTAGCAGCTTTGTTTAGAGGGTGGGGTTGCTAGCCTCACGCATGAGAAGGGTATTGTTACATTAAAATATAGTTTAGAGAGAAGCGACCTTGTGGGTTGCTCCCCTTAAAACCAGGAAAACAATGAATAAAACAATCAGAACAACACCAGCACAGGAAAATAATTCACAACAAAAAGGGTAACAAGCGACAACAACAATAATAATATCACAGTCAAGTACAGTTAACCAAAAATGATACCAAAACCATAGACTCACTGACTTGTGCCAACTGATATGGATATAGTTGATATGGATTTATATTATTTTGGTCTAATTTCCTTTCTTTTTGTTCCTTTACAGTGGTATCCAATTGAATCGGTCAACTATCTATTGGGTTGTTTAGTCGATTTAACTGAGAATTCTAAATGTCTACCATATTTATCCAGTTGGTCTGGTATTCGTCCTTTAAATGAGACCATTGATGACGATAATACTACGAGACAGTCAAGTTCAACTTGACCATTTCCATACTCTGAGTCATACTGATGCCAGTCCATTGAAACAACAAATGAGTCATCTAGAATTGACTACTTCACTGTTAACCAAGTCACCTGATCTAGTTGTATCAACTAAACTACACAAGATAATCAGTAGTACTAGTAGATCAACTGTTCATGATACTAATACCAATACTAATGATGACCAGACGCCTCTGAGTGAGAATTATGAAGAACGTTCAAGTCGAATTTGTAAACAAGATACAGTAAATCTCATAGATCCAGATGAATCGATCAGTGTATGGTTGAATGGACCAAGTTTACCACAACTACTCTGTTATCTATGGAGATGGGAAGAAAGGAGGATAAGACGAATGAAAGAACAAAAATCTAAAGTTGGTAAGTCAAAAGGAAACGTTTGTTTATGTTGTCATGTTAATCAATAACAGGCTACCACAGATTTTCGTCAGTAGCTCCCTTCGGAGGATCGATAAGGAAGATCAGATGGCCAGCCCGCCAGTCAGAAAGGATAAGCAACAAAGAACTATGGCAACGAAATAACCAAGATCCTGCCTGTCAGTAAAAATGTAGAAGCAAATGGAGATGGATTGGACACAAGGTGATTGGACCGCTGAGTGACACCACATGCTATCCAGACCCTCGAGCAGGAAACAACGAGTTGGACGTGAGTCAGAGGGTGACATGGAGGAGATCGTGTGAAGAGCAGTCATGTGGCCAGCGAATAAGCACTTCAGGGAATAACCTGGAGACAGAATGTGCTATTGAAGCCCTTTGTTCAACTTGGAACTCAAGAGAATGGCAAAGTGGTTAGGACTCTCGCCGACCATGCACATGGTCCGGGGTTCGATCCCCTGCCGGCGCACACCCGATATCTATGGTCGGCCTGCAAAATTTGGGCTACCGATATCCATGCTGAAAATTCCATACTTGTACTGAAAATACGGTGTGGAATCAAGCTGTAAATCAAAATAAAAAATAAAAAAAATAAATCCCTACTTGATAAATCGGATTAAAAAACAGAAAGATTGAGCGAAGAAATATTTACTTTTCAATTAGATCCTCATCTCTGGCTCTACTCTTATATATATCCATAGCATTTTTATCACAATACACAACAATTTACCAATCAAGTGGCACTGATTTCTTTGTTAACAATAATTAGTCAGTGTCAAAATGTCAATGGGGACAATATCAGCGAAATAATAACACAGTGCCTGAAGAATGCAGTTAAAAGAGCTTATTATGCAGCAGAGGTACGTTGTCTCTTCACAACTACCCCTATTCTACGTTCGAGAAATAAGGATAAACTACCTAAATTTGCCTTCTCTATGTGTATCTACCAGTTTAACTGCAGCAGCGGAGCCAGCTACATTGGGCGTACAATTAGGCAGGTTGGTCATCGTATTTCCGAACATCATCCAACATGGTTAAGCAAGGAACACACAAGACACTGACTAATTATTGTTAACAAACATATCAGTGCCACTTGATTGGTAAACTGTTGTGTATTGTAGTAAAAATGCCATATATATTAGAGTAGAGCCAGAGATGAGGATCTAATTGAAAGGTAAATATTACTTTGCTCAATCTTTGTGTTTTCTAAATGTCTAAATGGGGATTTTTTCTATATTGAAATCGGATTAACAGAATTATCTCAACGCTGTAAATCAAATTCACAGTTTGTACATTTTTCTGATCTGAATGATATCGGTTTCCAAAGGAAACTTTGGTGAAAGTTCACTTCCTCGAGCTGTGTAAATTTCAAATTAGTTTGCAGACTGCGAATTCGATTCATCCAAATAGCTTAGCAGAAATTGGGTGGTGTAATTTGAATCGGCTCTCTTAACTGAGTCAGGTCGGGTACACGGGTGATGTGCTCGACCCCAAAAGAGCGAAACCGCCGTCTAGTGTTTGGAGCACTTCAATCTGGCTGGCTAGGGAGCACTATTGACTAATGTCAGTGGTATGCGACACCTAGTACCACTTTGTCAGTGGTATGCAATTGTTTATTTAGGCTTGAGCAAGTCGCTGATAGCCCTTTTGATTGTATCGGTGAGGTAATAAAGTCCAAAGAAGTAGGATAGTGATAGAAAGGTAGTTTGAAATAAGTAAACTGGATGTATAATTCATTTTGGAATAATAGAGGCGATTTGTGGCTTATTCGGATGTTTTCGGTGTTGTTTGTGTACTCTGAGCTGGATGATTCAATTACGAAGTCTTCTTTTTTTTGACAGTATCACAGGTTAACTGACACTGAAGTAGGTGTTTCTAAGTCGGCTTCTAATGATTTGATTGACGTCAAAGTTAGATTGTATCACGAACTGACATCAATTAGAGGACCACTAAAAACCAGGGAAAAACTTTTTGATGTGGTTGTGTTCTCTGAGCTGGATAGTTAATCAGAGGCATCCAAATAGATGAACAAGAGATAATGGTATCTTTCGATGTCACAGCATTGTATACTTCAAGCGGACAAAAACTAGCAAAAGAAACCATGGAGCAATTACTTAGCAACGACTAACACCTTCCACAAAAATCAAAAATGCAACACACAAGTTGGATGGGATGCATAAACCTATGTCTAACAACGTACTTCCAGTTCAACGGCCAAATATATGAACAAGTCAAAGGAACACCTATGGGATCGCCAATATCAGGTTTAATTGCAGAAGCACTGATGCAAAGGCTCGAGAACATAATTCTACCAAAGATCAAACCCAAGATTTGGATACGTTACGTAGACGACATATTTGTAATTATCAAAAGAAATGAGTTAGATAAAACTCACAACTTAGTAAACAACGTCTTCAACGACATCAAATTCACAAGAGAAGAGGAATCAGAAAACCAAATCTCATTTTTGGACGTCTTAGTCAAGCGAACAACGACAGGGAAATTAGAAACTCAAGTCTATAGAAAATCAACTCACACAGACCAAATCCTGAATTACAACAGCAAGAATCCAATAGCACACAAGAGGAATTGCATACAAACACTATTCAAGAGAGCCAGGACTCATTGCAGCACTCCCACTTCAAGGAAAATTGAAGAAAAATATCTCATGGACGTCTTCCAAAAGAATGGATTTCCAAGGAATTTCATCAAAAGACATATACCCCCAAGCCAACCTATCAAACCAAAAGTCCCCAAGGAAAGCACAAAGAAAATCGCCTTACCAAATATAAAGGATATCTCAGAAATCACTACAAGACTCTTCAAACCTTTGGGAATTGACGTCGTACACAAACCAACAAAGTCACTTCACTCAATTCTATGTCAACCAAAAGACTCAACAGCGAAGGAAGATAAATCAACATCATCTACAAAATAGATTGTAACAACTGCGAAAAACACTACATTGGCCAAAGTGGACGTCCTCTTCGTCTTCGCATCGATGAACATAAACTAGCCGTCAAAAGAAATGACATCCATTCCCTCATATCACTACATACAGACAACCACGGATATCGATTTGACTGGAACAAACTTCAAATATTAGACAGAGGAAACAACAAGAATGCTAGAGAATTTTTAGAAGCTTGGCATTCCAATGAATCATCAATCAATAGACACATCGAGATAGACAACATTTATCAACCGATAAGAAAGAATAGTCACACCCAAAGGGTAAAAGTTCAAGTCAAAGAAACAATGAGTGACAATACAATTAACCCAGAAGGTGTGGAAACACACAAAAACAACCAATCACGTCCACGGTCACCAGGAGAGATTGTTAATAAACTCGTGGAGAAATTTAAAAGCTCACTTCATCGAAATGAAGTATGCGCTGAAGATGTCACCTAGTAGGGTGATGAAAGCTTCGGAAATTAACTATCTAGCTCAAAGAACACAACCACATCAAAATCATCCACCTGAGCTACAAATCTTCTCTATTATACTAGGGAAATACATTTCGGATTGTGTTATTAAAAGATGGAGATTATCTGAAAAATGTGATGTGATGTATTTCCGCCACCTACATTTCGAACAATCTGATGATCACACATACATTTACTTGTCAATTCAATTTATGTGAAAAAAATAAAGGGCAATTAAAGTACACAAAGAGACAAAAAAAGAATTTAAGAATAATAAGAATAGGTTGGAGGATTTCATCATGAGCTGACATCAATTAGAGAACCATTGGAAAACCAACAAGGAGTACTGGACAACTGCTTCGTCCTAGCTTGGGACTCTTCAACAGTACGTACCCACTGCCAGGGTTCGAACCCAGGACCTTCTGGTTACGAGGCTAGTGAGCTCGTAGATCATTAAACCACTGAGGCCCGATCCAATGGACAGCGGCCATGAATTCTAACTTCTGGCAATTCATGACGTAGCGCGACCACTTCACAACGTCTTCTTCTATGAGTTACTGCCTCACCTCGAACCTGTTATACCCTACTGGTCATGGCTTCCCACTAGAACTCCAGGTTAACTGCCTGAATAGGACCAGTCCCAAACTGTCCAGTACTGCCTGTTAGTTTTCCAGTGGTTCTCTAACTGATGTCAGCTCATAATGAAATCCTCCAACCAATCAAACAAATTCCCTACAAAACCAATACTTGAAAAATAATTTGAATAAATAACACAACGTTTGGTTATCCAATCAGAGGGAGATTATGAAGGTAGGTTGAGAGTAATAATAAATGGTTTTTGAACACACCGGGGGAGCTTAAGTTTATGTACAGCTGTAGCCTCAGCGTATTCCAGTAAGTGCCCTTGACCATTTTTATAGATGAACTTAATAGCTGTGTTAACTTCAGTCTTATGGTTCCTGTCGTTTAGAAGTTTGGCTATAGACGAAGTTGGTAGTCTGCCATCTGTGTCTATTGATTTTCCACAATTCATTTGTCTTTATAACCATTTCGGAATGTGCTCTCTCACTCTCGCATCCAAAACGCAATTACACCACACTATGTGTGTGTCCACACATATGTAAATTTGCATATAGTGTGGGATATGATATAATCACTTGTGAACTTTTGAGGTTTACAGTGGAGCATATTTTTGGCTTTTTCAATGATTACAAGCCGGGCTACATAAGAGGTCTTACAAATGACCGAGTTTAATCTCTATCTTAAAATCCTACTGTTTATTTCCCTGTTATATGGTAATTTGATGAAAACATTTTTCTTAGGGGTGGCATAGATTGTAAGTTTTAAGACTAATTGACTTCTACACGGGTTTAAAATTTTTAAGGGGTATTCGTTTTCAACAGGAGTGTCCATCAGTATTTTATTTTCCTTCTCTTTACCATCAACCGTACAAATACACTGAACCCTCTTAAATAAGCATTTCATCAGGCCTATCTTATACTGCAGTTGACAGAAGCTGAGAAAATTTTGATTATTGCCCTGTCCAAGTAGGATTTCCGTAAATTGGTCGTCTTATTGAACCATCATTTATTCGACTCAGAAGTATGTCTAAAAATGCAAGCTGTTTGCGACCTTCTTCCTCGCATGTTAGAATTATATGATTCTGTACAGATTTAAGTCTATGTAACAGACGACTCGCATCTTCATGACCATCAGACTGACGAACCTATTGGAGGTGGAATTCAAGACCTTAAGCCAATTGGATCGTATCCAATGAATGGTTAATTCCAAATTCTGTGAGTCACTTTGTGGTGAGCGTGTCGACTAGCCAAATTGGATGACAGTAATTGGGGTCAAGGTCAAGATGGACAGGCGGATACAGTTAACATATAGATGAACTGACACAACCACAAGAGATGCAAGGTGAACTTTGTGTGAGAAACAACCAATCAACAGACTGTATTTTCTACTAACATTAACCTACAATAATGTACATCAAAATCTATAAATACGTGTTGATTTTCCGTAATAAACGTTCTGTTGCCTGGCCCTTGTCTTCTGTTGTTACAACTTCACTATAAAATTCCACAGTCAGTCACTGAAAATTCTTATGCTAGAAAGAACTCGCACTGCTGCAAGCTCTTCGACAGTTCTCTAGCTGTTGTCGGTTTGTAATGAAATCAAACTTGATATCAATCAGCTGCCTACAAACCAACACATTTGAAAATTGATAAACTGTCGATTATTGTCTGACTATGGAATAAACGTCGAGGGATTTTATTGAGAAATCGTGACTGATGCTGTCTATCATACTAGGCGTGAGGAAAAATGCTAATTGATAGCATTGGATAGGTGGACAGCATCTTTGCAGTCAGTTTGCAAAAATGATCCGGAACTTCAAAATTTGATTCAAAAACAGTCAGTATTTCAGTTACGCAACGGTTGGCGTTCATGTTGTACTGTCTCTCTCCCTTCGCTATTTGGGTTATAATGAATCATAATAAGATCACCAGATGCGAACACAAGATCTACTTTCCGAAAAGCTGATGAGCACTGTTCAGCTTCTAACTGTCAAATATCAACAATTCAAAGTGTAGTGTGATGGCGAGCCACCTAGAATGGTGGCCACATTGCAAACTTGACTGATAGAGGTCAGTCTGCCCCAAACAGAGGACTACATACATTAATAACTAGTATCCAATACAGTCCTGCAGGAAGTCAATCGCGAGCCCAAACAGGTCAGCGGTAACGTCTCTGATTGCAGCAGTGGATGATGTGGGTTCGAATCTCAAGAGGGACATGAAGTCCTTCAAGGTTACAGATACGCCTTGCAGACGAGTGCCAACTAGCCTGAAACCTAGGTCGAAGTCTTTCTACCAAATGCCTCCAACCATCTAATATTGTTTAGTTCACTGCAAAACAGTATAGTTACCGGAAAGGTATTCAACAACATGGAAGGAATGTACAGTGTTTAGCGATAAATCACAAGAATGAATTGAAAGCACTTATTTCCCGATACGAATTTAAAACAAGCAATAAAGGTTAATAAAACAGGATTTAATGAATTCATCAAATTTCGGTAGAACTCCTCCTCAGCTGAATACTCTACATACACAAATATACATACTTTTGAAATTACATTGGGAGATATAAGACTGATAAGTAAACAAACTACATTGAATAAGTCATGCAGAAAGACAGGTGCGAATGTTTTCCAGGTCATGTTGAAATAGATAAGGGGAGAGAGAGTATGAGAGGTCAAAATTAAGATAAATTGCATTACGCTTCAATTACATCACTTAGATAAACAATTAGACATTAGAGAATATAACAAGAATTGCAAACAGAGTAATATCAATAGTAATAGTTATAATAACAACAATAATAATAGGGTTGAAGTGAGTTAAGATAATCCTACTGATAAAGGATAGCTTAAATGAATCAAGAATAATAATAGTAATAAAAATAATAATAAGAGGTAGAATTATAAGTAAAACGTATTACCATGGTAGATTCAGAGTCACGACCATCTCCTTTTGTACACAGAGACCTGGTTTATAAACTCGAATTGCACAAGCCTCTGCAATTGCAAGCATCTTCTTGTTTCTTTGTCTGCCGACAATAGTGAATGACTTGACCACGTCGATATCATGTCCGTAATCCACAAGATGCTTTGTTATTGAGGATTTTGGCACTTTGAAAACAGACATGAAATAATCATTGGCTCTGGCATCTAATGTACTGCATGGATACTGTTTTGTTCTGTGCTGTGATCAGTAATATCGAAGAAGAGTCCTAGATACTTTACTGAATGCAGGCACGAAGAACTGGCATTTTTCAGTGAGAAGACAAAGTCATTCTGTTGTAACAGCTGGTCAATACGATTCACTGTTCGTTCGTGAGAAACAAAACCATGTGTGTTTGAGTTTGATTTAGTTACCCACACAATTCGATCCGAGTACAACTTTCATTTTTTGTGATATTTCGATTATTACTGATGTTTAAACTTTGATGATGGATTGATATCAGTTAAAAAAACCATCGAAAACCTGGGAGTACTGGACAGTTGTTTCGTCCTAGCTTAGGACTCATCGATACTATGCACCCACCAGGTTTCGAACCCAGGATCTTTCGCTCACAAGGCGAGCTCATAGACCATTCAGCCACTGGAACCTGACTCAATGGCCATCCTGAGAATTCTGTCTTCTAGCAATTCATGATTTTAGCGGAACCACCAACCAATGTCATCGGCGGGAACTCATTCCCCACTCCTGACTGGATGGACCCCGCTGGTCACGACTTCTCTCAAGGACTCCAGCCAACTTCTTCCTGTGTACAGTCACTAGCAACTATAAAATTGATTTTTCAAGAATTATTTCGTGGGGATTTGATTCGTGTCCTAAACTATTAGGAAACAGGTGTTTAATGTTTCTCTGACTGATGTCGTTCCGTGGTCAAATTTAAAACGAATCAAATCCCTAAAATCAAACTCTTGAATATTATTGTCACGTTAAAACATTGACCCGAATGTATAAATCCCTTACCCTCTCCCTCTATGTTGCAATTTTTAGATGAACAAACCAAAGTTGAAAATGAGAAGAGAAGTGACAACAACTGTCCATCGTCAAGATCAGAATCCAAATGTGACAGTCTCAGAATGAATATTTACGCTTTATTTTTAAGATTAGGCTTTAATACTCATGAGAATCTTACACCAAAGGATCAGATTACCCTGGAAAAAATTGAATCATATCTTGATTTAAAGGTAAGATTTGATTTAATAATTTACGTGGTTGAAAACGATACTGATAACTTTTTTGATGATTTCCATGCTACTGAATAGAATTTTAAGTAGAAAGCTCTTTTACAAGTAAAATCTGTGATCATTTTGGGGATCACATGACACGAATGGGACTAGCAATCACATTTCGTCAAAAATAACTCTTCTCTACTGAGAATTCAAAGCACAGAAAAATTTAACTTAATTTACTTTGAAATCAAGAAAAATCTGCAACTGGAGGACCATTAATGTCGGTGGATGAAAGCCATGTGGAAGCCAATCGTTCTGCGTGTCTGATTTCTATGAAAGCAGAAGTGTGGGTATATAAAATATTGATACCACATTTGAGGCTGCTTAGAGCGCTCAGATTGCAGAATAAATGGGAAGATATGCTACAGTGGTGTTAGAAATATGCAACAGAAGGTGAAGTGGGAGTGAACTCTCCAGATTGCTAATCGGAGAGTTAATAATCTACTCCTCTGACACAGACGACAATCACAAGTACCCTGTGGGTGTGGCTGCTATGATGTCAAAAATAGCATAAATGACTCTTCTGTAGTACGGACCAGTCTCTACTCAAGATCACAGCAACAACAGTGGTGTTACAATCCAACAATATGTGATATATCTATACGATCCTTGAAGGTTACTGTTTAGCACGCCATGTTTTTTAGTCTGTCACACCGACATCAATCTGTCAGTGTATCAGCTAATCTCGAAGAGTATTCATCTCACTTGTGAGTATTAATTAACAGGCTTAGAGATTTTACCGTAAGCAGGTTTTTGCAGGCAGCTGTGTAGGTCACCCTCTGAAATGGACCAAGAGAAAATCGATAAATTGCACTGAGATTATAAAAAGACAGTATTTGTCAATTATCCATTCTTTCCAAGTTCTGACGACTTTATTCATCGTTTGCATGAGATCTTCTAAGTGTTGTTAACGTTCATTTTTACTTTCCATCGGATCAGTAGACAACTACTGAATATACCAGCAATAGGAGTTGGGATCAAGTTAATTACATGAACATGTTTACAATGACAATTTTTTTGACAACCGACAAACCTCATAAGAAATCTAGCATGTGCTGAAACCTTATAGAAATGAAAACATGTGTTCTAACAGGAGTGGCATCCGTATTCGCCATTATTCTATCTGTAGATGATTACAATGCGATCCTTTTGAGTTCATGTTTACATTTGGAGATTTTAGTTATGAGTTGACCTAGTGGCAGTGGTTTGCGGCTAGAAAAAAGCTCTGATTTATGTCAAGCTGCAATAGATCAATATATTTCAAATAATCATCTACTATCTGAATATTTCGACTGAGACGATACTTTTATGTCTGAGTTTAAAATGAAATGGATTTTTGACAGTGTATATGGATAAAATATTCATCTTTCCTGATGACTCTGACAGTGAATGTTGTGACCGGAAGTACGACTTAGTAGACTATGAGAGGATACTAACTTAATTCCCTTGCTAATCTGGCCGAATGTCACGTTTACAAAAGCAGTAACACCGCCAGCATTCAAAGAGAAAAGAAAAAACTGGACGTCGACAGAGAGCTTTTACTGTTTCAAACGATAGTCAAAATGCCTGGCAGAAACTCTATATATATACTAGTGGAATGACCTTGAAAGTGTAGCAATCCATTGGCGCATTAAAAGTATTACCAGCCAATAGGAATCCAGTAATCCGAACATAGAAAGAAAGGGCTCACACAGTGCGCGATAACTCCCTAAATGGTTGTTTTAAAGTCTTAGGCTAAATTAGGCAAAACTAGGAGTATATAACAGTGAATAGCTAGAGTGGAGGGGATTTCCTTATCATTGTATATGCTTGTACCTTTCTGTAATGGACTAAGAATAGACAAGTTACTTTCAGTGACACAAAAACCAGGTATAATATCGATTTCCTGACTAAATAACTGCAAAAAGGCTACAGTCTTTTACAAGACAAATTCATGACTTACCAGATTCCATCAATGCAAGTCTTTTACTACTGTGGTGTGTACTAATTATAAACAAATTTACATAGCACGTAGAGTAACGTCTTCGAAGAAGTAATACTAATTTGTATGTCAATAAAAATGCAACTGATTAAGAAACACTTAAAAATTAGGTAGTGATTCAGATAAACAAAAGACGGTGATGAACAAATCGTAGCTGATACAGAGTGGATAATAAAACTCTTTTAAAATTTGAGATATTTTAAGTTGAAATAATAAAGAAGCTTTGTAGCTCAGATGGATGACTCTGATATGTGTAGCTGCACTCTCTGAGGAGGGTGATTTAATTGCGAAGTCTCAGTTTTCCTTCTAAATAACATCACTTCAGTGCAGACTTCAATAAGAAGTGAGATTATTTGAATTCTCCTTGAATGATATAATTGTATCTCTTAAAAACGTTTGTCTTGTCTGGGTGTTAATATGCGTTAATATGTGTTAATATGCCTTGCTGATGAGTGCCAACTAGCACGAAACCTAGGTCCAACGCTTCCTGCTGATTGCCTCCAACCATCTAATGTTAATATGCATATCAGTATTGATTGTTTTGATTGATTTGAAATTCCACTTTAACTGTCACCTGGTTTGTTCTTTATTAGTTGATAAGTCTGATAGATATTGATGTGTCTGTTAGTCTCTAGCTTGTTTGATTACCAGGATTTTAGGGACTCTTTAACATCTCTGAAATCTCTAGTGTTTGGAACTTCTGAATGTTCCCAATCAAATTGGTGTCTATAATTGCCTGCATGTCTTGACAAGAAAGAATACATATTATATCTCTTCACAGCTAATTTTTTGTGTTCTTGGATTCTAAGTCGAAAAAGAAGCCCACTTTGACTGGTATAATGTATACCACGATTTGTATAATTCATATGCAACAGCTACAATAACAACGGACAACAATCAGCATAAATGGAAGAAATCTGGAAGAAGTAACCTCCTTTACCTACCCACCTGGGAAGCATCTTTTCAACTACAGGTGGATGGAACTGACGAGGATATCAAAGCAAGGATCGCGAAAGCAAGTCAAGTCTTCATTACTCTCAAGTTTGTGTGGAGATCAGCAGCACTCAGCATGAAAAATAAGACCCGAATCTTCAACTTCAATGTGAAGTCAGTGCTACCAAATATACGCATCAGAGACTTGCCACGTCATGTAGAGGACCTCAAACGAACTACAGACCTTCATCAACAGCTAGCTGTCTTGGCTCGATACTCAAGACCGGATGGCCGGTCAGAAAAGATCATCAATGGGGAGGGATCTCTCGGATTGAACCAAACCAACAGGACTCAATTCTGCAGCAAATATGCAGGAAGAAATGGAGGCGGATTGGTCATGCTCTGAGAAAACAAACTATCAAGTGGCTGACATCACACTCCAGACCATCGCTCGAGTGGAACCCGAATGGGAAGCAGCAATTTAGTTGGTCGTTAGCGCGAGGGTGAAATGTAGGAGGAGGTCATGTGAAAAGGAGATGGAAGCATGTGGGCAGACGTGGAGCCAAGTGAAAACTTTGGCGGAGATCCGAACATGCAATGGAGACGTGCGGCTAAAACCTTATGTTCATCTAAGAACTAAAGGAAACAATAATAATATAATAATAGTTATTTTGTTGATGAGGAAGATCTTATCTTCTCTTGCTGTTGGGTCTTTAACTCTGCATAGTATTGAATGAAGTAATTATGTTGATTTGTGTGAAATGTCTTTTCGCAATGGGTTTACTATTCTAGCTGTTATTTCAGAAACACTTTTTATGTACGGTAGGATGAATTTTCTTGTACTTTTTGAGGATGATGTCCTACTGGTGCCTTGATTCGAGTTTAGACAATTTTTGATGAAATCGTAGGTGTATCTATTTTTCTTGAAGACATTTAAGAAATATTTTTCCTGTATTCACCTCACGACTTGAGTTCTGCAGTGTGTTATGGCTCCTTTGAATGGTGTCTGTACGCAGTTTCTTTTGTGTGCTGTTGGATTATTGCTGTTGCAACTGAGTATTTGTTCTGTCTGAGTTAGTCCGCTTGACGAAGAAATCAAAGCTAATCATCTCACTGTCCATTGTATTTATTTCAATCTTGTTCTCTACAACTGTTCTCGTGAATACTACTGTTAAAACCTGCTTCAAATTATTATCATTATTATTCCTTAGGTTCCGAGTGGAACATAGGGTTTTACCAGGACATCTCCATTTCTTTCTGTTTTCTGCAATCGTCTTTAGTTCGTTCCACGATTTTCCATAAGTTTTCACCTGCTCCTTACACGATCTCCTTCATGTCAATCCCGGACGCACTCCCACCTTGAAGTTATCCATTCAGGTTCCACCCGAAGGTCAGCTTGGCGCACGCTGTCACCAAACGCTCTCATCAGCGTGTGTCTGATCAATCTTCCTCTGCTTATCTGTTGTCTAATAGGTTCTTAGGTAGTTTGTTCTCAGGTTTCCTTGTCGCTGATGCATTCTGGCCATCTGATCTTCAGTATGGAGCTAGCGAAGGTAGCTGCTGATAAAAATCTGAAGCCTCTTGACGTAATTGTGATCTCTGAGGTGGATGGTCTATTTGCGAAGCTTCGGTTACCCCACTAGGCAACATCTTCAGCGCATACTTCAATTTGAAGTGGGCTTTTAGATTTCTTCAAGAGTTTATTAATCATCTCTCCTGGTGACCTTGGACGTGCTTGGTTGTTTTTGTGTGCTTTCATACCCTCTAGTCTATTTATATTGGTACTGATTGTCTCCTTGACTTGAAATTTGACCCTTTGTGTGTGAAATTTCCTTCCCGTCTATTGGTAAATTTTATCTACCTCAATGTGTCTACTGATTGACGATCCACTGGAATACCAGGCTTCTAAAAGTTCCCTGGCATTCTTGGTGTTTCCTCTGTCTAGCATTTGAATGTTGTCCCAGTCGACTGGGACGACTGATAAACTCATGGAGAAATCTAATAGCTCACTTCAAACTGAATCGTGCACTGAAGATGTTGCTTAGTAGGGCAATGAAATCCAGCTCAGAGAACACAACTACATCAAAACCATCTACCTGAGCTACAAATCTTCACCATTATATCTGGATTTTCACAATAATTTCAGACTAACGAGACTTTCTCGTGTCTTCCCAGCTCTGACTTTGATATCTTCATCCATACCACCTGTAGTAGAAACCATGCTACCTGGATAAGTCAAAGTGTTGACCTCCTTGAAATTTCTGCCTCTTTTATAGATAATCTTAACTGTCTTCTACATTATTATTCTTACTATTGTTAAAAACTAGGTTGCTGAAGTATGGACCGATATGCAGTTGGAATTCAATGAAACAGACTTTAGACCAATTACACCGGATCAGCAAATGTTATCATGCATTTCAAACTGGTGTAAAAAACAACTTGACAATTTACAAAGTAGACAACAGAAAATATTAAAATCTTCAAAAGATGCTGAATTAAGCGAAGAACAGAATTATTATTCATCAGTAAGTCTATCTACTTTAATAAAATAAAGTAGTATATAAATAAACCAAAAAACATCCAAGTTTTATGTAGTTCTGGTCATGGACGAGTTTTAGTCATGGAATCTTTGGAAACTGTTGAGCATTGGACAGCTGCTCGTTCCCTGGCTTGGAATGTTATCTCTATTGAAATTAATCCAGATCTCGATAAAATCCAGTAGCTCTGAATATCGATGATACCTGGTGGTATGATGCGTAGTGGTAGCATAAAATATTGTGATGAGAGCTGTCTGCAAGACAAAATTGTAGACAACAATTAACGTCAATGTTTACGTCTCAAATCAGGGTCATGAGAAGAAACGATAAAAAAGCTTAACCTTGAGGAACTCAACAACCAATCACAGCAGACCTAGCGTATGCAAATACGAATCACAGATACGTGGCTTAACTTTCTAAGAAACGGTCACGAGTTGTACATAATAGCCTTCAGCAAGAAAGAACCAATCAGAAGAGGCTGCTTCCCTGCTAACAATAATGCTAATAATAATGCACATAAAAATCTATAAATATCTGTTGATTTTGTCAATAAACAATTTGTTGCCTGGCCCTTGTCTTCTGTCGTTACAATATAGCCAATAACCATGTAAAAGTTCACGTTTTGCAGTCAGATTTTGAGTTTTGTAGGATTTTGAGTCCATTCGATTGTGAAATTGTTCACTAAAAGTGTCATTTAGGGAGTCTCTAAAACTCATAGACCACTGGACCACATCTGTTTCATCCTCGTTTAGAGTGAAAGCTTCACTGGATTCAGTGAAAATTCCTAGGAATCCTAAAAATCTGAATTTCTGTTTCTAGTTAAGGATGAATGTAACAACAGAAGACAAGGACCAGGCAACAGAACATTTATTGAAAAAATCAACAGATATTTATAGATTTTTATGTACATTATTATTAGCGTTATTGTTAGCAGAGAAACAGAGTCATCTGATTGGTTGTTTTCTTGCTGAAGGTCATTCTGCATTGCTTGTGACCGTTGCTCACACAGTTATCCATCTGTCTGCGAATCGTATTTGCATACGCTAAGTCTGCTGTGATTGGTTGTTGAGTTCCTCAAGGTTAGGCTCTGTTGTTGATTTTTTCTCATGACCCCAATTTGGACGTAAATATTGACGTAAATTGTTGTTTACAATTTTGGGTTGTAGACCGCTTTCGTTACATGAATATCTTAGAATTCTAATAAGAATTGAAGCAGATACTCATCGGTGGTAATAGATAGCAGTATAGCCATATTGTAAACTGGTAGAGGATACAATTCATTAGTTAGTGAATTCCAGTCCAATGACTGAATGGTCAAAGAGGTGGCTTTGTAACTTCAAGATCTTGGGTTCGACCCCTGGTAGTGTCAGGTGCCCTCAATGCTGAAAAGTCCTAAACAAGGGTGAAGCGAGTATGCAGTACTTTGTGGATTTTAGTGATTACCTAACTGGTTTTGGTTCCGCTGTCAGCCTGACTAACTGAACAGTCTCGTCAACCTCCATGCAAAAAGAGTGTGTTTTACAGTCCCTGATATATATAAGGAAACCTGTTCTGAGTTACTGAGTTCTAACTGATTAAATGAAGAATGAATTAGAGAAGTAATTAGACTGTCAGCCTATATACTTTAATTTTACAATCTGTTTATCTTATTTTGTTTATCTCTGAGGTTTCCGTATAGCGAGTTTCAAGACAGTGTCAAATATGAGATTGAACTATGATCAATAATTTTCCAACTGAATTCAGACTGTGACAGAATCTGATGATATCAGATGGTTTGAGGTAGTCGGAAGGAAGCCTCGCCTTACCTAGGTTTCTTGCTAGTTGGCACTCACCTGCGTTACCAGTTACTAGTGTCTAATCAAATTATCCATTGCAGTCCTACAGGAGATCAATCGCAAGCCCAAATAGCTGGCTCAGTGGTAACGTCTCTGACTGACTGCAGCACTGGGTGACGCAATTTCGGATCTCAGAAGGGACATGAGTTCCTTCAGTGTTGCAGATACGCCTTGCTGACGAGTGCCGACTAGCACGAAACCTAGGTCAGAGGCTTCCTGTGACCGATTGCCTCCAACCACTTAATATCATCAAATCAATCTGCACCATGATGGCGAGCCACCTAGGATGGTGGCCACATTGCAAACCTGACTGACTGATAGAATTCAGTCTGCACCAAAGAGAGGACTAGACATATCACACTAGTTACTAGTGTTCAATCAAAGTATGCCAGAATCTGTCTTGAAAGCAACTAGACTTTCTCAAAGCTAACAGTTTTTTCCTTTGATAATGACTAGTTTTCAGATGAACTCCTTGAAGTTCTAAAGAGGAGTTTTACGGCCGACTGGATTCAGAAAAATTAGAGCATGGGGCACTGGGTGATGGTGGGACTATACCGGTAATTGTCAGAGGCTTTCAGATGTTAACACACCAGCTGAATGTTAATTCATTCATTTCGAAGTTTCATAGTATTATGTTTTATCTTCTACAGGATCATACTTTCTTCCTAGTGACGACTTTAGAACTTGAAATAACAAATTGTTCAGCTTCCATCCAATTCGCTCATTTTAAGTGAAATCCCATTAGGTGCGTCGGTGGCACAGCGGTAGAATGCTCGTCTACCAGGCAGGTGGTACGGGGTTTGATCCCCGTCCGACACACTCCTTTACCTCCCTTAGCCTGACGAGGAGGGGAGTGTGAGCATGAGGATAGTAACCCCATCCCATTAAAATAGACGCTGCTACCGAAACCTCAAGCCTCTAGTTTGAAGCCCTATGTTCCACTGAGAATGCAAAGGAATGAAAAAACTATTGTAACCGTGAAATTATTCATTCAAAACACAATAACGCACATATACACGCATACAATGATAGATCACTTGGCAGTAAACAGTTTCAATTACTTAGTCCTGTCGATTGACTCCAGCCGTCTTAAATCAATTAAATTGCTCTGTGATGACGATCCACCTAACTCGATCACCAAACGTTAAACTCGACTGATAAAATTCAGTTAGCGACATTGCTAAGGACTAATAACATGACACAGCTTAATTCTTAGTGATAATACTATTAAATATAATAACAAAAGTGGTCGGTCTCAGGTCGGCTTCTTGTGCAGATGCTTAGACGATGTCTGTGAATGAAATTAGAAGTTAACTGGTGGATGGTAACTAGCAGTGGAATCCACCAGGATGTGCATTTCGTTCTATTTGGTGCTCGTCATCTGGATGTACCTGCATTCCACAGTTAGTGTTCAGTCCGAACAATCGACCAGAAAGCCTAAAATTGAATTAAATAATTAATATGACCCGTTGTATAAGGTGTGGCTCTTGTGTCTCAAGTGGTCTAGTAGATAACACTTTGGCTTTTGAAACTATGGGCACTGGGTTCGGGGCTCAGTGGGAACATTATCACTCACTGCGGAATGCAGATACATCCAGATGACGAGCTCCAAATAGAACGAAATGCACATCCTGGTGGATTCCACTGCTAGTCACCATCCACCAGTTAGCTTACAATCACAAGAGCTTTATTCTGAAATTCACAGAATCCTAAGTGTGTTTTATTGCAAAGTGTTGAATCTTTATACAAGATTTTTAAGTAATACAACAAACCAGAATACACACTTTGAAGTACTATTGTTTCACGCAAAACATGATACAATGCTCAGCTGCGGTTGTCCTGTATTTCCTTCTAAAAATGCGTAGCAGTTGGTTGAAACTTATTTGAAAAACTGCGTGAGTCTGAACACACTGTGATTCATGGACGTAATTGGATGATTAAGATATTAGGAAATGGAATAAAAATGGTGCATTCTGATAGAAAGATTACCCAACCTATTAGTAATTTAAGCAGGTTGCCATGACAGACCAGTCAGAGTATTATTTACAGTCATACAGGAATTCAGTCATGAACTCGAGTGGCTCAGAGGTAACGTCTTTTTACTGTAGCACTGGATGACGCAGGTTATGACTTTCTGGGGAGGGAGATATTAGTTCCTTCTACAACACAGATATATTTTGTTAACGTGTGTCAACCTGCAAGAAAAGTAAGTCCGAGGATTCCTTCCAACCGCTTTCAACCACCCAACACACATACCTATATACACAAATGGTTTCAGAACACATGCGGCGTTTATACATTCTAATGTTATTTGTTAGGTGATGACTAACCGTAGAATCCAAGATTTGGGTTTCGTCCAGTTGGCTACTCGTCACCTGGATGTACCTGCCTCCTTGATTTCATTATTCAACACCATAATATGAGCAATTTTAAGGGAAAAAATCATCGTAGGATTGAGTTTGAGCCCCAGTAATCTCAAAGGAGGATTAAAACAAACGTCAACCAACACCTAGTGATACTTTTTGGTTAATTTCACAAAGTAGTATCGGCTATATCAATGAAAACTCAACTTTACCATTCTCACTTTTTAAATGGTGTGCTTTATTTCTTTTAATTAACGTGTGCTAACCAAATTTATTTTACTTTCATACATCCGACTTCTTGTTTTCTCTCTCACTCCCTCTTTTCGCGCCTGTTTTCTTATTCAAGATCAGAAAAATTATCCGAAATCATGAATACGCCTTGAACAGTTTTAATGATTATCTGGCAAGAACATCAAATTACGAATATTTAAAACAAGCACGTCAGAAACAGCTATCAGCAATTGATGCATCACGTATTGGTGGACAGTTGAATAAGGCAAAACAACATTTAGACGGCGACAGTTCATTGAAATCATCATTAGAATCTAATGAAGATGTACAGAAGAATGGTCCTACTGAAAGGGAAGTCAAACATCATCCTCACCATCATCATCACCATCAACATCATAACCATCGTACTGAAGTTGTTATACCAAGTAATATTTCAATTCATGGGAAAGAATCTACAGCTTATCATAAAACAGATATTGACAAGCTGAATGTAACGGTGAGTATTTTAAAATTTGGGTATAGTGTTTCTGAGCAGTGTTTATTTGTTAAAGTCTCCATGATCAGAGCAGGTGGAGAGAAATGCCTGAAAACGATGCAGAAGATAGATGACACAGCCATCGAATTACTGGCGTTAAAACTGAGAAAAATAATGGCTAAAACACTGTTTGCCACAACACCACTCGTTGGATAATTCCAAGCAAGTGACGCTTAAGCTACTGAGTCTGGCCATCTTAGTGCGCATTTAAAAATTTAATTGTTTTTTCCCCCTGTTCATTAATGTCTCTTTATTAGGGACCATCGACTTTATTTGTGAATCTCTTATAGGAAATGATAAGGACGTAGGTATACCACCTAAAACACTACGGGGACTGCTATTCCGTTGTACGATGAATGTACAGTTTCAGTTTAACAACAAATTTTATCGTCAAGTGAAGGGCGTAGCAATCGAGTCCCTTCTAGGTCCTCTCTCAAACGATATGTTTATGGCGAAATCAGAAAATCGTTCACTCAAAAACGTAATCAACGAACTCTCGCTCTACTGTAGATGTATGGACGATACTTTTATCTTGCATAATAATAAAATCGATGCCGCGATCCTTTACCAAAAGTTCAGTCAGTATGTCTCACCCACGAATTGAGTTCACATATGAAAAGCAGAACGATAACACCTTCTCATTTCTTGATGTTCTGCTAACAAGAAGGTAAGATGGCAGTATTCAGACGGGTATTTTCCAGAAGAAGTCATGGGTTGGACAATACACCCATTTCGAGTCGTTCTTTCCCCTTGCATACAAACGAAATCTTATCAACGCGTTGATGTATCATGCCAGAAAAATCTGCACAACCGACACTCTAGACGATGAAATGAGGAAAATAGGAAACTTTTCATACGAGAACGGATACACCGAAAAATTTGTTAAAGTCTCCTTGAGGAGAACAGATAGAACTAGGTATCTGCAAATTGTGCAGAAGAAACGAATATATATGACTTTACCGTTTAGAGGAAACGCAGCAACTGGATTGCAGGCATCGAACCTTCAAAAAATAAAAGCTTAAACATTCTCTGTAGCAACGTTGTGTTTAAAATTCTCCACTCGTTATATAGTTCCAACACAGGTGAAGAGTCATCTGCAGTGGGTCTGGCCACTTGAATGTGCATTAATAAATTTAACTGTTCATATGGAGACAGTTACATAGAAAGAATGACTCGGCAAGTTCACTTTTGGTTAACTGTTTAACGTAAATAGGAATAGGAATCGTAAAGTCAATCAGGACTTCCATATTAGCACACCTAGTGGATGTCAAGCACAAAACTGGTTAGGAATACGAACTTTACAATTCTATACAAGGTGACACCTCATTTCTTTAGCTCTGTACGCCTTCGATTGCTAACCATAGCTGAAACGTTTGCCATGAAATTGTTTTCAACGCAATCTGCGTATTCAGAAAAAAGTTGGCTAAATGTCTCTCCCTCTCATGGCTTTTTGGCCCAACCTGCGACAGTTATCCTTCCCATTTGTACTGTTAGTTTTATCTTTATTATCAATATCATGCCGTGCTTTATTTGTATATTTTAATCTTAGTTGCATAATTCATTATAAAACCAAACACTTTGTTATCTAATCGCTATGAGACAGTAGTTGTATTTCCCTCTACAAGTATACACATTCTACTGGCACATTCACGATGGCTAGATTATTTGAACACCTGAATAATTTATCCTTACTGTCTGTCTGTTTTCGACATAGAACTTTCCACATATGTGAGACAGTTCAAGTCGCCACACTTCATGTAGCACACAAAGGAAGAGAAAAAAGTACGAGAAATGCATAATATAGACAGTAAACAGAGGTGTGAGACAAAGGAATAGTAATAACGGAGAACAAAACAGTTTCATTGGAAATCAGTTTATGATTCCTATTTGGGGATCAAAATAGTTCGAGTCGTAGTATTTGATCAGTCTGACAGTATTATATGCCAATCAAAAGAACATGATGCCAAGAGCTACCAATTGACTAATATGATTAGTTGGGAGCCAGTCACATCAAACGGTAGCACTTATTAGGCAGATCGAAGCTTATCTAGATGGGAGAAAACCATCTCATTTGTTTGCTAATGGTCTAACCAGTGATTTTTCTGAACTGACTCAGTCCAGAATGTCAAATCAATCAATAAACCATCCAAATTCTGACTATCTACATGGTCCAGCCGGTAGAATCGAGTTCGGGATTAGCAAACTACACACAATTCGAGGTGAAAATTCACAAGCCTTCCTGTGTGGAAACCACAGATATTCACACCAGAATATATGACCAATTTTTTTGATGTGGTTGTGTTCTCTGAGCTGGATACTTAATTTGCGAAGCTTTCATCGCCCTACTAAGCGACATCTTCAGTGCATACTTCAATTCGATGAAGTTAGCTTTTAGATTTCTCCACGAGTTTATTAATCATCTCTCCTGGTGGTGACCTTGGATGTGATTGGTTGTTTTTGTGTGTTTTCACACCTTCTAGGTTGGCATTGGAACTGATTGTTCCTCCGATTTGAACTTTCATCCTTTGTGTGAGGTTTCTTTCTTATCGGTTGATAAATTTTGTCTATCTCGATGTGTCTATTGATTGATGATTCACTGGAATACCAGGCTGGGTTCTAAAAATTCTCTAGCATTCTTTGTGTTTCCTCTGTCTAATATTTGAACGTTGTCCCAGTCGAATTGATGTCCGTAGTTGTCTGTGTGTAGTGAGGTGATATGACGGAGTGGATGTCATGTCTTTTGACGGCTAGCTTATGTTCGTGGATACGAATGTGGTGTTTTTCGCAGTTGTTATAATTTATTTTGTAGATGATGTTAGTTTTATCTTCTTTCATTGTTGAGTATTTTGGTTGACATAGAGCCAGCTCAGTGACATGATTTTGTTGGTTTGTGTGCGACGTCAATTCCTAAAGGTTTGAAGGGTCTTGCAATGATTTCTGAGATGTCCTTTATATATGGTAGGGCGATTTTCTTTATACTTTCCATGGAGGCTTTTGGTTTGATAGGTTGGCTTGGGGGTATATATCTCTTGATGTAGTTCCGTGGATATTCATTCTTTTGGAAGACATCAATGACATATCTTTCTTCAATTTTCCTTGAGGAGTGAATGCTGAAATGAGTCCTGGCTGTCCCTCTTCAATAGTGTTTGTATACAACTCCTTTTGTGAGTTATTGGATTGTTGCTGTAGTTGTAATTGAGTATTTGGTCTGTGTGAGTTGATTTTCTATAGACTTGAGTTTCTAATTTCCCTGTGGTTGTTCGCATGACTAAGACGTCCAAAAATGGGATTTGGTTTTCTGATTCCTCTTCTCTTGTGAATTTGATGTCTATGATATGAGATCTATATAATGTCATAAACGACAATCAACAAAGAAAGCATAAATGTATAATAGTTTCCACTACTAATTGATATGAGAGTCTGAAATAGATACAAGAATTGCGACAACACAATAATAAGACGTAGCTTATCTGAAACGTGCAATGTATTGGCGCAACACATTTCGGACATTCTGATCACACACTAGTACTTGTCATACACAGTTTTTATATAATACAAGAAGGCATGAATAATTACAATACAGGTCAGATTGTATACAGGTCAAGGTCACAAATAATGGGTAGGGAGACGCAAAAGTTGTGGGTAAGAAAGATAAAAGAAGAAAAACAAAGCAAGGAAGGGGTTGAAAATATTATGAAGTAAATTGGTCCTTGGTTCAAAATTGGATTACCAAGGCAGGATTAAGGTAATAACAAATTACTTTTGGACACATAAGACAGGTTAAAGTCTTTTTATGGGCAAGGCTTCAATGAATTTAAGTATGTGGCCCAACCTTGTTTTATATATCGGCTTAAAGGCATTGTTGAAATCAACCTTATGATCCGTCTCTATAATATGCTTCGCTATAGACGATGTTGAACATCTATTTCCGGGTTCACTTGTATCTGGCGATTTCATTTGTTGTTACAGCCACTTTGGAATGTGTTCTGTAGCCCTAACCTGCAGAGACCGATGGGTCCTCCTTATGCACGTGTCTCCACACATACATGTAAATTGATAAGCACAGTGGGATGTGACACTATCGTTCGGATAATGTGAGGGTTTACAGCACAGCATGGTTCTCGTTTTTTCTATGAAGATAAGTTTAGCTGCATAATAGGTACTATTAATTGCGGCCTTGAGTCTTTGTCTAGTGACTAGACTTTGTTGATCACCTCTGAACAGCAAGGATATGTAAACATCCTTTTTGGCAACTGATTGGATTGGTAAAGCTCTATGGTTGACACTTCCGTAACGTCTAATAAATCTCAGTGGGTAATTGTTATCTAACCATATTTCAGTGAGGTGTTGTCTTTCTTCTTCAGTTGTGTCGGCAGTACACATACGGTGAATGCGCTTGAACAAACTCTTAACCAACGCCTTCTTATACTGTAGTGGACAGAAACTATGATAATTTAGATACTGTCCCGTCCATGTGAACTTTCTGTAGACAGATCGTTTTACTGACCCATCTTCTCGGCGGGTTATTAGTACAATCTGACCTGTATTGTAATTATTCATGCCTTCTTGTATTATATAAAAACTATGTATGACAAGTACTAGTGTGTGTGATCAGAATGTCCGAAATGTGTTGCGCCAATACATTACACGTTTCAGATAAGCTACGTCTTCTTATTGTGTTGCCGAAATTCATAAAGGGAACTAATTGCTTTAAATACAAGAATTGATTCGTCTGTCAGCTTACCACTGAGAAGTGCGACTTTGAACGCTAGTTAGACACCCTTCTAGTGCTCGTGTCACCTCAATCTCACTGGTGAACACCAGTGCATCATGACATAAATGATTCTGACCAACTAATTACTCATATCAATCAAATGTGAGTATATCTCATCATGAAATATGCATAAAACAACCAGCCCAAATTCGATTATTCTTGACTAATGCTTATGCCTCTTTTTGTTACACTGATTTCACTTTTAGGCCTTTTGTTCACAATCAGTTACAATCGATTCAACACCGAAACATTTATTTATGCATCCAACAAAAATGGAAGAAGAACTACTCAAGGTTATCGAATCGAAACAATCTCAAATGACCAATAAAAGTGATGAAGATTGTTTAAACTGATTAGTCGACGAATTAATAATCAATAATAGTAATAATTAGGAGGCAGAAATGAAAACGAACAGATAGAAAAGGATAGATAGTTCTGGGATGTTTTCAGTCCTCACTTGTTTGTTTTATTATTCTTGTTTGATAAAAATAAACACAGATAATCAATTAGAGAATAAAGAGTAGTAAAATGTCGATATTTTATGATTTCGTATCACCTAATATATTCCATTCTATATAGAACAGATGCACTGCTATTTTGAAACATAGGTAGGGCCTCATAGTATGAGTTATAACCCGAAAATGAACATTCCCCATTACAAGTGACTGACTGAAATTCAGCATAGGTTGAAGAAGATTTTAAGCTATTTCACTACCAATAGTCTCAGGCTGTTGACTTCTAACAACCCGAAGACTCCAACCAAGGGTTGTGCATCTCCCTGTGTGGTTAAAACCAACAATTGAAAACTTCATGGACTGACGCCATATTTTGGTTCAGCCATCCACTAACTTTTCTCTAAACTAATCATACGTCGGACAACATAACTCCACTGCGAAGGTGATGCCTCAGCGTGCACGACACGTGTTCCAGCCATCTCAATCGATGTAACTTCACCACCATATCGACTAACACTCCAAACCTAACGTCAATACTACTTACCATATTATACCACTTAACATGGAGGATAGAGCACAAATATTTGTGGCCAAATGCAGCTAACCTTTTCATATCTTTCAATTAGAGTGGCCATGTCTCACAAGCGTAAGGGAGAACAGCGTAAACTGCTGCGCAGTACACACGTCCTTTGATAGACAGCCAGATTTCACGGTAGCCGTCTAGGCTACAATTGACGTATGTTCGTCAAATGTTATAAGAACCTTTTGTATTCGTGATGAGATTTCATCATTAATCAGTCGATTAGGGCTGATGGAACTTCCCAAATCAGAAGTGAAGTGGTGGTCAACACCCTCTTCTACTTCACTCTCTCTCTGTCTTTAAGCTTGGGATTGGTGCATTTCAGTTTCTTTCCTTCACGTTCCCCAGTGGAACATAGGGCTTCAAGCTATTGGCTTGAAGTTTCTGTAGCAGTGTTTATTTTACAGGATGGGCTTGCTAGCCTCATGCCCAACCTTTCCTCTTTACCATCATTATTTCTGGCTTAGCGAGATAAGGGAGTGAGTCGGGGATCGAACCCCAGACCATGTGCATGGTCGGCGAGCGTCCTAACCACTATACCACCGACGCAATTCAGTACTACAGCATTATTTCACATTCGATAGGAGCGAATCGCATTCTGAATGTATGAAGATTTCCACTAACGGTGTCCAGAAGACTCTGCATTTTATCAGCATCTTAACCAAGGAGGATAATATCAACGCATAATCAGAGTCAACAAGACTGTTCCTTGGGGAAAAAATCAATCCTTAAGTCGCTAAAGTCAGTTAGAGTTAATTCCATTAGTACATGTATGATGAAATTACACAAAACTTGAAGCAGTGGGCAGTGACTGTTATCACTCTAGATGAGACAACTCTCTATAGATACTCACCTGGCTGTTTATGTTCGAGTAGAATTATTTGTTTAGTGAGATATACTTTCTGGGCACTCCCATTCACGGCTAAACACTGCCACAACACCTCTTCATCGATGGAGTCGAATTCCGCCTACAGGTCACAAAAATAGACCTTTCTCACTGGAGCACTGAATGATGCGGGTTCATATCTCAAAGGGATACAATTTTTGTTCAACATTATAAAGAAAACTTATTAATGAGTACTAACTAGCATGAAACCTAGGTTAGACAGTGCTTTCTGCCTACTACCTAAGAACATCTAACTGTAATGACCAGAACCCAAGGATATTGTTCTAAGCTCAGAAAACCAATCAATGAGTTCTATTGTATAATTTGACATACAATCAAAAATTATATATTTCAACAATGTGGAAACACGACTGAGCATGATAGAATCTAATAGTACTATTGAACATTAATAACTCATTTCAGAAATACAAAAGACGTGAACAGTACCCTCTGGCAGCTATACAGTCCACAAGTTTTTCACGCACAAAACACGTAGTGTACAGCCATATTAGTTGACTAGACTCAGTCATGAAAATACCTGAGAACAAGTAAGAATATTGCTAACAGTATGGAATCAAAACTCTGTTTGCAGGGGTCACATTTCCCACAGACACTTGGAGATGAAGTAGTCACTCCACGGAGTGACCTTGACCTCACTCAAGCTAAACTGCTATCCTAAATCAACAGAATGACATAACAGCAGAGTAGAGCGTTAGAAGAAGAGATCAATCGAAAAAAGACAAGTGTTGATCTGCAAGGATTTGACTGGTTTCAGGATTTGATCGTGAACTGACATCGGTTACAGGAACATTGGAAAACCAGGTGGGATTACTGGACAGCTATTTCATCCTAGTTTCGGACTCTTTAAAGTGAGCACCTACAGGGTTTCTAACCTAAATATTCCGATTACAAGGCGAGCGAGCTCGTAGACCATTAAGCCACTGGTACCCAATCCAGTGGCCAGCCCATGAATTCCAGCCTCTGCGAATTCATGATATAGCGTGACCATTATCCAATGTAGACTCTAGAAAGTATTTGTTCTCACACCTGACTTTTTCCAATGATTCTCTAACCGATGTCAGCTCGTGATGAAATCGAATAAGTGATAATTCCAAAGAAGATATGGGAATGTCAGGACCATGATACAAAAGGTTACTAATTAAAAATTCAGTTGAATTATTCAAGTATGCACCAATTTGGAGGGATTTTAGGAAAAGATATCCTGCTACGCAAGCATTGGACCCAATAACACCATGATGATGAATAAGCTAGTGATCAAACTTATTATTATTATTGTTTCCTTTAATTCCTAGAGGAACATAGGGCTTCAGCCGCGCGTCTCCATTGCGTTCGGATCTCTGCTAGAGTCTTCACCTGGCTCCATGTCTGCCCACACGTTTTCATCTCTTCTTCACATGACCTCCTCCATGTCACCCTTGCACTGACGACCAACTCGCAGCTTCCCTTTCGGCTGGGTTCCACTCGAGCAATGGCTTGTCTACTGATGTCGCTTGATGGTTTCTTAAGAGTATGGCCAGCCAATCCACCTCCATTTCTTCCTGCCTATTTGTTGCACAATCGGTTCCTGCTAGGTTGGTTCGCTCATTGCCAGAGATCTCTGTTGCTGATCTTTTATGGCTGGCCATCTGATCTTGAGTATAGAGCGAAGCCAGCTAGCTGTTAATTTTTTAATTTAATTTTTTTTTCATTTACAGCTTGATTCCACACCGTATTTTCAGTACAAGTATGGAATTTTCAGCATGGATATCGGTTAGCCCAAATTCAGGCCTACCATAGATACCGGGTGTGCGCCGGCAGGGGATCGAACTCCGGACCATGTGCATGGTCGGCGAGAGTCCTTACCACTGTAGTTTGTTTGAGATGCTCTTTATGTCGCGCTGGCCAAGTCTCGATCCGTATAGTAGCACTGACTGACTTCACATTGGATTTGAAAATCCGAACCTTATTTTTCATGCTGAGTGCTGTTGACCTCCACACAAACTTGAGAAAAATGAAAGCTTGTCTTGCTTAACCGATTCTCGCTTTGATATCCTCGTCAGTTCCGTCTGCCTGTAGTTGAAACGATGTTTCCCAGATCGGTAGGTGAAGGAGGTTGTTTCTTTCAGGTTCCTCCCATTTATACTGATTTTTGTCTGTTGCTGTTTGTGGTGTTGCCCAGGAATCATTATCACCTCTCTTTTCTGTATGTTCACCTGAAGTCCTATCTTCGATGCTTCTTCTGCCAACTTGTTGCTTTTCGCTTGCATATCTTCCAGTTTGTGGGAAATCAGACATATATCATCGGCGAAGTCCAGATCCTCCAAGTTTTTTGTGTGAGTCCATTTTATGCCTGTCTCATCGCTGTCTGTCTCATTATCCAATCTACCGCAATCAGGAAAATCACTGACGATAGTAGGCAGCCTTGTCTTACTCCTGTCCTCACTTCGAAGGGTTCCGTAAGTTTCCCGTTGTGGATTACTTGGCATGCAGCATTGTCGTACAGCTGTAATCAAACTTGACTAATAGGATTTAGACAGCACTAACACCACTATGAACTAGTATAACATATTGCATATATATACATATATATTAATGACAAGTTCGTGTATGATCAGATTGTTCGAAATGTGTTGCGCAATTTCATCACACGATTCAGACACTTAACATCTTCTTACTGCTTTGGCTAGATGTTTATATAATCTACGGAATTTGCAACGAAGTGTAATGCATGATTTTTTCTTTTCGTCCAGGATCTTCAAAGAAAGGATTATTTGATGGTAGGTAGTGTGACACAGTTCTACCTGACCTGGAGCGCAAAACAATCCACTATGTTATCTCTTCTCTGTCTTCTTCGAGAAATACACGACGACACTTTGTTGAATACTAATTATAAAAAGTTCAGGAGTACATTTCGGTGAACAAAGGACACCACTCAGGAACGGTTATCTCATGTATTGAGTGGGATAAGCTGCTATCGAGGATAATGCTTCTTCTCATGCTTAGTAGAAACATGAGAATGAGCAAGTTTTAGATGTCTTAAATACTCTCCAGAGTAAACAATACTATTAGAGGTCATACTTTACTAGATTTAAACAACTTGTTTAAGACACATTATATGTAACAAACATATTGATGAAGGTTTTCGGTAGCCCAAGATTTAAGTAGGCCGCCTTTTTGTATTTGTTCGTTTCAGTTGTTATCGTTGTATATATTTCTGCGTTTCAATAGAATTTCTCTTGTGTCAATTGATCAATTAACAGGCTGAAGAAATAAACAACACTTGTTTGTTTTATTCAGGAAAATTTATTAATTTAATGAAGTTGAAATAACATTAGCAAGAAAGACGGGAATCGGCTAATTGTTGGTTGAATTCAATAGTCTACTTTTAAGCAGTGTGAGTGTTCACTCATTGAAGTTATTTCGGATCGCCATCAACGGGAGAGATTTGACAGTGATTGCTTCCTTCATTTATAGAAGAAGCACGGTTTCAACCACAGTCAGTCTTCACGGATGAAGATGTTAAAGCCAGCTAGCTAAAATCGGAAAGGCAAGATACGCCTTCACCAACCTGAAACTAATTTCGAAATGTTCTGCACTCACTCACTCACTCAGCCAGGCAGCATAAGGAACAAGATTCGGATTTTCAGCACAAATGTGAAGTCAGTCAGTCCGTTTAGACAGGTCAGAAACTTGCACTGCGCGTCGGTAACGAAAAGGACTTCCGACAGGCTGCTACTGCTGATTTGTATCGACAACTGTCTTCAGTGGCTCCATACTAAAGATCAAATGGCCCGCCGGTCAGAAAGAATTAGCAATAAGAAACTCTGGCTGGGAAAAAGCCAACCAAGAGTTGATCGCTGAACAATATTATGTAGTAGAAAATGGAGATGGATCGGGCACACGTTGAGGAGGCCATCGAATGACATCGTGAGCCACACCATCACTCGAGTAGAATCCGGATGGGAATTGACGAGTAGGTCGTCAATTCGAGAGTGACATGGAGAAGATCTTGAGAGGAGGAGACGAGAGAGATTATGGGCAGTCGTGGACCCAGCTGGAGAGGGAAGCAGAAAATAGAACAAGGTGGAGATATATTGTTGGAGCCCTATGTCTCACTCAGAACCTAAGGGAATGAAAATAAATAACAATTGATTGATTCCACTCTGGACTTAAATTTCCTGTATCTCTTGACATATGAGCTCTTATTTAGAATATATTGCATATGGTAACTTAACATGCTTCAAAGTAACTTCAGCAAGAAAAAAATGGTACACTGTGGGATAATAGATGGACCAGTAGGTCCATGAGGAATGCTTTCGCGTTTGAAACAGTGGATGTCAGATTCCAGTCTCAGTGAGAACACTATTACGCACTGGGATGCATGTAGGTCCAGGTGAGAAGTAGTCTTGAATGGGATGAAACGCACGTCATGGATTCTTTCAAATTGAAGTATGCGCTGAAGATGTCACCTAGTAGGGTGATGAAAGCTTCGCAAATTAACTCTCCAGCTCAGAGAACACAACCACATCAAAATTTGAGATTATCTTATGAAAAGTTGTAAGCAACTTAGTCTTGTAATTTGCTTAGTCAGTACACTGCTAGATTTGAAATTTCTGTTATGACTTCCGTTCACTTTAAATCAGTACACAAATAAGTCTGTTAATTCAAGTCTATCTCGAGTAGATTTAACAGCACCAGTTGATCATATAGATTTTGTGGTGTTATATCCCTGATGACGTAATAATCCTACTGATTTATCGGTTCGACACCACTAGTCACCACATACTTCTAATCCCCAGATCCCATAAAAATAATGATAGAAGACGGACTGTTCTGTATCACTGAGGATGATTCACTTTTATAGTACAAAAGTACCTTAAATGGAAATACTATATATATACCTCAGAAAGTTAACAAATAATCAATAATATTGGATTTATGTCGGATTTTCTATATTGCACAATCAGATTGTAGTATATATATATATCCTGTCCCTGTCCATTGTGGTTTAATTCCGGTCTAAACATGTTTTCAACTGGTATGGGCCTGTTTGAACTGGCTTTAGACTGTTCCTCTCGTCACCCCTCGTAAAATGGTAATACACTTTTCTTGGATCTATGTGAAAAGACTCTGATCACTTTCTCTGTAGGGCTGATCTTCAAATAGGTGTATGTTATGTTTCTGGCTAGAGGAATATTGGAACTAGTCATTAAAACATTTAGTGTGATGTTTGACTTCTCTGATGACTCACTAATACCCTTCGTGTGTCTTTCTTTCGACAATAACTTTGTAGAGAACACTTCATTTCCGTCCTACTATACGTCCAAGTGTTCATCTTGGCTGCTTTTCTTTTTCCTGAGCTGCATAGTTAAATAAAGAAGTTTTCATTTTCTATATTTGGTTTGTAAGGATTAGAATTGCTTATACGGGTTTGACCGTGGATTGATACCAGTTAGAGAACGGTTGAAAACTAGGTAATGGAGAATTGGATAGCTGTTTCATCCTAGTTTGGGAGTCATCGACAGTACGAATCCAGGAACTTCCGGTTAGAATTTATGGGCCATTGAATCGGGTCCCAGTAGCTTAATGGTCTACGAGCTCGCTAGCCTTGTAACCAGAAGGTCCTGGGTTCAAACCCTGGCGGTGGATGCGTACTGATGAAGAGCACCAGACTGGGCTGACGAAACAGCTGGCTGTCCAGTACTCCTACCTGGATTTACAATGGTTCTCTAACCAATATCAGCTCAAAATGAAATCCTGTAACCAATCAAATCCCTGCAAACCAAAACTAGAATCACTTGAACTGACATTATGTAGACCAAAAGACTTGAAACTAAAGGAAGACAAAATCTAAATCATCTATAAGATAAGGCTTCATCAACTGTTGCTTCTTCATTCCTTTGCGTTCCAAATGGAACATAAGACTTGGAGTTTTAAGTTCCGCTAGTGTCAGTGTTGTTTTCAATGGGTAAAATTGCTAGACTCAACTCCAAATCTATATCTTTTGCTGCTTACTGTCGGTTAGTAAACTAGTCGAGATTTAGGAGTGTGCCAGCCTAGAATCAAATTAGGATCATGTGCGTGACTTACGAGTATCCTGGTATTGAATTACCGATGCACACATCAACTTTAAAGAAATTCATTTTGGTGGAAAAGTACATCCATTTCATTTTCATAAGCATGAACGCTAACTAGCAGTCAAAAGACGTAGCATATTCATTCATATCAGTTTATCCGAACAATTATTGACACAGAGGTTAATTGCTGGATGGTGACTAGCAGTGGAATCCAGGATGCGCATTTCATCCCATTTGGGACTCGTCCTCCAGCTGGATGTACCTGCATTCCGCAGTGAGCGATGGTGTTCTCGCCGAGGCTCGAACCGAGTGACCATAGTTTCAAACGCCGAAGGGTGATCCACTACACTATACCACGAGAGCCACTTCTTGTGAAACGGGTCATATTAATTATTTTAATTGAATTTTAGAGTTTTCCGTCGATTGATTTAACTGAAGTGCTCGGTCTCAGATGACGAGTCCAAAATAGGACTAAATGCGCATCCTGGATTCTACTACTAGTCACCATCCATCAATTAACTTCTAATTAAATGCCCAGACATCGTCGAAGCATCTGCACAAGAAGCCGACATGTCAACCTGAGACCGAGCAATCAACCGGCGGGAAAATCTAAAATTCAATTAAAACTATGGACACAGGTTTAACTTTAAAAGTCCTAGACAGAAGAATCATCAAGAAAGCCAGTATTTGTAGAGAATGATGGAAACTTTGCAATTCGACCATCAAACTCAGAGAATACGACAGCATAGAAGTAAGTTTAATCCTATGGGCTATCACACTGAACATAAAGAATTATTGTTTATTTCCAGTGATGTAACAATTTCATAAAAATGCTTATTTTCGTTTACTGTATTTAATTCAGTTGAGTGTACATCATTCTTAAAGAAATTGGTTACAAATAGGTGCAGATCACTGTCATTCAACTGCTTAGTTTAATTAAACTGTTAACCTATCCTTGACATTTCCAAGTTTTATTTTCACATTGGAGATGAAGTGGGCCACTCACTAGAGAGAAATTCGAAGAGATTTCTTCCCCTGAAGAAGACATTTGAAGAGACACCTTATGTATCACATTCTCCAGCAGACAATTAATCCAGTCTAACGTTAAGGATAAGATACCGCTTTTGGCCATTTCAATGGTGTCTATTTATCAATTTTACTTGTCGACTTTTTTGGTAGATTTGCAATATGACTAACCCTCTTATTACCAACTGTATGGAAATGCAAGCGGTTGTTGAGTAACCCATTGAAGTGCTCTAATGTTGATGCATATATATTCGATTGTCATATGTGGAAAAAGGGAAAGACTAATCTCTACAATATCTGACTGAATATATCAAAATCCATCATATTTTCACTGCACTTCGTCTTATTTCGAATTCATAGGTTGGATATACTAGCTCACAATGTCAAATGATTGACGATAAACTACGTTAGCGCATTATAGTGACATCTCTTTCGGCAATTCAATATTTCAGTTACCAGAAAAGCACTAGCACTAAATTATTATCGTTTACGTCAGTGGTTTGTGGACAGGAGGTCCAAAAGCAATTCCTGTCATATGTTAGCCGCGAGGCTCGCAACCCACCACCTCCCTCTCACCTTTTGACATCACCGAGAAAATACAACACCATGGCAATTGGAACCACAAACAAAGCTTGAGGGCCTTATGTGCAACACACGGAACGCAACAAAATAGAGAGAAGAACACAGAAAGAGAGACTGGTGATCATTATATAATTCATAACATTCACATTGCTTGCATAATACAATAAATAAGTCAACAAGTCAATAAATAAATAAATAAATAAGTTGAATAGTAATATATTCATTCAACTTTATAAGCTAATAAATATACATTAGAAAGTAGTGGAAAACACAGTTGACTGTGAGTAGTATATAAGTTAACTACTGCTAGAAAATAAGAGGTAGGCCAAAGTTTGTCTAAGTATCACCTTTCGAGTATAAGAAAAGAACAAGAAAAAGAAGATCACTGTTATTAATGTACACACATGTATCAAGATTTCTGTTATTGATTCATAACTGATGCCTCACTATGTCATCTGTTGAGAGATACGACTAAAATAATAATAACATTGGAAAGACATTGAAGGCCATTTCAGCTGAATAGGTTGTTGAGACAAAAAGCACACACTGAAGCGTAGCAGTTGTTGTTGTAGTAGTAATCGTTGTAGCAGTATATGGAGAGCAGCGTTAGGCGTGCTTCCATATTGCAGACAACACACTGCTGTCCGAACCCAGGCTCAGTTGAAGTACAGTTAGTTAGCTAGTTGAGAAGTAGATTGGCTACAGGCGGTTTACTCTGTTCGTTACATTGCGCGGTTCATTTGAGCTTATAGCTTGGTATACTAGTGGCAGTAGTGGGAGGGGTAGATAGTGTATCTTCAAGAAATGTTAAAACTGTCGCTTCCAAATGACTTTGATGGTTTAAACGATGTCGAGAATTCGGATAGAACTGGTGAAAATAAAAGAAAAAGAAAAAAAGACAGAAAACGGTGAAATAGATATTTTTCATGACAACTAGGAATCTGGTGAAATAATAATAATGAGTAGCATTGTATGTCAAACATTTATGGATGTTACTTAATGTAGTGTGTATTCATTGGAGAGATGAGAATGTAGGCTGAGACAAAATTCAAATTGTAACGGCAGAAGACAAGGGCCAGGCAACAGATCGTTTATTAAGAAAATCAACAGATATTTATAGATTTTTATATACATTATTATTAGCGTTATTGTTAGCAGAGAAATAACGTCTTTAGATTGGCTGTTTTCTCGCTGAAGGTCATTCTTTCATCTATTTGTTACCGTTTCTTAGACAGTCCGTTGATATATATCTGCGAATCGTATCCGCCCACGCTAAGTCTGCTGTGATTGGTTCTTGAATTCCTCAAGGTTAGTCTTTGTTCTTGTTTTTTCTCATCACCAAGATTTGCGACGTAAAAATTGACGTAAATTGCTATCTACCAATTTTGGCTAGCAGACAGCTCTGTCACCACAAAATTAGCCGTCTCTAAAGTACTAGTCTTTCTGTCTACCAGTTGGAGTATGAGATACATCTGCCGACAACTCACTATACATATATATATGCGCAACGAAGGGGTGGAAGTTCTCTGGTTTAACTTTCCTCTTCATGTCACTTTTATTCGATGATGACTATAGTGGTGGTATATTCTGAAACTCACCTACCCTTCTATTTCAAACCTAACACACATGAAAGTTTCCTATAGTTTGGTTTGTAAGGGTTAGTTATGTTTTTACCAGTTGATCACGGATTGGTATCAGTTAGAGAACCATTGAAAACCAGGGAGTAATGGACAGCTGTTTCATCAACCTGGTTTGTGAATCATCGGCAGTACGCACCTACTGGGATTCGAACCCAGGACCTTCCGGTTACAAGGCAAGCTCGTATACCATTGGTTGGGGACGCGCTAAATCACGAATTGGCAGAAGTTAGAATTCAAGCACTGGCCGTTGAATCGGGTCCCAGTGGCTGAGTGGTGTACGAGCTTTCCTTGTAACCGACAGGTCCTGGGTTCGAACCCTGGTGGTGGGTGCGTACTACCGATGATTCCCAAACTAGGCTGATGAAACAGCTGTCCAGTACTCCCTGGTTTTCAATGATTCTCAAAGTGATATCAACCCGTGATCACCTCGTAAAAACACATGAATGTAACAACCAACCATTTTGCAGAAAAGCCAACAAAGATAAGACTTCAGGTGAATACATAGAAGGCGAAGGTGATGAATATACCTAATCATCAAAAACAAGCACCATCCACAGGAGAAATCTAAAGTCGTTCGACGCGTATCCTGTACAAAAAGGGTTCAAGAACACTATCTCACATGGCTGAGAAAACGTAATAGTGGCTGTATTATACCACTGGTCATTCCATCTCAACAAACGCCTCCTGCTTCAAAGTGATCTACAGTGTGAAGAATAACCTACCAAAGGCAATACGGTTTTGTCTCCTTTGTATTGCTGAAGTTTTAGTCATTCAGTTGAAGAAACCAGAGTTCTGTAAACAAAAAAAATCATCGAACCACTTCTACTATCATGGTAACAACCATGTTAACTTCCTATTGACCTGAGGTTTGTGTTCTTATTTTCTCTAACTCCTTTGTTTCTATGTGCATCCTAATCCCAACTCACTAAACTATTCATCTTATTACGTAACAGTATTACGCTTAATCAACTACTTTTATGTGTTAAAAAATATGTGTCTGACAACACATCACCACTACCCTTTTACCAATCTTCACCCTCATTGTTACAATTTGATTACTCATCACACTTCTGAAATGTCTTGACAACAATAACCCAAACTTATTCTAATCGGACAAACCTAATGTACACATGTAGTGAGAGCTGTGTGCTAGTCAAAATTGGTAGAAAGCAATTTACGTCAATGTTTACGCTCCAAATCTTGGCCTGAGAAAAATAAGAACAAAGACTTTGCGTAGGCGGATACGATTCACAGATATATGGTGTGACCTTCAAGGAAATGGTCACAAAGAGATGACAGATTAACTTTCAGGGAGAAAACAACCGTTCAGAAGACGTTACTTCTCTGTTAACAATGACCTATGATAATGTACATAAAAATCCATAAATATCTGTTGATTTTCTCAATAAACGATCTGTTGCCTGACCATTGTCTTCTGTCGTTACACATACATACAAAATAAGTATATATGTGATTGTGATTGTACAGCTAAGTGTGAATGAATTCGCCGCCAAAAAGAGACTCCTCACTGAACTAGACGTGTTTTATTTTTATTGAAATCTAAAGTCATCTTTTTCGCTTGGCTAGACAGAGTGTCGTTTCAATACATATGTCATAGATGACGATGTCAAAGGCAGTTGGGATAGAAAAACCTTGATAAACTTCTGTTATTCTAAAACCAGTGTGAAAATCTTCTACATTCAGCTTAGTCAGTGAGAGACCCGAGTATTTAAACACTCATATCAAAGCTAATGCTTCCATTGTTTTTATTTTTTTATTATTTTTATTATAGCTTGATTTCACACCGTATTTTTCGTACAAGTATGGCATTTTCAGCATGTGATATCGGTAGGACAAATTTTGCAGGGCGACGACCATAGATATTAGGTGTGCGTCGACAGGGGATTGAACTCCGGACCATGTGCATGGTCGGCGAGAGTTCCTAACCAGCTGTGCCACCGACACCAGTCCATCACTGTCTCCTAGTGTGTATAGCAGCTGCGATGCCAGTCCTTCGTGACCTGAGTTCGTCGTTGCTGCTTGTCTTTACAACCGAATCATCTGATTCATGTAAAGACAAGCAGCAACGACGAACTCTGTCAACGAAGACTGCATCGCGCAGCATATACACACAAGGAGACAGGGATGGACTGAGTGTCGGTGGCACAGTGGTTAGGACTCTCGCCGACCATGCACATGGTCTGGGGTTCGACCCCCTGCCTACGCACACCTGATATCTATGGTCGGCCTGCAAAATTTGGGCTACCGATATCCATGCTGAAAGTTCCATACTTGTACTGAAAATACTGTGTGGAATCAAGCTGTAAATCAAAATCAAAAATAAATAAATAAATAAAATAATACGTCAGTCAGGCCGTCGAGTAGAATTTGAATGGAGAACTACAAGTTGGACATGACTTTGAGGGTGATATGGAGGAGATCTAATGAGGGGGGGGGGTTGGCAATCGTGAAACCAGCTAAGCAAGACAACAGAGTGAACTGGTGATGTACTGATTAAGCCATATGCTCCCCCCTTTGAACACCAGGGAATAATAAGAAAAAACAATAATCTAAACAAAATATATTATCACTATTCGCTACTACGCGGTGCCACCGACAATTATACATATCATCCAATAGATGTGCGACAATGCTGCATGCCAAGTATTCCACAACGGGAAACTGACGGAATCCTTCGAAGTGAGGACAGGAGTAAGACAAGGCTGCCTACTATCGCCAATGATTTTCCTGAATGCAGTAGACTGGATTATGCGACAGACAGCGGGCGATGAGGAAACAGGCATAAAATGGACTCACACAAAAACCTTGGATGATATATGTCTGATTTCCCACAAACTGGAAGATATGCAAGCGAAAAGCAACAAGTTGGCAGAAGAAGCATCAAAGATAGGACTACAGGTGAACATAGATAAAACAGAGGTGATGAAAATTCCTGGCCAACACCAACAGACAACAATAAGCATAAATGGGAGGAACCTGAAAGAAACAACCTCCATTACCCACCAACCTGGGAAGCATCGTTTCAACTACAGGCAGACGGAACTGACGAGGATATCAAAGCAAGAATCGGGAAAGCAAGACAAGCTTTCACTACTCTCAAGTCTGTGTGGAGGTCAACAACACTCAGCATCAAAAATAATATCCGGATATTCAACTCCAATGTGAAGTCAGTCATTGCTACTATACGGACCAGAGACTTGCACTGCGCGTCATAAAGAGCATCTCAAACAAACTACAGACCTTCATCAACAGCTAGCTGTCTTTGCTCAATACTCAAGATCAGATGGCCAGCCAGAAAAGATCAGCAACAGGGTGGGAACTCTGGCAATGAGCGAACCAACCAGGGACCGATTGTCAAACAAATAGGCAGGAAGAAATGGAGGGGGATTAGCTGGCCATACTCTGAGGAAACAAACCATCAAGTGACATCACTAGACAAGCCATCGCTCGAATGGAACCCGAATGGGAAGCGGCGAGTTGGTTGTCAGTGCAAGGGTGACTTGGAGGAGGTCATGTGAAGAGGAGATGAACACGTGTGGGCAGACTTGGAGCCAGGTGAAGACTCTAGCAGAGAACCAAACGCGCAATGGAGACGCGCGGCTGAAGCACTATGCTCCTCTAGGAATTAAAGGAAACAATAATAATAATAATATCATCACTATGAAAATATTTACCTGAAAATGATGCGGTTTACCAGCAGCTTTCAGTTTTCCAATCAATGATGCAGTATGCACAAAGTGGACATTTTCATCTTGACCACCATGAAATATGTACAGACGATATTCACTTGACGGCATATTCGATACATAATGCATTACATTACCTTTACTGTGAAGTAGAAAAAACACAAGGGAGAGAGAGAGAGAAAAACAAAGTTAAATTGACACAGGTTAGTAGTAGTAGTATTCACAAGTCACTAAAGGTTATTCATCAAACCAGTGGCTAAATGGTTAACTAGGTCACTTCATAACTTGACTTTCCTCTGTTTAGTCTTATGGTTAAGTCGTGTATACACGGCTGGGTAGATGGAGACAGTAAGTTGTTGTTTCAATAGATGCCCCAAGTAACTTCAAACTGCTGTTTTTATCGCCTGTTAGCACAATTGCGAGTCTATTGTGTCTCTTATGCTTTTTTCTAAGCTTTTAACTCCTTATGGTTGCAAAATCCTAAAATTGTCAGAGGACTTAATCTTTGTTAAAATAATTTACAAAGTATGTATTCGACAACGATGTCAAGAATCTTGACTTCTATTTGAGACAGAAAAATCTTTATTGTGTCAGTGGTCCTTATCGATAGTCTCGTTACAATCGGCAGCCGACTTAAAACTTGGGCTAGCGAAATCTTCCATCTCTCGCTATTGCATCTATTTCCTCTCGTTCGGTTTGTTTTAATTGATTAAAATGTCTAATAATATTATCTACTCTTGTGTGTATTTAAAATATTAACAAGCTTCTGATTCACAAGTTCCTACTAAACTTTACGAAAGGCCTGATAGTGGGTGGTAACATATTCCAGTGTACGAGATAACTGTTCTTCAGTTATGTCCTTGGGTCTCAAAATGTACTTCTGAACATCTTACGCTTGGCTTTCAACTAGATATGGTGGATAGGTTTCTTGAAGGAGACAGAGCTGATATATATCATAATGGAATGATATGTGCTTCATCAGCTCAGAGACCATTGTATCACAGGATATTCTGTTAGTTAATATTTTTACTTGAAGATATTTAAGCTACATATCAACAATTGTCTCCAGCCATTGATTCATAAAATCCAAAGAACCCTTACCAGGCAGTCAATACCTCTCTACATGACACAAAGTAACTACCATTGAGGTCATGTTTTTGGTTTGACCACCACTAGTACTTTTCTATGCCAGTTAAAATTGCTCGACATGCGTAACACTTGCTCTAGCTATCTCAATCGATACAACTTCATAACATCATCGATTGACATGCCCTGTTTAGCTAATACTCCACGCGTCACCTTGGTAATACTCATTATATTATATCACTTCATATGAGAGATGGAATGCAGATATTTGTGGTCAAAGACAGGTAGCCTTTTCAGGCCTCCCAATGTCAATGGGCATATTTCACATAATTATACGTGTAAAACTTGGGCACTGTGGTGGTGGTAAGTAATACCATACTAGTTTGTTTATTAGATGATTATATCACACAGACTGTGAAACAGTATTGTTTACTGGATGACACAGTTTCGAACAAAATTCATTCTTCATAATCATCTCATCAATTATAATCACACTTCTTCGAAACTTGAGTTTTATAGTTTTCTTTGTTCTCTCCTATTTGTCATCGTAGGCGTGTTGGTAGAATTTTCCAGATATCTGGGTGGACAGGTGTTGAGTCATTCCTATTACACGTATTCACTCTCAGTTGATTCGATAAACAGAGCTTCTGTTATCAATCTCTACCTCCATTCACCCTGTTACATTAGATTTTAAAATTGTCATCTTATCGCATTCATCCTATTGTATGGTTGCGTGTAATTACATGTAGTGAGTGCTATAGCTGAACTTTTCTCTGGATTTCTTATCTTATTCGGGTCAACTAATCTAGATTTAGGTACTAGGTTTTTATGCTCCGCTGGTCTGACTGTCCTTCTTCTACTAGTTTGACCTATGTATTTGAGCTGACAATCATTGCAGGCAGGTTATTAGATAAAGGCTCCACAGGATCCTTTAACCGACAAGGCTTGTTTCTAAGTGAGTACGTGGGTTTGAATGCCAGCCACTTTTATTCCTGCCTTGTTAATAATTCTGCGTAAGCTTTCCAAGGTTCCTTCTTTGTATGGAAGTACGACTGATACCATATTTCACAAACCCAGAGAAAGACAGAGCACACTGCTGCGCAATCCACACCTTCCTTAATCGATAGTCACAATGGAGTAAAAATACGATCGATTCAACTATCCAAGATAAAAATGAAGTTGTACAGATGGGGAAAAACAGGAAGAAGAGTACAAACTTACTTATAGGCGTCTGGATTATCCCCGGGTAGACCAATATACCGTTCAGTATACGCTGAATCATACAGTGCCCAGTCAACAACTGGTGAGACAGCAACAGCTGCTCTATACACATGATGATATCTTACTGCAGCCATTAGAGACATATAACCACCTAAAAAAGTGAGAGTAAAAAAATTCCTTACAGAATACTTTAGAGTTAGTTAGTATGACATCCATTCATCATCCACCATAGTGAAATGATGACCTGACTAACTACCTGGGTCTCCCATAGGTCAGATGGTAGAGTGCAGAAGGGCAGGAATCCGGAGGAGGTTGGTTTGAATCTTGTCAAAACTCAGATTGTCACACAAAATGTGTGTGTTTGCGTGTGTCACAGGCATAATCAATCACAGTTATACTCCTTTTTATCTATGCCTTTATTAATTTTTTAAACAACTGGTGTGAACAGTATTCAAAAGCGAAAGTCTCTTCAGATTAACTACTTAATTAGCTAGAACACAGTTATGCGCGTGTGGCTACGCCTTCATAGACTCTGCCAGCCAGCTAGATCCTATTCATTGTCTTCACGTGAAACGGGCATTGCTCACAAAAGTGAAAGAGTGAATGCCAACCAGACTGGTGGACAAGCAGTGAAACTGGAAAACCCGAATTCACAAACCTACAGTAGCGTAAATAGCCTCGCGAAATCCATAAGGACTGGATAGCGTATGAATTTGTATTGGTCACTGGAAATCATGGGAACACAGTTCCTGACTCTGCACCACTGTCTTGTGAACTAGACTTCAAATCAAACACTCGGGAAGGGGTGAGACCTTAGGACAACAACTCGGGCAGTAGTATCCGCGCACTCGCAGAAGGTATAAAATTTTGTGTGGTGCATGTCTTAGTGCTTTATAATGCATCAAATTTGTATTTTTGATATAAGTATAAAACTTGGGCACTATGGTAGAGTATAACTCCATAATGGATAAGATGTTATTTTGATAAATCGCACAGTGTTGTACAGTAATATTAACTGATGACGTTTCGAGCAAAACTATTGCTCATAATCATATCAAGGCACTCACTCACACAACTTTCTTGCTTCACTTATATACACGAGTGAAATTGATGATTAGACATTTGAATAAAAATCAGTATGGGATAATGTACATTCAGAAATAGTAATATGGGTGTTATCAATAAAATACAATGAGATGGGAAATAAAACGAGTGTTTTTATAGTCATAATAAGTAACTTGTTAGACTGTTATGATGTGCTTGATTTGAAATAGAATTTTAAGATTATTTATTATCCTCCTCTGATTTGACTGGCAGTAATAATATCTTCCATGTCTCTGCTACTTGCATTGTGTCATTCCTGTTGCATATGTTGGTTGTAGACTGGATGAACAAGGATTCAGTAATAAACCACTCGCTTTCTCCACTTACCTACCTAGATTACTTTTTAGAATTTTGACTCTGTCCAACCCACTCTATTTTGTGGTTGTGTGTTAATGCATGCAGTGCAATCGCTGAGCTTTTTTTCTAAATTACTTATCTTCGTGGGATCAACCATTCTAACCCTGATCTACTTAGTTTAACCTATGTAGTTGACCTCACTCACAGTGATTGCCAGGTATTTTGTAAATTATATTATTTTGTTTAATTGGATCCACCCGGTCCTTTAGCCTACAGAGCTTGTCCTACCTGAGTGAGTTTGTAATTTAGCTGTATACACTATCCAGTGCGACGAAAGGCCACTTATGTTGTCAATGAATTTGCTTGAGGAATCTCCTCCACTCCCCCCCACTCTTGTTCTAATTATCATATAAACTTCATACAATATGGGCATCAAGAGACGCGCCAAATAAAAATAACAAAACAGCAATAATATAAGGACGATAGGGATAGAGTAAATGAGGTACAATATTCAGAACGTAAGTAAGCATAATTGTCTAGATCACTCAAAGGATAATTCACTACCTTAAATAAGAAAGAAAGAAAGAAACTGGAGCATGCTCGCCACTAAAGCGTCTTTTACCTGACAGACACAATCAAGAATCCCACCAAACACCCAAGCCAAAGACGACTTCTTACCAGCTGACCTTTGAAAAAATACACTCATCATGAAAACTTTTTCAGTGTTGAATGTAATGTAATCCACTTGATACCATAAATAGCAAACAAGAAATTAGGTAACATTGTAGTGGTATATACTACTGAAATGACTTCAACAGTTACTTTGATTGGATACTAGTCAGTAACTAGTGTAATGTGTCTAGTCCTTTGTTTACTGCAGACTGAATTCTAACAGTCAGTCACGTTTGCAATATGGCCACCATACTTCTAGGTGACTCGTCAACACGGTACACTGTGAATTGTTGGTATTAGATGGTTGGAGGCAATCGGCCACAGAAAGCCTTGCTTGACCTAGGTTTCGTGAAGAAATTCATATCACTTCTGCGATTCGAACCCACGTCACCAAATACTGTAGTCAGAGACGTTACCACGTTAAGTAGTTGAACAGCACACAAGTGAAAGAGAGAATCATTGAGAACCGAGGACCACTAGAAAGCCATTTCGTCCTGGTTTTGAACTTATCCATAGTGTTCAATCACAACCCTAAGATAAGCCGAATCCACAACATTCGATTCACAAGGTCAAACCACCGACCACGATATTGTTGTCGACAGGCACTGCTGAATAATCTCAAACTGCGGAGAAACAGCTGTCCAGTATTCCTTGGTTTTCAAATAATTTTCTAAGAGATGCCGGGTTGGTGCGGCCGGATATATACCATAAAATCATTCAAAATTCTTATAAAAGGCGAAAAATAAAAATTACAGTTAACTAACATTAACTAACGTACCAAACGAATAGCCCATAATTGCAACACGTGAAAGATCAATTAAACCGGTGGCTTTCGCAGCATATCTTAGAAAGGCAACATGATCGTCAAGTTCTACCTGACCCTAAAATGAAACAGAAATAATTGAGAAGTGCGGATTATTGGTCTTATTTCGATGTTTCTATCATAATGAACAAAAAATAAAACTTCAGGTAGGTAATAGCCTGGGTTCGAGTGGGAATTCGTGACCAGTAGGGTGCAGCAGGTCGGGTGTGAGGACAAATACTCGTTGACGCTGACATTCGCTAGTGGTCGTGCTATGTCATGAGTTGGCAGAAGTTAGAATCTATGGAGTGGCCATTGGATCGGGTCCCAGTGGCTTAATGGTCTACGAGCTTGTCTTGTAACCAGAAGATCCTGGATTCCAACCCCCTGTGGTGGCTGCGTACTGCTGACAAGTCCCAAACTAGACTGACGAAACCGCTGTCCAGTACGCTCAGCTGGTTTTCCAATGGTCCTCTAACAGATGTCAATTCATCATGAAAACCTATAACCAAACTTCAAAACTACTTAGGGAATTAAGATGAAAAAGGTTTAATGCATTTAATATTTCCCATTGTGAAAGCAGTGTCGTTTGTTTCCTTCCTTCCTGACTGGTTTCAACATAGAACTTTGTACTGATGTGCAGCAGTTCCAGTTACCACTCTCCCTCCATGTACCACACAAATTAAGAGAAGAAAGTAAAAAAGAAATGCAAAATAGAGACAGTAAACAGAGATAAGAGGCAAACAGAACAGTAATAACGAAGAACAATATAGTTTTATTGGATATTATAAGTCATAAGGAGTGGATGCATCTTCGCCATCATTGAGAACGATTTGGAGCCATATCACCGATTGTCTCCAACCTTCATTGGTTATTACCGTTCCGAGGACCCCAACCAGGAAGCCTACATCTTCCTACATGGCTTAAACTAATTGTTGTGGATTTCATTGACTGATGAAGCCATGTTTTCGTTTGACCACCAATGGCTCTTTTCCAACGTGACCCTATGTCAGCTAACACTGCCCATTGTCAAGGAAGGCGATCGATGGCTAGGAGGGATGCATGCGTAACACATTTCCTAGCCATCTCTCCCAGTCGATGTAGCTTCACAGCCTCGTCTATTGATTTCCCCTCCTACCTAACTAGCACTCGACCGATGCCTAACCTCAATAATGCTTTCCTTATTATACCACTACCTGACACGGAGATAGAACGCAGGCACCAATGATCAAAGACAGCTAGCTAGACTTTTCATACCTTCCACTTTTAATGGTCATGTCTAACTCACAGCCATAAAGGAAAACGAAGCGGACTGCTGAGCAGTACACCCGCCCTTTGGTCGATAGCCAGATATCACGTCTACGCCAGAGACGGCGTAAACTGGCATATGCGAAACTAGCCCTCTGTATCCGTCTTGAGATTTCGTCAGCGATCAACCCGTTAGTTGTGAAACATAACTGATAAAAGTAACAATTTTTTCTATGAGCGCCTGTGTACAATTTTTCACGTTCGCTGGTGGTGCAATATAATCAGCATTTATGAGATTGCAAGTAGAGTGAGTGACAGGAACCGAAAATCAATCGGTGAAATTGTGAACTTGAATCGACAAGTTATATTAGCTGAAGTAGGACAGAGATGAAGAGTTATGAATAATCAGATAGAGCCACAGTACCCACCCACCCACTGTAGAGTACTTGATAGTTAGTTGGTTCGAGCCATCTAGAAATGTGTGAACTGCATGGCTAGGGTCCTTGGGGTGCTAAAAATCAATAGTTAGAGACTATTAGTGATATACATTGAAACTGTTCCCGACAGAGAAGACGTATTCACGCCTATTTACCAAATTGATACTGGAAATTCTCACTCAGCTTCCCATATATTATCGTTCATCGTAGTTTTAATAGATTTACTCCCTCAAATTGAATAGATGCGCATTTTTGCTGAGTTCTATCTTGGTAACTCGGTTTATTATTACTATTATTAATAATATACTATTGTGGTGAGAGCTCTCTGGAAGACAAAGTTGTAGACAGCAATTTACGTCAATGTATACGTCCCAAATCGGGGTCATGAGAAAAAGCAAGAACAAAGCCTAGCCTTGAGGAACACAACAGCCAATCACAGCAGAAATAGCGTGGGCGGATACGACTAGCAGATATATATCGACAGAATGTCTAAGAAACGGCGACAAGGAAATGACAGAATAACCTTCAGCAGGAGAACAACCAATCAGAAGACGTTGTTTCTCTGCTAACAATAACGAATAATAATGTGCATATATATATATCTGTTGATTTTCTCAATAAAGCATCTGTTGTCTCGTCCTTGTATTCTGCCATTACAATATTATCAATGCTATTGTTACTTCATACATAACCACAATATGTATCTGTAGGCTAGGCATTCGACTTTTAACTGCAGTGTCACGAGATCATAAATGTACATTCAGCATTTGTTATATTTCTTGACCTGAAGGAGCGCCATTTGCCTCTGTTGATCACGAGATAACGTGGCTGTCTGGTCGGGAAGGGAGTGTTGAGAAAGTGTATATTGCAATAATCAGGCCATCCTATTTGAACTTATGTAGCTGTGTAAGAGCCGTGGAGAGCTGTCATCTGAAATGATGAAAACCAGCGGTATACAACCAGGGATGTCCGTTGTCTCTCTCTATTTTGGTTTAACCTTGCCAGAATTCATCCTAACTAACTTAGGGGCTTAAATTGTTACTAGGGAGTCTCAGAGTATACGGATGATACTTTCTTCCTGGGTGAAAACGCTAATAAGGTGCACAGCCATCTGAAGTGAGTGTCAAATATCCTCATTTTAATTTCATTTCAGCACAGGTTTACCAATGTATGTGATCGTGGTCGACTTCGACCGCTTAGGGATTGACTTGTTACCTTATCATCTATCACATTGTACAGAAATCTCCGTATGTTTGGCATGCGCTATTCACCCTTGTCCAATGTAAGACGATGCTGCACAACTGATCTGCACCGACTCATAGTTTGAAGATAGGCAGTTAAGAGTTGATCGTGTTGACTAATTCATTTATTTAGAAGGTTTCAGCATTCCCGATGGACTAGCTGCTGACGAGACATCGAGTCAAATATACCAGTAGGCTAATTTATCATTGTCCCACTTCCGTTGTATTTGGAGTAGGTGTGATACGGGCTATTTATCGAAAAGACGTTTATACTGTACAGCAGTCACCCTTTCGCCCCAACTCTATTTACATCCGAGACACAGCCATGGAAAGTCGAAGGTATGAAAACGTTAACCGTCATCGACCATACGTGTTTGAGTATAAGACGGTCAGTAATAATGGCGTTGTTACATTTAAAATATTGGGTAAGGTAGGGAGGTGGGTGGAAGTCAGTCGGTGAAGTTGTAACGTTGCATCAGTTAAGATGGTTAGGGGATGGGTTACTCATGCGCGCTATCTCCACCCTAGCCAAAAATGTTACGTGACATAGAATTGGGTTGAAAAACACACAAAAACAATTCATGAAGTTTTTCACTGTTGGTTTGAGCCAGCTAGGGATGAAGGTGAGGACTGCCTCTCTTCTGGGGGTCCTAGGGATATTAAGCAGAATTAGTGACTGAAGAGACTGTTAGTGGCATGGCTCAAAATTGCTCTCAAGTTTGATCTTCGAAGTTTCAGCAGCAGCAGCAGCAGCAGTAGTGTGTTTTACGGAGTGGAATTACTGGCCTCACGTCAAAAACTTCCCTAACTACCAGACTTTCTGGAGGTTAAGTGAAGTCTAAGAATGCGTCGGTTGGGAATTGAACCTGGATCTACTGGATGGTTGGTGAGTATTCATTCTACGACTGAACCACAGACCGATATACTCAATGCTACATACAGCTGCTGATTTATGAACTAGTGACAAAATGCTTATGAATATATATATGATCATGGCTTGATTCCACACCGTATTTTCGGTACAAGTATGGAATTTTCAGCATGTGATATCCGTAGCCAAAATTTTGCAGACCGACCATTGATATCAGGTGTGCGTCGGCAGGGGATCGAACCCCAAACCATGTATATATAACAATAAGTATTCAACAGATAAAATAATTTGTTAACTTACCATTCGATTTTTAATATAACCGTCAAATTGAATACCACGATTCGCAGAACCACGACAATCACACAAAAACACCGCATAGCCATAATGACAAAATAATTGAGCGTGAGCAAATCTAAATTAATTTTGTTAAAGAGAAAAATAAAAAAAGTTGAGCAAAAAAAATAGTCTTTTTGATAATTTCCTCTTCTGGCTCTAAAATTACATATATATATATATATGTATATATATATATATATATATAATGTTTATATACACAGATAATTCTAGAACAGTCCTCAATAACAATATTTCATACATTTATTCCCCTTAATGAATTTGAACAAAGCAAGAACTACAGTTTTAGCAGAATAAAATGGTACCATCATTGTTTATTTCGCTGCCTTCTCATCAGCTGCCTACTGGCCACAGTCATTACTAAGTATATCTACAAAAACAATTTAACATACTTGCACAGAGTTCATTTTAAACAAAAATCAATCGATCAATATACGCATACACTAATAATATATACATATATATATATATGCAATATTAAACACAATTCCGAACGATAATCATCATACACAATGAAAACTTTTCACCATCTCGCATTCGGATGAAAAATATCCAGTTACCAGGGCAAAGAAAGACTGATAACAGCTTCTTTCTGAACGCATATATCAGTTTTCAGTCGCTTGATGGAGATGGCTTCAGCAAACTTGAGGAGAATTGAGCTCTTTTGCTTATTGATAATTTTGAATGACTTTTCGCCGTCCACCTCATGACCCGTGTCGAGGAGATGCCTGGCGATGGCACTGTTTAAAGCATTTGTTTACTTTAGACATAAGCTTTTTGGTGCATGTTCAGAAAATGGTAGATATGCCCTTCTTTCTGTCCTTCCAAGCTCGTTCCCGTCTATCGAACAACTTGCTTTTTCATGCAATCAAAAATCGATAGATATCCTTCTCATGTTAACTCCAACTGTACATACAAATTTGCATGTTTCTGCGGGAGCAGTTACACTGGAAGGACAGAAAGAAGGGCATATCTACGATTTTCTGAACATGTACCAAAAAGCTTATGTCTAAAAGGAACAAATGCTTTAAACAATGCCTTCGCCAGGCATCTTCTTGACACGGGTCATCAGGAGGACGTCGTTTAAAATTTTCAGTAGGCGAAAGAGTTCAATTCTCCTCAATTTTCCTGAAGCCATCTCTATCAAGCGCCTGAAACCTGATTTGTGCGTTCAGAAAGAAACAATTATCAGTCTTTCTTTGCCCTGCCTGTTAACTGGATATTTTCACCCCTCTTTCATCTGATTACGTAACGCCAAAAGTTTCCATTGTGTATGATCATTATTGCTCGGAATAGTGTTTACTATTGATTGATTTTTGTTTGAAAATGAACTCTCTGTGCGAGTATGTTAAAATTGTTTCTGTAGATATACTTAATAATGACTTTGGCCTGTAAGCAACTGATGAGAAGTCAACGAAATAAACAATGATGGTACCATTTTATTCTGCAAAACCGCTATTGTTCTTGCTTTATTCAAATTCATTAAGGGGAATAAATGTATGAAATCAATATTCTTTGAAAAAAAATGTAATTTGATACACTAGAAATACGGTCAACAACAAAGTAAATGTTCACTTATACCCACTCACGCATTATTCACTCCACAACCAAACGAACACACACATCCACATCCACACCCACAAAATAATCAATAACTTACACTGATCTCGAATAACTACCACGAACTAATTGGATTCCAGGACCACCATAGACAAAATGTACAGTTGGATAACCATTCATTAATCGACTATGATTATAATTTGGTATAAATAATTGTCCATAGAGAATCGACTGGGGATCATTAAATTCAATATAATTTGACGATACTACCGGTAATTTGTTATTATTCCTGTCTAAATTGTTAAATATATCACATCGAAGTATCATAGGTGGATTAGTCGGTTGAAAACCATTGAAGGCATTGTAATGAGACACTGTAGAGACAGAGAAAGAGAGAGAGATGAAAAGTACGAAAGTTGAGAAGATTTATAGCTCAAGTTTTCTGATCTGGTTGATTTAATTGCGAAGCTTTCGTGGTCCACCTTCTAGACAACATCTTCAGCGCAGGTTTTAGTATGAAATGAACTTATTGGGATCCAGTTCATACTAAAACCTGCGCTGAAGATGTTGTCTAGTAGGTAGACAACGAAATCTTCGCAATTAAATCAACCAGGTCAGAGAACACAACTAAATCGAAAAGTACAACCATCAAGAACGAATACAAAAGCGACTGTCATGATATGAAAATAAGTTTTAATTGGTATGACTTATTATTATAATTATTCCCTTGTGTTCCGAGTGGAACATAGGGCTTCAACAGCACATCTCCACTTTGTTCCATTTTCTGCCGTTTTCTTCAGCTGGTTAGCTCCACGATTGACCAAACTCTCTTATCTCTTCCTCACACAATCTACTCCATGTCACCCTAGCACTGACGACCCACTCGTCACTTCCCGTTGGGATTCCAGTCGAGCGATGACCTGGCGTGCAATGTCATTCGGCGGCCTCCTCAATGTATGCCCGATCCATCTCCACTTTCTCCTACATATTTGTTGACCGATCGGCTCTTGTTTGTTTGTTCCACTGGAGAGTTTCTTGTTGCTTATTCTTTCTGGCCATTTAATCTTCAGTATAAAGCGAAGTGCGCAGCTGTTGATAAAAGTCTGCAACTGCCTCTTGGAAATCCTTTTTGTGACACGCTAGTCAAGTTTCTGACCCGTATAGAAGATCCGACCTCACACTGGTGTTGAAAATGCGAATCTTGTTCCTTATGCTGGCTGAGTGAGTGCAGAAGATTTCCAAACTGGTTTCAGGTTGATGAAGGAGTAACTTGCCTTTCCGATTCTAACCTGCTTTGACATTTTTATCGGTTCCTCCTGTAGTTGGAACAATGCTGGCTGCCTAGATAAGTGAAGGAGGCAACTTCTGTTAAATCTCTCCCGTTGGTGGTGACTAGTGTTGGGTGTTGTTGCTGTGGCGGTTGGTTGGTTATTTTCATCACCTCCGTCTTCTCTGTGCTCACCTGCAGTCCTGTTTCCGCTGCCAGCTTCCTCTGCCAGTTTGTTGGTTTTCGCTTGCAAGTCTTCGAGTTTGTGTGACATTAGACATATTTCATCTGCGAAAAGCAGACCTTCTAGAGTCTTCTTATCAGCCGTCCAGTGTATTCCTGACTCTTCGACCCCCCCCCCCAACAGTCTGACGCATAATCCAGTCCGAGATATAAGATCAATTCGGAGGGAAGGACCCTTGAAAACAAAGAAGCACCATATAAACGACTTTTTCGTCCATGTTTTGCAACATTTAGAAGTGTACATTCATCACTACACTCTTACCTCCACAACCAAAGGATAAAAATGTAATTCGATGATCATACACATATTCGCTGACATCTTTTGCTTATAAGCATTAACACGATTCTAACTGATTGCAGATGAATCGTCCAGAAGCAGGATCATCTTTCTAAGCTTTAAACCAATGGTTGGCTAGATGTCACTTCACAGCAATAACTAATAGGCAATACCATCATGAATCGAAATTAGTCAGGTGACAGCGTAATCGAGATGTTAACAAGAGGTGAATCCTTCTATACAGCAAGTGTGAATGGTGACACATTCGCCATGCAAAAATGGACAGCTTTAAGCGCCAGTCTACGAGTATATAGTATCAAGTGTCCATCACCACTTGATTCAATACAACTCTCACCTGCACGTCAAAACATTTTTCACATATTCCTTCGACAGATTAGTATTTTCTACCGTCATGTTGTTTAATTACCTTATTACCGTAATCTACCGGTGGAAACACCATAACTCACTGGGGAATGCAGGTGCATCCGGTGACGAGTCCCAAAAAGGACGAAACGCGCATCCTGGATTCCCCTGCTAGTTACCATCTACCAATTAATTTTTCTATTAAATTAAGATGATGTGTATATATTGCGTGATGATATCGCATAGTTTTTCTACAACCGCATTTCCACTAGCATGATTAACACCAGTAAAATAATGTGTCTGAAACGACAGCTTCAGTTACCAAGGAAAGCTATCTTTATTTAACTACAATTTCAGAGTTATTAAATCATGCAGTTGACAGCAACTCAAAAGGCTTCCTTCGGTAGTCAGCTATAAAGTGCACATTCCACGCCACATTTCTTACTTTTACACCTCCGATATTTTAAATTCCTGTGCCTACGATTAACGGACGACATTCTGCGCACTCTACTTCAATGTACTTCTCTACAAGTTCACCTGGAGTTGTGCTCATTCATATTATAGGTAGAACCAATAGATTATTCCATTGTCGTCGAGGAGAACATGTTCTAAGGTGACCACATAGAAAACACAAATGTACCTAATCTGAATAGAAATCCAGTCGCATCTATTGTAAAGCATTTATCTATGTCTGATCACACAACTTTAATTCAAGGTTATTAAAGGTGATGGAAGAAGCCCTTTGGTCATTAATCACATACATACCAAACTATGTGTACAGAAAACAACAGACGTCGCTGTTGACCGCTTAATTTATTTATATGACTGTGATTAAATACCAGACATTTTATCATTGTGAACCATGTCAGTGGTAAAGTGATTGTAGACAGAGAGAGACTACGAAAGGATATCATCACGCAATATTTTTTCTTCCTAATGTTTTATTTAAATTTTATTTAAAATTAACTGATTACTTCAAACTGAATTAAAATTTTCAAGAGTTTATTTGGTGGATGGTAACTAGCGGTGAAAACCACCGGGATACATGTTTCGTCCTCTATGAGATTCGTCATCTGGTTGCACCTACATTCTCCAGTAACTGATGACATGCCCACTCAGGTTCCAACCCAATATCCACAGTTTCAAACGCCAAAGCGTTACCCACTAGACCACCATTTGGACCACGGGAGCCAACACCTCTAGTTCAACGGGTGTGTCAGTGTGTCAATTTGGACTCTCTCGTTGATTGATTGTACAGAAGTGTTCGGCCTCTGGTTGACATGTCGGCTCCTTGTGCAGATGCTTCGACGATGTCTGATTATTTAAGTAAAGGAATTTGGTGGATGTTGGTGCAGTGGATAACGCTTTAGCATTTACAACGATGAGTACTGGGTTCAAGCCTCATTTGGGAGCATCATGACTCACTGGGGAATGCAGGTACATCCAGATGACTAGTCGCAAAGAAAAAGAAATGCGCATCCTGGATTCTAGTGCTAGTCACTACCCACCAAATTACTGCAATCTAAACAATCAGACATCGTTGAAGCATCCACACAAGGAGCCATTATATCAATTCTAAGGCCTAACACTTCGGTCCAAACAATCAACAGAAAAGTCCAAAGTGAATTCAGTAATCTTCAAAAGTTTGTATGTATTTGATTTGTCACAACTTTCCTCAAGAATTGATATCAGTTAGAGAACAACCGAATACCTACGAGGAGTACTGTACAGCTAGCTAGCTGTTTCATCCTAGTTTAGGACTCATCGGCACCCACTGGGTCTCGAACCGAGGACCTTCCGGTTACAAGGCAAGCTCGTAGACCATTCAGCCACTGGAAACCGACTCATTTGCTAGCACATGAATTCTAATTTATACCAATTAATAAAATTAATTGCAAGAAGCGCATTATTCAAACCTTTTCAAACAGGAGAAATCACGACAATGTCATATACTAAATCTTTAACTCCGGCATACAGAGAAATTTTTTGTCAATCTCTTTTCTCCGTATTACATCTTAAGTCTGCTCTTGACTTAACTTTTCAAATTTTAGTTAGGCTCTTTTATATCCTTATATCAAATTTACAATTTTCAAATTAGTTAGCGATTTGCTTAGTGTACACAGTTCGAGTAGTTAAATTTCACTGGAGTTTCCTTTTGAAACCAAGTCATTCCGATCACTACAATATATGGTCTGCATGATACCATAAAAATGGTGGTAATCAAGCAGGCAAGAAAATTCGCATAAAACTACAATACTACTGATTTATTGAAATGAGTAGTTGCATACCACTCATATCAACCAGCTGGCCAGCCAGCCACATTGAGGTGATCTAAACACCGGACGGCCGTTTCGCCCGTTGATAGCCAAGCTCATCATCGGTGTACATAGCCGGTTTGACTCAGCTCAGAAAGCCGAATCAGTTCAAAGGACCCTGTCGATTACTCAACTTACTGATTTTATTTTACTTAAGTCTCTCAACCTGATTAATTTTTCTCTGTTATATAATTTTGTGAGTTCGTGGTTATGACCATACTTGATAGTTCGTGCCAACGAACTTCCCTACCTAGTCGATTTGTGAGCCTACTGTTCCAATCGCCTGTTAGCAACAACAACCACAACAGTGACACGATACGATACCACCGAACCCGCGACGTAAGAAGAGAGACCGTTGATGTAGAGAGCTTTTACTGTCTCGAATCAACAGCGAAAAGGGTTGACAGAAATTGCTTGTATACATATATATGCTTTGGCCCTGAAACACACTGATTACATTGATAAGTTAAAACAGTCGACAACCAATAGGAGTTCAAGGTCATAGGTGAGCAGGAAGTACAAACAGCACTGTACTGTAAAGTCCAATGCAGTATTTTAGCAAAATTAGATCTATATAGAGCGGGTAATCTTTAATATATGTAGGTACGAGTATGCAGCGTAACAACGATACCGACTACAATATATGTGATCTGCTTGATACCATAAATAGCAATCAAGAACGCAAGCATAGATGTACGGTAGTACATACAATCTAACTGATTTATTGATTGATACTAGGTTACTGGAAACTACTGACGTTAACTAGTCTTGATTGCACACATTTTAAGTTTGTTCTTACGATGGTTTAAAAATAACTCCTGAACTGAATTATACCAAGTTCGAGTCTCCATGATAACAACATCACTCGCTGGGGATTCGAGTATCTCCAATTGACATAAGTCATCAAAAAGGGGCAAAGCACACATTTCCTCGAAACAAAACCAACAGAACACTTTATTTTCATCCTTTTGCGTCCTAAGTGGCATAAAGGGCTTTAAGTTTGAGCTTTGAAATTACAGTATCAGAGATGCTCTTTCTACGGGTTTTGATTGCTAGCCTCATACACACCCAACCTTTCTTCTTTACCGGAGTTGTTTTTATTCCTTTACGTTCCCCCAGTGGAACATAGGGCTTCAAGCTAGAGGCTTGAAGTTTCGGTAGCAGCGGTATTTGCTTTTACGGGATGGTGCTGCTACCCAGCCTCATACCAAACCTTCCCTTTTTACAAGACTTATTACTGGCTTAGTAAGGTAAAGGAGTGTGTCAGTGGCCGGGGATCGAACCTCGAACTACATGCGGCGCGGTTGGCGAGCATTCTACCGCTGTACCACCGACGCTTCACCGGAGTTACTATCCGCTAATCGGTGTGTTTAGGAGTACATTGGCCTGGAGTTAAATCCTGAACTACATCGTGTAAGGTTGGTTGATTGACAGGATACTACCTCTGAACCATCAACGTACAACGGAACATTTTTAGTTCAATAAATATTTTTAGGTGGGAACAAAACGACAACAACACTGTACTACTTACCATGTTTCCGTAACCATCCAATATGTTGTAGAATAGGTTTATGTTGACGATTTTCATGATCACAAGTCGTCGTCGTCATAGTAATACGACAGACTTGAATACCAATCAATTTATCTAAACTACTTGATTCAATTAGCATAATACCATAGTTCGGGTTGAATGCACTCACTTCATAGGATAATGGATAAGGTTTTAAATGAGATTGAGCATCAGTAAAGTAGGGATCTAAAATATTCGGTTGATTTATATTTACAGGCATAGAGGATGATGGTGATGATGACGATGAAGGTGATGATGATGATGACAGTGATGAAATGTGTTCACCTTCAACAGTTTCTACTTCTGTAGAATTATTAGTCGTTGAAAGTTGAGTGGTTAAACATGACAGGTGACCACGATCTCCACTGGCATAACTGACACAATATCTAGTTAAAGATGGGAAAGAGGTAAAGGTACGAAGAAAAGGTACGCGGAAAAAAAAGTGATATTACTATATACAATGAAACTGTGGCCCACTAATATAGGCGCGCTTGACTTCTAATCTCTTGGCTCCCATAAACGATCTGGTATGGCCAAGGGTGGGTAGACGCATGTAGACAGGCATTCATAACTTCTGACACTACCTTCACGCGGAAGGGGTATTCCACACGAAAGTGAAAGGACGAATTCGAACGTATGGCGTTTACCACAAAACTGGTGGTGCACATGCAGCTCTAGCCTAGAGGAGCTGGAAAACCTTGATTCCAAACCTATGGTGTACATAGACTTCAGAATCTGAAAGGATCATTTAGTCGCCGTCAACCATGGTGTCGTAGCTCCTGACTCTACTCTACTGCCTTGTGGATCAGACATCAAACCAAATGTTCGGCGGTTGCCTCTCAAAATAACCACCTGTTTCGGTCTTGGGCGTCCAAACCTTCGTAAATGCAGAGGGATTTGAAATCATGGCCCAGTGGTTGGAAGTCCAGAGGCTAAACCATCCAGTACCTGTATGATAATATGTTGAAGTGACACTTCAAGGAATTCCATTTCAAATTGATAGTCGTAAATAATAACGACGTATGTGATATTGAGTACTTGGGATTATTTTAGCTTATTATGAATCGTGATACTGGGGTAGTACACTAATTAATGCTGTGATTGTCATATACACAATTCTAACTAATTAACCCCTCACGATGGTCTGGGGTGGGTGCCTAGCGCTGCGGGTTGGCCACTCCTCCGCACACCTCTTGAAATGCTCCCATATGACTGGGCGTCTTACATAGCCTCTCCTGAGGAAGTCCTACTCACTGCCTTCACGTGGTGGAGGTGTTTTTCACCAAAGTGAGAGGGCGAAAGTGGATGCCCGGCGCTCTTCACCGGGTTGACTGTCCATTGGATGACAGTCTAGGGGAGATGGCTAAACCCTGATTCCAAACCTCCAACGACTGGCGTATGAAGCTCACTGGAGCTCACCGGTAGACGTATGGACAAAGGGCTTGTTGGATGTCCTGGATGTCTGGCCCGATTCAAAAAAGCGCATGAACCGAACTCCGGTCACCGGCTGCCAATGGACAGTGGACTCCCTACCCCACTCCTACTGCCTTGTAGGTCACACTTGGTTGTGTAAAGGCTAGAGCTGCACTCTCAAACAAAAGGTCGAGCAATTCTGGGGACATCACTCGTACCAAATTCCCATGAAACTTCATGAACTATCTTACAAATGATTCGAGATGTTCATGAAGCCGGCTCATCCTCCCGTAGGAGATAGCCGAAGTAAAGTAAGTAAGTATATTATACTATGACTCTAGGTATTTGGAGGATTACAAACCTAGTGAATTTTAACACAGGGTTATTAAATACGCAACAGACTGTTCTGTTTTGTGATTTATTAAGATTAGGCATTTGAATACTACACAACTATTAAAGCATTTTATTGTTCAAATTCTATGTGTATCTACCAATTTAGCTGCTTCTGTGGAGCCAGTTACATAGGCCGCACAATTAGGCGTGTTTCTCCTCGGATTTCCAAACATCACCCTGCATGGTAGTTAAGTAAAGGACAAACAAAATCTATCCATAGCGCTATTCTATCTCATCTGGTGGAGACAGAACACAAGATCAATGTTAATCAGGCTTTCAAAGTCATTTACCGCATAACAACCAACTAATCTTAACTTCGCCTTAAGCGTTCGTCTACTACATATTGCTGAGGCTGGCTGTTAGGATCCACATTAAGAAGCCAAATTTATGTGTCCAAAAGAAGCTGGTTCAGACATTGTCCTTACCTTGGCCATTTAGGTTTTAATGATCCTGAATTTGTTGTGGAAATTTCCTTAAATTTGATGTGATATTCTAGTTGCTATTACATTTTTATGCTTATTATAACTTTAGCGTTTTTCTTGAACTGTAATTCCATTGATCTTACCTAACAAGTTGTGACCAGTGACGTTCAATGAGCCGAGTGTGAGGAAGGATTTCCCACCGATGACATTGGTTGGTGGTCACGCTAAACCCATCACGAATTGGTAGAAGTCAGAATTCATGCACTGGCCATTGAATCGGGTCCCAGTGGCTTAATGGTATACGAGCTTGCTTGCTTGCTTGTAACCAGGAGGTCCTGGGTTCCAACCCCACGGTGTGGGTGGGCACTGTCGATGATTCCCGAACTAGGACGAAACAGCTGTCCAATACTCCCTGGTTTCCAATGGTTCTCTAACTGATATCAATCCGTGGTCAAACGCGTAAAAATAAACCAATATTATTTAAAAACACTAATATTGTTATTGACGACTATTCTAGAAAAGTTATATTATATATATATATATATATATAGTTGTAGAGCCAGAAGGGTGAATTATCGAAAAGCATGTTCTTTGCTCAATTATTTTATTTTTTTCTAGATGTCTGAATGAATATTTTCACTATATTCAAATTCGATGAGACAAACGATAGTACAACATATACATTTTTTGTTTCAAACGCAAGAGATTATACTCCCAAAGCTGACTGACTGAGTTACGAAGCAGTAGTTCAAGCCGTCATACTTTGTGTACCGCAGAAATGTATAGAAAAAGAAAAGAAATTCAGAGGAACTATAATGAAGCGGAATGTATGCAAAGGAAGTGTAGTACACATGGAAGGAAATGAGGGTATAATAGATAAGGGAGATTACAAAAAGTGAATGTATCTTCACCAATGAGAACGATTTCGAACCATAACACCAACAGTCTCATGCCATTGGTTCTTTTTATATCAAGGATCCCAACCAGGCAGTCTACACTTTAATACGTGGCTACTTCTCAACGAGGAAGGCGATGGCTTCTCATAACCATTTCGATTGTGATGCAACTTCACAACCTTATTGATCGACTTACCCTCCTTACCTAACTTCAGTAGTCTATATTAATATAAACACATTATACTAATTAACATAAGATGCAGAACGCAAACATCTGTAACTGAAGACATCTAAGTTCCACAAATCCTCTCCACTTTCAATAGCCATTATTCACGGTCATACAGAAGGATATGAAGAAGTGCTGCTCAGTGCAAACACATCCTTCAGTCGTTTGCCTCATATCACATCCAAGCCAGAGATTATGTAAGTTGGCAAATGTCATCAGCAATCAGTTCATAAGTGAAGTGGTCAACACGCCCCAACCATTTCACTCCATATCTTATACTCATTAAATCAATAAATAACCAATATGATTAACTCTAAGCAAGCAATTGAACGGATGAACACACTAAGAGATAGAAGATAGTTTAGATATAACTTATCTTTAGGCTTCATTGTCAAAGTTGGGTGTGTGTTCAAGGCACTGAGATGAAGTTTACCTGGTATACAAAAGTTTTTTTCTGATCAGATATCAGTATTTCACTGGATAAGTTGTCTGTACATCGCAACTCACATATAAACGCATTTCTTGTTCATAAATGCAAAACACACGCACACATTACATCAGATTAAGATATACCACACTGTGGAGTGGTAATATTGTGGTGGTGTGATACAGACAATGTGTTCCAAAGGGAATATTATTCTCACATATTCTCACAGTTCAATACTGCGTTAGCAACAGAATACTATGTGTGTATTTAAACATTCTATTTCATGTCATTTATTATTATTATTATTATTGTTCCCTTGGGTTCCTAGTGGAACATAGGGCTTCAACTGCACGCCTCCACTTGCTTCTGTCTTGTGCTTTACTTTTCACTTGCATCCATGTTAATCCATACTGTTTCAGTTCCTCATCACACGATCTCCTCCATGTCACCCTTGGACGTCCCACTCGCCGCTTCCCTTTCGGGTTCTACTCGAGGGCCTGACGCGCGATGTCACCCAACGGCCTCCTCAGCGAGTGTCCAATCCATCTCCATTTTCTCCGGCATATTTGTTGGGCGATTGGTTCCTGTTTTGTTTGTTCCCATAGTTTCTTGTTTGTGATTCTTTCCGGCCATCTGATCTTCAGTATAGAGCCAGCGAAGACAGTTGTTGATAAAGGTCTGCAACAGGCTGTTGGAAATATTCTTTGTGACCCGCCAAGTTTCTTATCAGTATAGAAGAAGAAGTAACTTGACGTTTGTATTGAAAATCCGAATTTTGTTCTTGATGCTGAGTGACGAAGACTTCCAGATTGGTTTCAGGTTGATGAATGTGTTTCTCGCCTTCCCGATTCTCGATTTGACATCCTCGTCCGTTCCTCCTGTGGTTGAGACAATGCTCCCTAGATAAGTAAATGAAGTAACCTCTTTCAAATCCTTCCGGTTGATGGTGATTGGCACTGGATGTTGCTGCTGTTGTTGTTGTTGTTGGTTGGTTATTTTCATAACCTCCGTCTTGTCTATGTTCACCTGGAGTCCTGTCTTCTCTGGCTGCTTCTTCGACCAGTTTGTCGGTTTTCGCTTGTAAGTCTTCGATTTTGTGTGACATCAAACATAAATCATCTGCGAAATCCAGGTCTTCTAGGTTCTTCGCGTCGGTCCAGGATATCCCTGTCTTCTCGTTTCCCACTGTCTGACGCATAATCCAGTCCACCACAATTAGGAATATCATTGGTGATAATAAGCACCCTTGTCTGACTCCTGTGTTTACTCGAAACGCCTCGCTGAGTTTTCCGTTATGGATCACTTGACATGTGCGGTTGTCGTTCAGCTGTTGAATAAGGTTGATGAATATTTGGGGTACGCCGTAGTACTCGAGTAGTTTCCAAATTACATGTCATTTAATGTAAGCCAAAATCACACGCTCAATGATTTGTTAGAGAATATAGAACTGTATATATGTAAATAGTGGCTACGATCTCTTTCTCACGTTAGGTGGCATAATAAGGTAAGTAATGTTGACGTTAGGCGTAGAGTGTTGGGCAAAGAGGGAAAATCAATCGATGAGGCTATAAAGTTACATAGATTGAGATGGTTAGGTCACGTGCTGCGCATGCCTAACCATCGCCTCCCCCGACGGACGGGCATTACTACCTGATATAGGTGCAGGTTGGAAAAGAGTAAGTGGTGGCCAAACAAAAACATGGCCTCATCAATCCATGAAATCTTTGACAGTTAAACTGAGTCAGGTAGGGAGATGCAAACTTCCGGGTTGGGGCCCTCGGGACTCTAAGAATCAATGACTGGAGACAATAGGTAACATGGTTCAAAATCGTTGTCAATGGCTTACGCAGATGTATTCAGTCTCTGTAATCTTTCATATATTTCTTTCTACCATTACTCATTCTGTTCACTCTTATACTTGTCAAAACTCTATTGATTCTCTTCACTCATCTTCTTGTCTACCTTTGTGTGCTATTTGGAACTTGGCAACTCGAACTGCTGCCCTTCGGTGCCAAGTTCTATGTTGAATCCAGACAGAGAGACAGACAGATAGTGGCTTGACCACTTGAAAATATACCTTGGCTTCCATGTCTGGCTTTCTGTTGTTACAATACAACGAATAAAGACAATTCTGAGACAGAGGGAGACAGTGTGTGCGTGTGTTCATATGCGGATAAGTTACAAGATTTAAGATTTGGAAGATGATATAACAAGCGAATACATTCACATTATTGTGAATAATTTTGATTCTTGTTACCAAGACTGCTTTCTCCGTGCAGCCATTCGCATCCTTAGTATTTTGAGAATCCAGAGTAAAAATTACATCTGCCTGCCTACAGATCAATAATTACAGGCTTTTAAGACAGATAGGTACCGTAAATCTTTATCGCTCACCATCAACTTTAGGTAAGATCACTATTCATCAAGGCAGGCGGTGGGTTGCCATCTATCTTAATCGATAAGGATTTACAGTCACACACACATACACACACCCGCCTCGTCGACTGACTTATCTTCTTTACCTAATACTGTAGGTCTTTAACAATCACCAAAGTATTAGGAAAATCCACTCAATGTGTTCTACTTGCTTTTAGGTGCAATGAGTAATATGTAATGTAATATTTCAATATCCAATACTTTCAGAGGTTATACCTCAGTTTTACAGGGACACGATAATTGTATGAAGGCTTATGATAGTACGACTCAGTTGCTCAGACTGTGAGTTAGGTGTGGCAGCATTCAAACCGAAGACACATAGACTACTGAAAGTCGAGTACTGAAGCCATTGAGTCATGAAGTAGGATGACTAACTGACTGACTGGTTTCAACGTAGAACTTTCCACTGATGTGCACCAATTCCTGTTGCCACTTTCTCTTCATGTACCACACAAAGCAAAGGAAGAGAGTAAAGAGGGATTCAGAAGGAAGATAATACACAGAAAATTGAAAGAAAAAGAATAGTAGTAATATGGAAGAACAATAGTTTTATTGAATATTATAAATCACAAAGAGTGGATGAATCTTCGCCATCAGTGAGAACGATTTCGAGCCATATCACTGATAATTGTCTCCAACCTTCATTGGTTTTTTACTATTCCGAGGACCCCGACCAGGAAGTCTACACTTCCCTACGTGACTGTCTGTCTGGCTTAAACTAACTGTTGTGGATTTCATTGACTGATGAAGTCATGTTTTGGTTTGACCACCACTAGCTGGCTCTTTTCCAACCTGATCCTACTAAGTAAGATAGAGCGAACTATCAAACAGTACTCACACATGCTTTAAAATATCTCGAGTCATCTTCAGAACTGATAGTATAAAGATAAAAATGTACGAAAAATATAACATTGAATCAATTCGAGTAAAAAAAAGATTTTAAGAAAGTATAACTGCTTACATATTTCTGAGAATAGGATGTTCTTTATTCGCTTCGAAATAAACCAACTGGTTATTTTCGTCTAACCATATCTTTGCATTGAAAACAAGAGGTTAGAAAAATTTGAAAAAGATAAGAATTAAAAAAACGACAACAGTGACAAAATTTATTGAACGCATGCATATCATATATATATATATAACTTTATCAATCATAAGCCCATGACCAGTGGGCATAAAAAAAAACAATATCAACGTATAGGAAATCAATCATAAGCCTGAAAACCTCAGTGTTATCGTCTGTAACGATCTCGTTCAACAGAGCTAGATGGTGATTCCACATGCCAAGTGATTCAAAACGGAAAACTCGTCGAAGTATTTCGAATGAAGACAGCAGTGAGACTAGGATACCTATTGTTGGTATAAGGATAAAATTTGTGCACTGTGGTGTTGGAGTATAATGACATTATGGATAAAAAATTTTATTTTGTTAAAGTCACACACAATGGTGTTATACAGTAATATTTACTGATGACCACGTTTCGAGCAAAATTTATTACTACTGCTCATAATCACATCAAGGTATTCAGACAACTTCCTCAACTTCGTTTATATAATTCCATTATTTTTCATCGCTTGACTTGATTGGTAGTAGTATTTTCCATATTTCCGATATGAGTGATGAGTCATTCCTATTGCATGTGTTGGGTGTAGACTCGATGAACAAGGATTCAGTAATCAACCTCTCTCTCCACCTACCTACCTATATTACTTTTTAGAATTTTGACTCTGTCCCCTCCACACCATTGTGTGGTTGTGTGTTAATGCATGCAGTGCAATTGCTGAGCATTTTTCTAAATTACTTATCTTCTCGGGGTCAACCATTCTTGCCTTAGCTAAATTCTTATCTTCCGACAATCTGACTACCTCCGACCTACTAGTTTGACCTGTATAGTTGACCTCACAGTCAATGCAGGGTAATTTGTAAATTATATTATTTTGTTTAATTGGGTCCACCGGGTCCTTTAACCTGCAAAGCTTGTCCCTGAGTGAGTTTGTAGGTTTGACTGACACCATAATTCCTGCTTTATTGAGAATCCTACGTAAGGTCTAAAATGTCCCCTCCTTATATGGTAAAACTATTGTAAATGCCTTATGTCCTTTCTTATTTATGTTATCATTATTAGTTTCCCCATGATTTTTATCTTACTTTTGACCTTTCCTGGTCTTCCTAATGAATTTTATAAGATGGTTATTTGACACCGATAAGGATATCAAATTAAGTTAGGATCAGAAATACAAGATAAACCTTCAATAATCTGAGATCAATCACGAAATCTGCTGCATTCAACAGCATACAGTACAAGATTCACATTTGAAACAGTAATGTCAAGTCAGAGTTACTATGTGGTTCACAGACTTGGCGCACACTTCCCTAAGTATTTCCAACAGCCTTCTGTAGACTTTTATCACACAGCTGCCTTCACTTGACAATGAAGATCAGATAACTGGTCCGTAGGGGAAAATCAACTCATTCGTGGCTGCATAAATGTCTTGCTCATAAGTACCAATAAGCACTAAGCACGAAACTTCAGAGTCAAGGCTTTCAGCTGACTAGTTCAAAAAACTAAGAAACACTGAGTTGTTCTCAGCTTTATGTGATATCATAGGTGGTGGCTGGTAGTAGAATCTAAAAGATGCATTCTGTGCTGTTTGCAACTCAGCAACTGGATATGGTCAGATAGCAGATGGTAGTAATTCCTACTACTGGGGACTTCAACCCAGCTTCTACATGATTAACTTCGAAACATACATTTGGAAACAGCTGGATTCATCCGTTGAGTAATATGAAAGTAGTACTTTATGTATTACAATGAGGTGTCTATGTGAGAATTCTCTGAAAGCAGCAATCGAAATAGGATAGTTTATTTTAAGAAATATGGAGCAGCATGCTACCTATGATGCCTTTCTACTTTGTGGTGGTGCGGAGGAAGGTTGAAAAAGATCGCCCGCATCTCAACTTACCCTACAGCGGTATCATCCTACTCTGGTTCAAGTTTCAGTAGGAATGTAATGACAGAAGACAAGGGCCAGGCAACAGATCGTTTATTGAGAAAATCAACAGATATTTATAGATTTTTATGTGCATTATTATTGGCGTTATTGTTAGCGGAGAAGCAACCTCTTCTGGTTGGTTGTTTTCTTGCTGATGGTTCACTTTCTGTTATTTCATTGTGGCCGTTTCTCAGAAAATCAAATCATATATATCCGTGAATCATATTTCCACACTTTAACTCCGCTGTGATTGGCTGGTGATTTTCTCAAGGTTAAGCTTTGTTATTATTTTTCTTATGACGCTGACTTGGGACGTGAACATTGCCGTAAATTGTTGTTTACCAGTTTTGGATAGTGGAAAGAAGAGAGCACGAAGTTCAGCAAAGATGTTGGTCTTTTCGGCGATTTCATTTTCAAAAGCAGCTGTACAATCGCATGTAAATACATAATTTTACATGGAGACAATTCTTGTTCGATTCTACACAACTACGACGGCGAATAAAAGGTGATAATTATTTCCAACTAGATATGGTTTTTACGAGAGGCTTAGAAACAAAATTACACAGGATTAGAATGGGTATCAAGTGTGTAAAAATGAGCATGGAAACAAAAATTGAAATAATAATTTTCAACTCGAGATGGGAATTAGGAGGTGCGAAAATAGATCACAAGAGCCTTAGAAACAAAAATTACACGGGATTATAGCGAATTACAGGTGTGTAGAAAATGAGCATGGAAACAAAAATTGAAATAATAATTTTCAACTTGAGATGGGAATTAGGAGGTGTGAATATAGATTACAAGAGCCTTAGAAACACAAAAATTGCACAGGGTTAAGATATAATTGTAAAATAGTTAATTTTTTTATTATTATTAAACGAATTATAAATGTGAACAGGAAAAGCATGGAAACAAACTTAAAGTAACTGTTTTTATAACTGAAAAAATGGGGTGAATCGAATGGAGACTGAGGGAGCAAGAATCACACACACAGCGAACGAAAAAGATCAAAAAGAAAAGAGAGAACGAAAGAACAAAAACAAAACAAAAACGGAAGCTAAGGTAACATACTGAACTAGGTCCATGATAGTTGTAGAGGTTGGACTAATTTCTTTTGAACACACAGCTCAGGCTTCTCGATGCATATTGCGAGGGCTTCTGCAGTACAGAAAAGTCGGAAACAAACTGCTTTTGGTAGGTTTCTGTTGACTTTGTAAATTACTTTGAAAGAATCAGTTGAAATGCTGTGGGAGATGTTGATCAGATGCTCAATAATAGCACTTCTGATTGAACCGGTGCCTCCTCTTTGCAGCCACGCCTGGTAATGTTCTCTAACACGCATACAACGACCTATGTACCTAGCCCCAAACGAGCAGGTGAACTGGTATATGCACATTGAATTGGTCATATGCGAGAGTTTGTCCTTCGTGTTGTTTCGAAGTATTGGACGGCTAGAGAATGTCACTCTTAGTGTTACTACAGGGAAGGTCTTCTTTAAAGAGCTGGATATTACCTCTTCAGGATGTTGGCTGCTTCTTCTTCCGTTCTCTTTTTTCTTTTTGATCTTTTTTCGTTCGCTGTGTGTGTGATTCTTGCTCCCTCAGTCTCCATTCGATTCACCCCATTTTTTCAGTTATAAAAACAGTTACTTTAAGTTTGTTTCCATGCTTTTCCTGTTCACATTTATAATTCGTTTAATAATAATAAAAAATTAACTATTTTACAATTATATCTTAATCCTGTGCAATTTTTGTGTTTCTAAGGCTCTTGTAATCTATATTCACACCTCCTAATTCCCATCTCAAGTTGAAAATTATTATTTCAATTTTTGTTTCCATGCTCATTTTTACACACTTGATACCCATTCTAATCCTGTGTAATTTTGTTTCTAAGCCTCTCGTAAAAACCATATCTAGTTGGAAATAATTATCACCTTTTATTCGCCGTCGTAGTTGTGTAGAATCGAACAAGAATTGTCTCCATATAAAATTATGTATTTACATGCGATTGTACAGCTGCTTTTGAAAATGAAATCGCCGAAAAGACCAACATCTTTGCTGAACTTCGTGTTCTCTTCTTTCTAATACTAATTTTGGCTTGCAGGCAGCTGTCTCACCACAAGAACACTATCAATCATTGCGATACTGGTACATCCAGCTAACAAGTCACCAAAACAACCCTATCAGGGAAAGTATAGACTACATTTCATCTGACAGACAGACAGACTAGTCTAGTGTAAATGTCTATTTGTCCCAGAAACACAAATACCACTGACAACACTCACCAAAGTATGTAAACTTACAAAATAATATTCATATATTGAGGGGAAAAATTTATTAATTAGTTATTTACCTTATTTCCAGTAACTTCCCAATTACCATTCGTTAACTGATTGATGTAAACTTGTTCAGCTTTGATAAGAACTGCAGACTGTTCACTATTATTATTATCACCATCAACGTGCGCAGAGGTACTGGCATTATCATGATGTATTATGGTGGACAATTTATCCTTAGACCATGAACACTGTACAAGATACAAGTGGGTATAACCTGATCTATGAGAAGCCCATATAAATGTACAATTATCTCCGCCTTTGAAGGCGACTTCATTATTTGAACAATCGCCTATCACAGGATGCCATGGATTCGTTAAAAAGGTTAAGAAATCATGAACCTAAAATGAAAATTTAAAAATAATAATAATAAGAATACCAGGACCAATCAGATTCGTCGGACGCTTCCGACGAAGGTCATTCCAAGCAGAAACTATGCCTGCGTTTATAGATTTGGTTAGCAAATTTCGCGGAGTGACTGAGATTTGTATTTGTGGAGATGTTATGATGCTAAAGCAATACAACCATGTTGGAGATGAATACTGTTAAAGATGTAGTTCATGTCATAAGAAAAAAAATCTGTTCGTGAGGTTAAGTACAGTATTTTACTAAGCTGTCTTTGACGGACAGTGCAATGGTATCAGCACTGTAGAGAGTCACGGCGTCATGGAAGTTGCAGGGGATTACTAGCTGTCTTCAAGGAGTAGGATTAGTCGTTCACATCGATCAAACTGTGCTCATTAGGAAGAAGTATTAACAGGTGAAGGAGAAGGGCAAATCAAGTGTGGATACTTGGAATCTATGACACTTCACTTCGCAAAGGTTTCGTTAAAACATTACGAAATAGAAGTACAGCAACATTAATTCCAAGCATTCAGCGCTTGGTATTGCCAGGACCAACCATACATACTGATGAATGGATGGGATACAACCAACTTTCATCTTTGGATTACATTCACTATCGTGTCAACCATTCCTCCAACCTCGTAAATCCAGTCACAGGCACGCATACTAGCTCTGTCGAAGGATTCTGGGCGGGGTGATTGAAGAAAAGAATCAAGGAATGCCAATGGATCGCAAAATACCATGATTTTTGGACACATCGATAAATACATGTATACAGTATGATATACCTTCTCTGATGCTCATCTTGGAGAAACTGAGAGACGTTTTGACGAAACATAACAGACCATTACCCAGTTTAGTGACAATTTTCTAACGTTTATAATACATTTTTTAACGAGTTGAACATGGATTGATATCAGTTAGCGAAAAATTGAAAACCAGCACCAGGGAGTACTGGACAGCTGTTCCATCAGCTTAGTTTGGGAATCATCGGCAGTAAGCACCCACACCGTGGGGTTCGAACTCAGGATCTTCCGGCTATAAGGCAAGCTAGTAAACCAACCAGCCACTGAGACTCAATTCAATGGCTCATGAATTCTAACTCCTACCAATTCGTGATTTAGCGCGACCCCAAACAATGTCATCGGTGGGACATCCATCTTCACACGTGACTGGATGGACCTCACTGGTCACGACTTATCAATGGTTTTCAAAGGTTCTCTAACTGACATCAATCCGTGATCAACTCGTAAAAATAAAACTAACCCTCTGAAACCAACTATAGACATTTTTTAACGATATTAACGGTTTTTTGACATCTGAATTCTGATTGGTTGTTCAGGGTCACTCTAGTTTGTCTATGATAGTTTGACTTTGTCGACATTTCTATTGATTGGTCAACAGGAATACTGATACACACAAGAGGTGGTGGCTCTCGTGGCCCAAATGGTAGCTAAGTGGATAACATTTTGGCGTTTGAAACGACAAGTCATTGGGTTCGAGACTTATTGGGAACACACCATCATCACTCAGTGGGCAGTGCAGGTACATTCAGATGACGAGTCCCAAAGACATGGAAAGTTTTTCAACAGCATATCAGACTTTACTGCTTTCCCTAAAATATCTACAGTATGTCGTCGATTAAAGTCAATGAAATACCCCCATTTGAATGAAGCAGCCAACAAAGGAGATGGGTTCATCATTAATTTTAAATTTCTGTTTGATCGAGACCAATAATGTATTGAAAATCCGAATTTTGTTGATGATGCTGAGTGACAAAGATTTCCAGATTGGTTTCAGGTTGGTGAATGTGTTTCTCGCCTTCCCGATTCTCGCTCGATTTGACATCCTTGTCCGTTCCTCTTGTAGTTGAGACAATACTCCCTAGATAAGTGAAAGAGGTAACCTCTTTCAAATCCCTCCCGCCGATGGTGATTGGCGCTGGATGTGGCTGTTGTTGGTTGGTTATTTTCATAACCTCCATCTTGTCTATGTTCACCTGGAATTCTGTCTTCTCTGGCTGCTTCTTCGACGAGTTTGTCGGTTTTCGCTTGTAAGTCTTCGATTTTGTGTGACATCAAACATAAATCATCCACGCGCGAAATCCAGGTCTTCTAGGTTCTTCACCTCGGTCCAGGATATCCCTGTCTTCTCGTTTCCCACTGTCTGACGCATAATCCAGTCCACCACAATTAGGAATATTATTGGTGATAATAAGCTGTGACCAGTATGGTGCAGCAGGTCAGGTGTCAGGGTAAATACTTGTCGAAGACATTGGCTAGCGGTTGCGCTGTATCGTGAATTGGCAGAAGTTAGGATTCATGGGCCGTTGGATCGGGTCCCAGTGGCTTAGTGGTCTACGAGCTCGCTAGCCTTGTAACCAGAAGGTTCTGGGTTCGAACCCCGGTGGTGGGTGCATGCTGTGAAGAGTCCCAAACTAGTCTGACGAAACAGCTGTCCTGTACTCCCAGGTTTTCCAATGGTTCTCTAACTAATGTCAGCTCATGATGAAATCCTGTAACTAATTCAAAATAATTAGATAAATAAGAGATTCGGAAATCGATATCTTTCGTTTAAAAGATACACACACACACACACAAAGATAGTAACTTCATAACAAAAAACATGCTATGCATCATCGATAAATCATTATATATATATATATATATATATATATATGTATCACCTTAACCCAATACTTTGATTCTTCTTCAGTAATTAATTCTATACACGGTGATATTGATGATGGGAATGAAGATGTGTTGACGGAAGTGGCAGTGGGAGAAGCAGCTGGAGCAGCAGAAGCAGAAGCAACTGCTCCATGATCATTGACAATCACATTGGATATTGCACAAAAGTTATCTACTGGAATTAAAATCAATGAAAGACGTTGTTGTAAACGAGTGATCAGCTGACACCAAACACTGTAATCAATAATGAAATAAAAAAATAGAAACAAAAGACAAATTGAAAGGCGTAGTTGAAAAAGCAAAACAAAAATGAAAAATAATAATAGTACAAATGAGAAAATTAGTAAGTGAGATGATAAGTAATTATTAAAAGCGAATGTACAATTACAGAGTGCATCTGTTGTCTTTTTAATAGTACCATACATTCTACTAGCATTATTAGTTTTAGGCATTCAATTAAACCATTTTGACTCACCCAGTGACGGCTTCATTCTGCGTATTAATAATTCCACTGTGGATTTTATAACCTTATTCATTATTGTATCTACAGGCTTCTCAATTTCCTTATATATGGACCCGTCTGAATATGTTCAGTGACTTTCTTGATATAGTCAGATTTATCCAAAACTACTGTCGAGTTTCCTTTGTCAGCTTTTGTAATGGCGATGTTTTTATCTTGTTTTAGCCTAATTAAAGCTAGTCTTTCCGATGTTGTCAAGTTTGATTTTGTTTTTGTTTTTTGATTTTTTAGGGTTAATGCACATTGTGCTCGAACCTCTTCTGCTGTCGTCTTATCTACTGAGCTTAGTGCTACTTCTATGTTAGGAATGACATCCTCTGGTTTTAATTTATTAACTGTTACATTGAAATTTACTCCTTTTTCAAGTACTTTTATCTCACTGCAGCTTAGTTCCCTTGATGAGATGGTCTTGGATAAATCTGACTATATCAAGAAAGTCACTGAACTACTTACTTTACTTTACTTCGGCTATCTCCTACGGGAGGATGAGCCGGATTCATGAACATCTCAAATCATCGCTGCCCAGGCGCGGCGATCTGATGCAAGGTTTTGCGACAGGGTTATCCAAATCTTGTTCCACAGACGGAGTCCGTAGACGGTTTGTAGCCCCAGGCACTCCATCCCGGGAACGCCGTAGCATGGTGAGAGTCGTTTGTAACAGAGTTCATGAAGTTTCATGGGAATTTGGTACGAGTGATGTCCCCAGAATCACTCGGCCTTTTGTTTGAGAGTGCAGCTCTAGCCTTTACACAACCAAGTGTGACCTACAAGGCAGTAGGAGTGGAGTAGGGAGTCCACTGTCCATTGGCAGCCGTTGACCGGAGTTCGGTTCTTACGCCTTTTTGAATGGGGCCAGACATCCAGGACATCCAACAAGCCCTTTGTCCATACGTCTGCCGGTGAGCTTCATACGCCAGTCGTTGGAGGTTTGGAATCAGGGTTTAGCCATCTCCCCTAGACTGTCATCCAATGGACAGTCAACCCGGTGAAGAGCGTCGGGCATCCACTTTCGCCCTCTCACTTTGGTGAAAAACACCTCCGCCACGTGAAGGCAGTGAGTAGGACTTCCTCAGGAGAGGCTATGTAAGACGCCCGGTCATACGGGAGCATTTCAAGAGGTGTGCGGAGGGGTGGCCAACCCGCAGCGCAAGGCACCCACCCCCGACCACCCTGAGGCTTTGGAGGCCTCCGGAATATATTGAGATGGGTCCATATGAGGAAATTAAGAAGCTTGCAGATACAATAATGAATGAATAAGGTTAAAAAATCCACAGCGGAATTAATACGTAGAATGAAGCCGTCACTGGGTGAGTCAAAATGGTTTAATTTAATGTCTAAAACTAATAATGCTAGTAGAATGTATGGTACTATTAAAATACATAAACCAGGTTACCCTCATACGACCAATAGTAGATTTTAGGAATACTGCATCTGTTGTCGTCAGTTTAGTCAATTCTGTCCTAGTTTAGCGATAAACTCACTAAATCCCAATTGTATGTTCAAATTATAAGGTCTTAACTCAAAAAAAGATTTTTCACGTACCGAATGACAGACTGTGGACCACACACACACACACTTATTGTTATAAAAGTTGATGACACTGTGGCCTGTTCTACTGATAAGATTTATCAGTAGTACAATTTTAGATTTTCCCGTCGACAGATTGGACTGAAGTGCTCGGTCTCAGGCTGACCATGTCGGCTCTTTGTGCAAATGATTCGACGATGTCTGGGCATGTAACTAGAAGTTAATTTGATGGGTGGTGACTAGTAGTGGAACCCACCAGGATGTGAATTTCGACCCATTTGGGACTCGTCATCTAGATGCACCTGCAGGTACGAAATGCGCATCGTCGAAGCATCTGCACAAGGAGCCAACATATCAACCTGAGACCGATCACTTCAATGTAAACAATCGACGGGGAAAGTCTAAAATTGAATTAAATAATTAATAAGACTCGTTGCATAAGAGGCGGCTCTCGTGACCAAAGTGGTCTTGTGGATAACGTTTTGGTGTTTGAAACTATGGACAGAGGGTTCAGTCCTCAGTGGGAACACCATCACTCACTGAGGAACGCAGGTATGCTCAGATGACGAGTCCTAAATAGGATGAAACTCACATCCTGGTGGGTTCCACTGGTAGTCACCATCCACCAATTGAATTTTCAGTAGTATGTAGACGCAGATTAATAGGAAGCAGCAGCCAAAATTGAAAACAACATTCCAATTCAGTGGCTACGGAGTTAGGAGTGTTTATCCCTCAAATGTAGATTTAGCTGACGTTGTGCTCAGCAAACAATCTCATTGGACAACTGTTCATCACAAAGTTTAACCTTCAGAAAATCAACAACCAATCAGAACAGTTTACTATCCACTGAACTAGGTGACCTTAAATATGGCCATGTGTGTAAATACGGAGTGTATATCCTTAATACAAAAGTCCGTCACCCATTCTCTTGTCTTCTCACTTTACAATGCTGGCCAGTTACCCAAGCTATAAAGTGGCGGGAGCTGGACTTGAACCCAGGAGGGCCAATTTAGCTGAAAGTTGACCGCTTAAGCCAATGAAACACATTTTCACAAATGAAGCCGTAGATCCCGGTTATTTCAGCTAAGGATTACTAAACAAGAATATAGTTTCCAACTAGTCGATCAATACACTTACATTTGTGCATAGTTTGAGGAATAATTATCCACATGAATACGTAGTGTGGTCAGAAGAAATCGTCAGTGGTACTTTGAAAGGCATCATTTGAAGACTCATTTTAAAGGTACATCCGTGTATTGAAAACATCTACAAGCTAATCTGGAGTATTGAGACCCCTAACTAGGACAAAACAGTTGTCCTGTGCCTTTTGGCTTTCAATGGTTCTCTCACTGAAGTTGGTTCGTAACAGAATTCACATTGAGATCAACCCAAATCCCCATAATCGAAATATCAAGCTTCAGCTGATTACAGGGTACTGGATGGATATCCTGCAGCTGTACTGAGAAATCGTGGGATTCCCCCTCCCCATGTAAAGGTAAAGTGGACGGTCATCGATGGCATAGGTTCGCGGTGTCTTTATCTCTATCACGAATTGGCAAAGTTAGAATTCACAGGTCACTGAACTGAAGGTCCCGGGTTCGACCCCCTGTTAGATCATGGGAGAACACACTGCTAAAGAGTTCCAAACTGCGATAGAGAGGCTAACAAATGTTTTACAACTGTTTACCCACACACACATACACACACCATTGTATACCACAAATACAAGTATATTTTCATATTCAGTTATCTGCGACCATGAACTTTTAGTCAAACGTAATCTGATAAAAAGTACACTCTGTTGAAAGTGTTTAACAAAAGAAGTCTAATATTTGTAAGTCTGAGGTAAAATTTCGACTACAGCTCATAAAATTTTGCTACTTTATTATATTTTGATGCCTGTTTCATGACTCATATTGTAACAACAGAAGACAAGGGCCAGGCAACAGAACGTTTATTACGGAAAATCAACACATATTTATAGATTTCAGTGTACATTATTGTAGGTTAATGTTAGTAGAAAATACAGTCTGTTGATTGGTTGTTTCTCACACGAAGTTAACCTTGCATCTCTTGTAGCTGTGTCAGTTCATCTATATGTTAACTGTATCCGCCTGTCCATCTTGACCTTGACCTCAATTACTGTCAACCAATTTGGCTAGCAACCATCTCTCACCACAACATGACTAATATTTGATACATAAACATTGACCTCAATTACTGTCAACCGATTTGGCTAGTAGACAGCTCTCACCACAATATGACTGGACAAAGTTTTTAAAAACAACAGATGTCCTTTCTATTTGTAAACCTCAGTTATGTTAATTTCGATTAATTTCCCTAAAGAAGTTCGGAGCACCAATTCGCCGAACACAGGAAATGTGGGAATTACTCATTTCAATTTCGCTGAGATTTTACAAATATACTTTTTGAACAAATGTCTACTTCTTACTCGGCACCCAATTATTTTAGAACTGTTTGGTCAAATCTTGATCACAGCTCAATATGAATAACTAACTATGAGATGAACTTCTTGAAATTGTCAAGATAATTCGTGACTGATGGAGGCGGTCCACCGAAATAGGTGGTGTGAGGAGAGATACTCAATGATGAACACTAGTTGGTGGGAGGGGGTAATGGGTGGGCACGTTATATTACAAATTGAAAGAAGTTAAAATTTATGACTTATTAGATTCCAACCTAGAAGCTCCTCTTGTAACCTGAAAGCTTTGGATTCGATGCCTGGTGTACATGAACAGCAGTGGATCGGTTCAACCTGCCACTGCACATCAAAAAGGAATGTATACTGATGAAAACATATTAGTAAATCTCGAGATAGACGTTGAGTCAGTCGGTACAGACATTCATCATATTCTCAGGATTTTGGTTCAATAGGACGAGTATGAAATTCATACGAGAAGACTCATCATTCACTATACAGAGTCATATAAGTAGACAGAATATATTCATGCGCAAATTTGTCGTGTAGATGAACAGAAATCTTGTAAAAATCTCTCATGACTACCAATCGATGTGAGCTGCTCGTGTGATAGATCGGCGTGGCATCTGTTAACGCCACAATGAAGACACGAATGCACAGCCATTATCAGTAGGCAAATATACTTGCTTTCAGTAGAAAAAAAAACAAGTATCACCAAAAGACTTCTAGATTCATATGTTTAGTTACAGGCTACAATTACACTATGAAAAATTGATAAATGGCCGACGCACACCTTTGCCTCGCTAAGCCAGTAGTAGGACTAGTAAAGAGGGAAGGGTGGGCATAGGGCTAGCAACCCTATCCCGTAAAAGTAAACACCACTGTTACCGAAACTTCAAGCCTCAAGCTTGAAGCCCTATGTTCCACTGGGAACGTTAGGAGATAAATAATAATTATAATAAAATGTAATTACTTACTAATTTCCATCTGGTGTCCAACCAGCTCGTACAAGATATTCAAATTGAGGTATATATTGTTTTAAAGGTAAATGAAGTGAAAGAATTTGTATATTGCACATCTAAAGGAGAGAAAATTGAACAACTGGTGAATAATCCTCAGCCAGGAAATAATGAATATTCTAGTGGTGGTTTGCAGGGATTTGATTTGATGATTGGTTAGAGGATTTCATTGCGAACTGACATCGCTTAGAGGCTCATTGGAAAACCAGTTAGAAGTATTGGACAGCTGTTTCGTTCCAGTTTGGGGCTCTTTATCAGTGAGCACCCACACCGCGGGGTTCGAACCCAGGAACTTCTGGTTACAAGGCTAGTGAGCTCGTAGACCATTAAGCCACTAGGACCCGATAAAATGGTCCACTAGCCAACGTCATCGCCGGGGAGTATTTGTCCTCACACTTGACCTGCTGTACTCCAGTGGTCACGACTTCCCACTGGAATCCAGGTAACTGCATCTACCTGAATAGGGCCAGTCTGTAGTGAGCATCAGATTGGTATTCAGGTGTCGGCTTCCGAGAAATTTGATTGGTTTCAAGGTTTCATCATGAACTGATATCAGGTGTGAGGATAAATACTGGCCACGGATGACATTCGCTAGTGGTCGCGCTATATCGTGAATTGGCAAAAATTGGAATTCATGGACTCACTGGGTTGGATCGCAGTAGCTTAATGGTCTACGGACTCGCTAGCCTTGTAACCAGAAGGTCATGGGTTCGAACCTTAGTGCTGCTGAAGAGTCTCAAACTAAACTGACTGACTGTCCAGTAATCCCAGCTGGTTTCCCAATGGTCCTGTAACCGATGTCAGTTCGTGATGAAATCCTGAAATAATGAACAGAACAAAACAAGTAGTTCAGTGAAGAGGCTCTTTCACTTTCAATGACCACGACTCACAGCCAGTCACAAAGGAGGACGGAGCAGAATGCTGAGCAGTACGCACGCCCTTTGGTCAATGACAGCCAGTTGGATATCACGTCTACGCCAGAGATGGTGTGAATCATGCCTATTGGCTCGTCAGTATAGGACATGTGTGCATACTTTGGGAAAAACTGCCTCTCCCTCAGTAATTCGAATCCATATCACTCAGCACTGAAGTTACAGATGGCTTCAACCGTTTTTGAAGTTGAATACCATTTCCTAATGAAGTTTAGTGTGGAATCCCATTTCAGCTGGGCACAATTCAGGTCTGAAACCCACAAATTTTGTGCTCAATATGAAAAAGGTATTTGGCTTAATGGACAATTGATTTTTAAGACTTTTATAACATGGTTTTATCACACCTCATCAAAGATTGACGCCAACACAAAGGATACGTGATAATATCATGGTTTCAGACTCATCAAATATCTAAACCTGCTAAACCCACATGAAATTAATTCTGCAAACGTGCAATCTTGTAAACAACAAGCCTTACTGATCAATAACGCAATCAGTCAATCCACAGTTCATTACTGATGATAAGGATGACTCGCAGCCTGGTACAAAAAGAGGATCTCTTCTGTCTAGCTCAACACGAACTAGCTAACTTCCGCACAAAATGACCACTTGAAGTTCGAACAAGAACCTGTAACACACGTGAAATCAAACATGCTGACATACATGTGTGCAGTGTGTTAGCTGACACATGATTGTGAATAGGAACAGAATTAGAAGTGAACCAAATAAAACACGGCATCAACAACCAATGAGGTCTTGGATTTTGCCCTAAGCCACACAGGATGATATGATGATATAAACTGCCTGGATGGAGAGAACATGGCTGAAAATCATATCCAGCGGAGCAGATGCATTCTCACGCTTCGTCAAACCTAGTACAGTAGCACACCACTAATGACCTCAATCTCAAATGGAGCAAAACGGTCATCCGGTGTTAAAAGTAGTATAAAACTACTCACCTGAATCAATAAGTAGTATATAGATTTTACATATTAATGCCTACCTACTTTCTTGATTACCAATCATGATATCAAGCAGATCAGATATTGTGATCTGAATAATTTCGGTTGACAAAGGAGACTGTGGTGAAATCTCACCTCGAACTGTATAGAGTTTGCAAACTGACGATGTGATTTAATGAGATAAGCGTTCAAATGAGTCTTACAATTAATTGCATGGAGGATTTCATCATCATGAGCTGACTGACATCAGTTGGAGAACCATTGGAAAACCATCTGGGAGTACTGGACAGCTGTTTCGTCAGACTAGTTTGGGACTTTTCAGTAGTACGCACCCACCCCATTGGCGTTCGAACCCAGGACCTTCTGGTTACAAGGCTAGCGAGCTTGTAGACCATTGAGCCACTGGGATCCGATCTAATGGCCAGCCTATGAATTTTTACTTCTGCCAATTCACGGCATAGCGCGAACATTTCGCAATGTCTTCTTCGATGAGTTACTGCTTCATCTTCAACCTGCTGTACCCTACTGGTAACGGCTTCCCACTAGCATCATTTATTACCTATACTAAGCATGTGAAAGAAAAATCCTCTAGAATAGATTCCCAACTCCACATCTGAAATCTTCTTATATAGTCATTAAAAAAAATTAATAATTTGTAATAATAATAATAATAACATAAAATAGGTAAGGGGTAGTAATGTGTTGTACACTTACTTTACCAGTTGAATCCAACTGGAACTGACAGATTTTCAAGTCACTGCGAGCATTTTCAGTACCTGATAATTTTGGCATACAAATATATGATAAAGAAAAAGTGTAAATAAGACTGAAATTACTCCTTAATATTAAGAACACAAGAATAGAACCAATACACGGGATTGGGTAGGAGATATATACAAAGAAGTCTGTGGACTATGCCCAGCTGACTTATTTGGGAAGTTGCATGGGTGGTGGTATAGCGGTTAGGACGCTCGCCGACCATGCTCATGGTCCGGGGTTCGATCCCCGGCCACAGACGCACTCCTTTACCTCGCTAAGCCAGAAATAATGCTGGCGAAGAGGAAAGGTTGGGCATGAGGCTAGCAACTCCATCCTGTAACATAAACACTGCTACAGAAACTTTAAGCCACTAGCTTGAAGCCCTATGTTCCACTGGGGAACGTGAAGGAAAAAAAGGGCCCCAACGCCAGCGGGTTGACCGCTGACGAAATCTCAGCGCGGATAAACAAGCATCGTTTGGTATTTGCTTGCCAACTTACGCCATCTGTGGCTTAATAGACGTGATATCTGGCTGGCTGTCGGCCAAAGGGTGTGTGTACTGCTCAGCAGTCCGCTTCGTCCTCCTTCATCGTTGGCTGTGGGTCATATTCATTGGAAGTGGAAGACATGAAAGGTTGGCCAGCTAGCTGTCTTTGATCATAAGTGCTTGAGTTCTATCTCCTGCGTCAGGGTGGTATAATAAGGTGAGTAGTATTGAGGTCGGGAGGAAAAATAAATCGACGAGGTTGTGAAGCAGTTACACCGATTAAGAGAGATGGTTAGGACATGTGCTGCTCACACATGCCTGCTTGCCTAGCCATCGCCTTACTCGACGAAAAGCATTTTTAGCTGACATAGGATGGATCAGGTTGGAAAAGAGCTAGTGATTGGTGGTCAAACCAAGTCAATGAAATCCATAGTTTAAACCAGCCAGACACGTAGGGATGTGTAGACCTCCTAGCTGGTTAAAGTCGTCGGGATTGTAAGAACCATTGAAGGCTGGGGACGATTGGTAATGTGGATCAAAATCGTTGTCAATACCTGCTGCAGATGCATGCACTCTATGTGATTTGTCATATCCAATAAGATTCTATTGTTCTTCCATATTATTATTGTTTTTCCCCCACTTACACTTCTGTTTATCTCTCTCTCTCTCTTTTGAATCGGTCTTTACTCTTCTGTTCCTTTGTATGCTACATGGAGGGAGAGTGGGAAGTCGAACTGCTACATATCTGTACAAAATTCTACGTTGAAACCCGACAGTCAGTCCAGTGTGTACAGTGTATATTGAAGAGCGGTAATTTAAGATGATGGAAATGAAGTCGGTTGACAATCAGGAGAGCTTCTTATGTTTATGGAAGTGTATAAGCGGATATTACTTACCAGTCGCCGGCACCACGGAAGTTGACCATGAAGACCATTGGTGTTGCCTGAACGTAGAGCCCAGGAGACAACTACTCTTGAGGACGGTTACACACGACCCGTTTGTAGTAGTAGATTTTGGAGTTGCGTCAGCATTAAGATCTTACTGCCTCAAGGTAAGTCGGGATGTACAGTTTTCGTCATCGACCTTTTCTAAATCCCTTTCCTCAACTGCCTTGCTGCTGGTCATCTGAGGGAGGCCCCTTACTGCCGTTACATTCCTGTCGGTCAGCAGTAAAACTCCTTTCAAAAGTTAAGAAGACAGATCTCCTTGGTGACTTTTGTGCTTTCTTGCTACATGACATGGGAACCATGGGAACGTAGCTCCTGATGCTACTCCACTGCTTTGTGGACCAGATTTCAAGTCAAAGGCTCGGGGAAAAGTACCTTTCAGATAACCACCTTGGTCAGTCAGGGTATCTGAGTAGTATTCTAGTCCTCCTTAAGACTGTGAGATTCTGTATGGTACCTCTCTTGGTGCCCATAATTTACCAAGTCTTACTTACTTACTTTACTTAGGCTATCTCCTACGGGAGGATGAGCCGGCTTCATGGACATCTCGAATCGTCGCTGCCCAGGCGCGGCGATCTGATGCAAGGTTTTGCGACAGGGTTATCCAATTCTTGTTCCACAGACGGAGTCCGTAGACGGTTTGTAGCCCCAAGCACTCCATATAAACCTTGACTGTACCAAGCCATGTTTTTAGCTGTCCACCCCTGCTACATCGCCAAGATGGTTATGGCGAGGGATTTAGAACTGATTTGACCAGATCGTCACCTGGTCGGCGCAGAACATGGCCAAACCACCGAAGGCGACGTTGGTCGTTTGTAAGAGAGTTCATGAAGTTTCATGGGAATTTGGTACGAGTGATGTCCCCAGAATCGCTCGGCCTTCTGTTTGAGAGTGCAGCTCTAGCCTTTACACAACCAATTGTGACCTACAAGGCAGTAGGAATGGAGTAGGGAGTCCACTATCCATTGGCAGCCGGTGACAGGAGTTCGGTTCATACGCCTTTTTGAATGGGGCCAGACATCCAGGACATCCAACAAGCCCTTTGTCCATACGTCTGCCGGTGAGATCCAGTGAGCTTCATACACCAGTCGTTGGAGGTTTGGAGTCAGGGTTTAGCCATCTCCCATAGACTGTCATCCAATGGACAGTCAACCCGGTGAAGAGCGCCGGGCATCCGCTTTCGCCCTCTCACTTTGGTGGAAAACACCTCCGCCACGTGAAGGCAGTGAGTAGGACTTCCTCAGGAGAGGCTATGTAAGACGCCCGGTCATATGGGAGCATTTGAAGAGGTGTGCGGAGGGGTGGCCAACCCGCAGCACTAGGCACCCACCCCCGACCATCCTGAGGCTTTGGAGGTCAATTCACACAGTGATACACCCATTGACTGGGTATTGGTTTTCAGGTGAACCAAGTCTGCGTTATAAATCAATAATTAGCAGTATTGGAAGGGGCTAGGGAATAATTACTTAAATGATACAGGTAAATCAATCGAAAAGGTTATAAAACGTTTACCAACTAAGGAGGCTGATCACCACAACTAATTTGATTTACTATGTCAACCAATCCGAAGTGTCATATTCGTTTAGAAAAAAGTAAGAGACGTAACTAGATGAAGATATGAATGACATGAACATGTTGGTTTGTTAACCTGACTGAGGTCTATATGGCTAGAGGCACTACGTCATACGGCTTAAAACAATTGTCTTCACGCATAATTAACTGGTATATATCACATAGAGTTGGAGCTCACATTGAATGAGATGCTCAACTTCGGACTAATGGGTCATAAGTCCGAAACCCCGCCCATCTGTCAAGGTTTTGGTGACTAGTTAGTACTATCAGCCGCTATCAGACAAAATAGGTATAATTCATTACCAGCTAACTATATACGGAAAGGCAAGTGGTTGTCGCCAATGTCTTACTGATTTCCTGCCTGTCTGTCTGAAATTCACATAGCTCTGATCAATTGAACTATATGCGACGAGAATAATACATGTGAAAGATAATCAATAAGAAAAAGAGAAAAAAGAGAACACAAAATCTATACGGAATCACCTGCGGTTGGATAATGTTGATTTTCCCAACCTCCACCATATTCACCATGGAATAATTTTGTTACAGAGACGTTGCTTTCATCGACTTCTTCATATAATAATTGATAATAACCTGGAAATATTTCAAGATAATAAAAAATGACATTAACAAAAAATAATGGGAAGATTTCATTGGGAAGAAAATACAAAAATAATAAACATAATAGTGGAAAAGAAGCAACTGAAGGCATATGAAACTATCATTATTAGTATACGTTCCTTGGTTACAAGTGGAACACAGGGCTTCAGTGACACGTTGGTTTAGGCGCTCAACTTCCAACCACCGGGTAACATGACAATGCCGAGAACTCGACAGCAAGCAGTCTTAGTCCTACTCGCACATACCTATAGCTTCCTTAGCCTGAATGCCACAATGGTAGCGTTGCCGACTGCAACACTCGGTGATGTCGATTTTATCGAGGTTACAGATACGCCCTGATGATGAGTGCCGATAAGCTCGAAAATTAGGTCAACAAGACTTCCTGCCAAACGCGCCTACTATAGTCTACTAGGAGTAGAGAGCACCTGTGATGTTTTGTTTTTGCGGAAAATTAGGATGAGCGTTAAGATTTTCTGAAAATCCAATGTATAAACAACTAACCAATGGGTATGTAAATATGTGAACTGAAACCCACCCTGTTTTCTAGCCGGAGCTAAGGTGTGGGGGGGAGAAGGTTTGGTGTGGGCTAGTGACTCCGTAAAAATACTCTCATCACTGCAGAAACTTCAAAACACAAAGAAAACAAGCTTAGTCTTTGCTGGAATCGGGAAGACTCTGCACTGCACTGGGAGAATGGAAGAGGCCGGCTGGCGAAAGTCTTCGGAAAGTCAGTAGACCGATAAGTCTTCCTTAGATGGAAGAGAAATTATAACTGCAGTGTAAATTATCCGCATTGTTACGTCATTATAATAACTGAATGGCTATCTGTGCACAATGAAGTCATAGAAGTGTTTTAATAATCTCTGGGAAAAATAAAGTTGTAGTTACGTCAGAAAATAATTGAGACAATCGATAACACCAAGTTAACCTGAGTTAGTGGTGTAGGTGCGTATGTGAGCCCAGATAGCTCAATGGTAACGTCTATGGCTATAGCAATGAGTGATACGCGGGTTCAAATCTCTGACGAAACATAAGTTGCCTTGAGGTTGTAGATACGCCTTGAGCAAATGCGACTTATTGGTAAAGCACTCGACTATCACCCAGTGGGTCACAAGTTCTAATACTGCTCCATCCAATTTGGCCTTGGCAGCTGAGTAGTATCACCACCCGTCACACAATACTTGTGGGGATTAAAGCTGAGTATATGGAGGATTTGTCCCATGTAACTTAGTTCATATATATATATATATATATATGCAGCTGTAAATGTCCCACCGCCTACCTGGCCTAGTGGATTACAACTAAAGTCAGACGCTGAGTGTCTAGTTCTCTAAGACAACTATTCACTTAAGTATGAACCTACTGATATTCTAGTATGTGCTACTTATAATCCAGATATAAGTAGTATAACGAGATATCCCATTCCTTGCCCTTAATTGAGCCCAAATGGGAAGCAGTGGGTAGGATGCCAGAGGGTGACATGGATAGACAGATAGATAAATAATGTCAAGAGAAAATAAAACGCCACTGGAAGTCGTCGATGCATTTGAAAGTGATGGAAAAGAGCCAAGGAGAATAGAGATGTGCAGGTGAAGCCTTATGTTCCACTCGGATACTAAGGAATCAATAATGATAATAATAATAATAAAGCAAAGAGTACAACAGTATTGAATTACCATTAGTCATTGTTGGTCGCCACCAGTAACCCATATATCGATCAAATTCTTCTTGAATAACAAATGCTGGAGTACCAGCGGATAAGCCGCCTAAAATTAAAAATGACAACACAAGTGAATATTGAGGAGGAAATATTAATACCACCTTTGATTTTAAGAATAAAGAATACCTTATATAGTGAGTACTTGTATAAGAAGACTGTCAATGATTTCAACTTCAAATGTATCTTCTGAATGTAACCTTCAATGAACACTAGACGTACGCTTCATTTGATGAACCATAGAACAGCAGCTCATAAACACCCAAGTTTTTTTATTTGCATGCCACCGAATACAAGAGTCTCGTCATAAGAAAAGAATCTGGTCCCTGTAGTGATATTATATAATTCAGCATTGGGTATGTTTATTTCATAAGTTATAGTAATGCACTATCATAAACTGGATGACGTTCCATAGTTGTACAAAGATTGCACAGTTTAATTTGTTCCGACATGCTTTCTATTTTATTGATAAAAGAATATTTTATTATCTCTATAAGTTTCTACCACTACTGCATGAATTACATTACTTGGTGATCAATATCACACACACACTCTCTCTCTTTCCTTCTTCATTCTAGCAATACATAGAAATTTCCCAATAGGATATGTAGAAAATAAAGACAAGTGATTTAGTAAAGAGACTCTTTGTCAACGAATTTATTATCAAGCTGTACAATCTTGTGTGTATGACGTTTTTTAATAGAAAAAATATGAGCTGACGTCAGTTAGAGAACCATTGGAAAACCTGGGAGTACCGGACAGCTGTTTCGTCAGCCTAGTTTGGGACTCTTCATCAGTACGCACGTACGTACAAAGAAGATATTGCGAAGTGGTCGCGCTATTTTGTGAATTGGCGAAAGTTAGAATTCACGGGTTGGCTACTGGATCGCGTCCCAGAGGCTTAATGGTCTACAAGCTCGCTAGCCTTGTAACCAGAAGGTCCTCGGTTCTAATCTCAGTGGGTACGTACTGGAGAAGAGTCCCAAACTAGGACTCCCAGATGGTTTTCCAATGGTTCTCTAACGAGGGAGTACTGATTAGCTGTTTCGCCCCATTTTAGGACTCGTCATCCGTACTCACCATCAGTCGAAGATACACACACGAAACGAGCCCGTCGACCTTTCCAACCACTGGAATGGAATCCAATGACCACTTGAGTTCAAACTTCTGTTTATTTCCCGATACCTAGCGTTACCACCAACCAATTTCATCGGAGAGTATTGATCCTCATAGGACCACAACTTGGTGAACGCTAGTGGTCATAACTTCTCAACAGAACTCCAGGTGGGGTTATAGGCGCTTACTGATGATGTGCCGCAAACTAGGATGAAGCAGATGTTTTCTCAGTACTTAATGGTTCTTTTCAATAGTTATTAAACTGATTTTAGTTTGTGAAAAGCAATCAAATCGCTGCCAACTAATACTAGTACCCAGTGGGTGCGTACTCTTGAAGAGTCTCAAATTGGGACGAAACAGCTGCCCAGTACTCCCAGGTTTTCCAATGGTCCTCTAACTAATGTCAGCTCTTGATCGATGCAGTAATACTTGAATATACAGTAATCATACGGGGTTATTAAAATTCCTGAAAATGCAAAGTTTATTTCTGAAAAGATTTTTAGGTTTTCATATCCCTCATCAGTCTTCAGCTTCGTTAAGAAGCCTTTGTAGGATTTCTGAAGTAAGTCTCTTGAATTAAATAATAACGCTGCAGTAGGTTTGAATTCCTTTCTGGTTACTTTATCACAGCTATTCATCGTCTTCCTACATAGCCAAAAAAACCAAGTAATAACATAAAGGATTACGCTTGACTTTTAACAAAATGGAGATGTACTCCGATCAAGCACTACTGCACTACCTTTGTCGGAATAGAGACAAGTAATCAATACTACAACCCCCAAGGTATGACTGACTATATACTACTGATTGAGCAATATGAGTATAGCGCTGATGAGTACGGCCTGATGGAAATGCTTTCCGCAACGCACGCCCCAAGTCTTCAAAACCATATACCAACACTGATTGATCTTGTTCCCTGTACTGGATGCAGAAGATTTGCACTCTGATTTTAGAACAATCAAGAGCTGTTTTGTTTTTCCAATCTTGTCTTTGACGTACTCGTTTGTGAGTGTGATTTCAACTGATCCAGCTCTTTGAGCTAATGATCAAAATACGTACGTACACCGCTGATGAGCTCGGCGCCAAACACGAACGAAACGACCGTCTAGTGTTTGCATTACCTCCATCTGGAAAGCTGACAAGCATTACCAGTTGATAGGAGTGGTGTGCACATAGTTTTAAACAAATTCGCTTGCTTTCTTGATTAGCATGTGTGGTATTAAATAGATCACATACTGTGTGATTTGAATAATTTTGGCTTCCAAAGGAAACAGTGATGAAAACTCCGCTTCCTCGAACTGTGTACACTGTGCAAATCGCCAACTAATTTGTAAACTGTGAATTTGATTTGGTAAATGCATTGTATTGATATCATTTCAGTGTGGATTTTGTCTCCAATAACTAACATATAACCAGTTAGAGAAGCCTCTTAAACACCAGGGAACATCGGCCAGTCAATCTCCTTCCATCTTAGAAAACTCTCTTCAGCAATGAGCACTCCCTCATGACCCCAAAAGTGTATGTGGTGGGGGGGGGGTGGGAAGGGGTAATAAAGTAACATGAAAAATAAGGCAGTAGGAAGACAAATAAAGAATACAAACCTTGAATGAAACTAAATCTAAGTGCAGAAGATTTTATCAAGTACATATAAGTGACAATTATACCAAATGGAGCCTCCAAAGCCTCAGGATGGTCGGGGGTGGGTGCCTTGCGCTACGGGTTGGCCACCCCTCCGCACACCTCTTGAAATGCTCCCATATGACCAGGCGTCTTACATAGCCTCTCCTGAGGAAGTCCTACTCAGTGCCTTCACGTGGCGGAGGTGTTTTTCACCAAATTGAGAGGGAGAAAGCGGATGCCCGGCGCTCTTCACCGGGTTGACTGTCCATTGGATGACAGTCTAGGGGAGATGGCTAAACCCTGGTTCCAAACTTCCAACGACTGGCGTATGAAGCTCACTGGAACTCACCGGCAGACGTATGGACAAAGGGCTTGTTGGATGTCCTGGATGTCTGGCCCCATTCAAAAAGGCGTATGAACCGAACTCCGGTCACCGGCTGCCAATGGATAGTGGACTCCCTACTCCACTTCTACTGCCTTGCAGGTCACACTTGGTTGTGTAAAGACTAGAGCTGCACTCTCAAACAAAAGGCCGAGCAATTCTGGGGACATCACTCGTACCAAATTCCCATGAAACTTCATGAACTCTTTTAACCCTGTCGCAAAACCTTGCATCAGATCGCCGCGCCTGGGCAGCGATGATTCGAGATGTTTATGAAGCCGGCTCATCCTCCCGTAGGAGATAGCCAAAGTAAAGTAAAGTAAGTATATAAGTGACAATTATGCAAAATGAACTGTCCAATTAACTTACTATCACTTGAATAATGTGTTACTCGCGTCCATTTATTTGTTGGTGTATGTCCAATAAAAATATTTTCATTTGATAAACAAACAACAATATCTGAGTTCAATGGACATATCACTGGTTGAATTGCACTGGTTAATGGAGCTTCAACAGGTTCAAGTAATTGGTCAGGCTGCTACAAGATTTACATTTGAAAACAACATAGAAGATGAAATTGGGGAAAACAATCCTTATTTTTACGAAATATATGAAAAAGCACCTTCATTTTATAAAATGAGAGAGTAAACTAGAAAATTATTCAAATAAGGAAACATTTCTTTGTAACATTATTAATTATCAAGGTGTACAATAGTACTTATATTAGATAAAAGTAGTCAGTTAACCCCAACCCCACTATTGAAGTTGTTTAATTCATTCACCTATATACATCCGATAAAAAAATATATGAAAACGATCGTTAAGAGAAATTGAGTTGATGAAAACAAAACACGTAGATCAGCGAAGAGTTTCTTTTCGCCGGTGAATTCCTTTTCTTAGCTGTACAATCACAAATATATATATATATATATATATATTATTTTGTATGCATGTGTACATTAAGTTTGTCAAACAAAAATACAATTGGTTATAGTTATTTTGACTAAACAGATGAAGATTGGTAATTGGAGTTACGTAATACAAAATCAGTCAAGAAAATTAGGTGTTAATGAAATTAGGGCAGTAACAAAGGTGATGAGTTGTCACAAACAGTTGTTAAAAGAATTTATGTAATAATACGAATAGTTTGTTGAGTGAGTTTTACTCAGGATGCACATAGGAACAAAGAAGAGAATAAGGAATTACGCAAGAGTTCTAAATGAATACAAGAATTATAAGCAATTAAAGAAACAGGCAAACAAACAAAATTAAGTCATCAAAAAATCAAATCAAAAAAGTTGTTACCAAGACAGTAGAAGTGGTCGAGTAATCCTCTTTTGTATGCACAGCTCCGGTTTCTCTGTGTGAATGGCCAGAGCTTCAGCGATACAAAGAAGACGAAACCGTATTGCTTTTGATAGGTTATTCTTGACTCTATGGATTACTTTGAAGCAGGAGGCGTTTGTTGAAATGGAATGATCAGTGTTAACCAGGTGTTCAATTATCTCACTCCTTATTGCACCGCTATTGCCTTTTCGCAACCATGCTGGATAGTGTTCTTGAATCCTCTTGGACAGGGTGCGTGTCGAATGACCGATGTACCTGGCTCCACAGCAGCAGGTGGTCAGATGCGGGATCTTGTCCTTGAGGCTTCTGCAGATCAGTGGGCAACTGGAGAACACTATTCATAGCGTTGCTACAAAGAATGTTCTCAGGGATGATGTGATCCTTCTCTTGAGAATATCGCTTGCTAAATCTCCCTTGTTCATGTAGAGTTTCTTTTTTGGCGCAATTAAAGTTTCGTTTCTCTGATTTCTCGTTATGATATTTTTGTCAATGAATCTTATTGAGTATCCATTTTGGATGAAGATTTCTCTTAGAATATCTAATTAGGTTGACACAGATGAAATGCTAGACGAGTTCTTTATTGAAGGAAGGAGTTAACTTTAATGGGAACAAAGTCAGTGAAGTGTTACCGCTCTAGGCTGTTAGCCTTCAAGTTTCAGTAACTCAAGGTGTTGTTAATGTCACACCCGACTTTCCCTCATTTCCAGGCTTACTGTCGGATAGTAAACAAGGTGATGTTTAAGTTTGCGTCGGTAGGGGATCGAAAGTATATCGCTGGTGAGCATTTTACTGTAAGTGTTATCGTAAGAAGAGTGCGAAGTGACTTAATGAAGTTGCTTTGAACCAGTGATGTAAATGAAACGCAGGTGAGGATAAAAGCGATCGTGACGTATTCTCGCGCGTAGTATATAACAACCAACACAGTCGATCGAGAGGTACTATGACGATATTTGACCGTAAAGGGAATGCCGAGAAAATACATTGCACTGATCAAGGCACTCTGCTCGAACTTATACAGCCAGCCCGGTAAGAGCCTATGGAGAGTTGCCATCTAAAGTGATGATTACCAGTAGTGTCCGTTACGGATGTACACTATCCCTATTTCCATTTAATTTCATCATAGGTGTACTAATGGACTTAATCCTAACTGACTTCAGCGACTCAGGAATTGACTTGTCACCATCAGGGAATAATCTCGTTGACTCAAAATATGCAGATGATATAGTTCTGCCTCCTAGGTGAAGACGCTGACAAAATAGAGGAGTCTTCTTTACACCTTGAGGAGCAGGAATCTTCGAATGTTTGGCATGCAATTTGATCCCATCAAATGTGAGATGATGAGGCTACAGGACTGACTGGACCACATTGACTCATGGCTTAAAAATAGTCAGGAGGGAAGTGGTAGAGCATGTTGATCACTTAACTAATTCGGGAAATTGCATAGGTCCCAGCGGATAGATCGCTGACGAAATCTTATCACGATCACCAAAGTCTCTCATGGCATTTGCCAACCTGCATTATATATGTCGTAGACATGATATCCGAATGCCTATCGATTAAACGACATGGGTACTGTTCAGCAGTTCGTTCTGTCCTCCTCCTTTATGGCTGGCTGTGAGTTAGACATGGTCATTGAAAGTGGAAGATATCTTATCTTATCTTATCTTGATTACAGCTTGATGCCATACCGTATTTTCAGTACAAGTATGGAATTTTCAGCATGGATATCGGTAGCCCAAATTTTGCAGGCCGACCATAGATATTGGGTGTGCGTCAGCAGGGGATCGAACCCCAGACCATGTGCATGGTCGGCGAGAGTCCTAACCACTGTGCCACCGACGCACATATGAAAGGGCTAGCTAGCTAGCTGTCTATGATCATACGTGTCTGCGTCCTATCTCCCGTGTTAAGTGGTATAATAAGGTGAGCAATATTGAGGTTAGGCATCGGCCGAGTGCTAGATAGGTAGGAGGGGAAATCAGTCGACGAGGTTGTGAAATTACACCGATTTAGATGGTTAGGAAATGTGTTACGCATGCATCCCTAGCCATCCACCGCCTTCCTCAACCGGCAGGCAGTGTATGCTGACATAGGATGGATCAGGTTGGAAAAGAGCTAGTGATTGGTGGTCAAACGAAAACACGACTTCATCAGTCAATGAAATACACAACAGTTAGTTTAAGCCAGCCACGTAGGGAAGGGAGGTGTATACTGGATGGCTAGCTGGATGGTTGGCGTCCTCGGGATGGTGAAAGCCGATGGCTGGAGACAGTGCAGGTGAGGATAAAAGCAATCGCAAGGCGTTTTCGCGAGTAGTATACAGCAACCAACACAACAGATATTCCAGGTGTGTAGAAAGTCAGTAAAACACCTTTGAAATAAACTAAACGTAGCATCGGATTGCAGTATGCCTTTAAACGCATGTGACACAATCAAATAATAACAAACTAAGTGAGGAAATTCAAACGGTAATTGACAGAGCCTCTGCTCTGTTCAGGCATATCAAGAAGACGGAAATGAAAGGAAGGTAAATTGGTTTTGGTAATCACTTATGTAGTCACCCATAAAATCTGAAATCACTGTGGAATCTGCTGCACGCAGAATAAGGAACTAGATCTGAAACTTCAACACTAAAATGTCAGTTCAATATTCCTATTTGCCACGTCACCGAAAGCATTCCCAACAGGCTACTGCACGCTTCTCGCAATAGCTACCTACCCCACCAACTTCGCTCGATACTGAAGATCAAATGGCGTGTCAGACAGGAAAAGCAGTCAAGCCACCGAGAACCTACAATCTAACAAATATGCAGAAGGAAATGAAGATAGATTAGGCAAACACGAAGGAGAGCGTTAGCTGAAACGACGCATCACTTAGGCCTTTAGTTGGAACATCATTGGGAAACAACGAGTTGGACGTTTGAGGGTAATATGGAGGGGATCGTGTGGGGAAGAGATAAAAACCTATGAGCAATCTTGAAGCTAGCGAAAAAGACCTGCAGAGATGTGTTGCTGAAGTCATATATTAATAGACAGAAGACAAGTAGTTCAGCGAAGAGTCTCTTTTCGGTGGCGAATTCATTTTCATACCTGTACAATCACAAATATATATGGCTGTTTCGTATGTGTGTGTACATTAAACTTGTCAAACGAAAATACTATTAGTAAGTTCCGATGAATTGGATGTTGATATAAGAGGGTAGTAACAGAAGTGATGAGTTGTCACAAACGATTGTTAAAGAAGAATTACGTAATAACATGAATAGTTTAATGAAAGCGTTGTACTCAGGGTGTACATGGAAACAAAATATACGGAATTACACAAGGGTTTTAAGTAGAAAAATAAACATACAAACAAAAGTTAAGTCAAATCAAACAAACAAACAAAGAAAAGTTAAGTCAAATCAACACGGTTGTTACCATGGGAGTAGAAGTCGTTGAATAATTTTCTTTTGTATGCACAGTTCTGGTTCCTCTAGCTTAATGGCTAGGGCTTCTGCGATGCAAAGAAGACGGGATCGTACTGTCTTTGGAAGGTTGTTCTTCACTGGGTAGATTACTTTGAAGCAGGAGGCGTTTGTTGAGATGGAATGACCAATGTTGACGAGGTGTTCTATTATTGGCTTTATGTATCTTAGGTAAGCCATACAGTTTTGGTATTATTGATCCTGTCGGTCGGATCTGATCATAGACTTCATGACTGATCAAATTTTCGGTTTGCATTCTCTTGAGGACATCGGTGAGTTGTTTTTCAATCTGTTCTGTTTTGTTTTGTTTCTTTCATTGGGTGGTTGCGAAAATTTTGTTTTGTCTGACAAAATGTTGTTCATTTTCTCAATATAGTCTTTCTTGTCCATAAGGACTATGCCAGCTCCTTTATCTGGACGGGTTATTAGGAGTTCTTTGTTTTGTTTCAGTTGATTTAATTCTCCTCTATGTTGTCTTGTTCGGGGATTGTATACTTTTGGCTTTGTATTCAGATACTGATAACAGCAATCAATTGTATGTTCCACTCGGAACCCATGAGATAATAATAACAATATTATTAATCATGATAATAAACATCATACACCCATATTTGCATGAGAAATGAAAACTTACCTCTGAAGAAATTTTATCATAAGCACTGTATATTTGACTTGATGCACAAATAATTAATTTACCACACTCGGATAGACAAAAATTTGTCACACCAGCTACAGAAACACGCATACGTTCGTGTAAGAGGAAGTCAGCCAAAGCAAGTGGGTTTCTTCAACAAAATATGCGAAAGGCAAAAGACATAAACAAAACAACAAATTATAATGAGGTGATGATAGCGGAAAAAAGCGACCAGACAAACGAGATACATTTATGCATAGTGGTCACTAAAGGATAAACAATTTCACTGACTGAGATTCTATCAGTCAAGTTCGTAATGCGGTCACCAAACTAGAACCACTTCCTATCGCAGTGAACTCTTAATTAATGCTAAGTAGTTGAATGCAATGATCAGGAAGCCCTGGGTCTGGGAAAATCAATCGAAGAGGCTATAAAGTTACATAGACTGAGATGGCTAGGTCACGTGCTGCGCATGCCTAACCATCGCCTCCCCCGACGGACGGGCATTACTAGCTGATATAGGTGAAGGTTGGAACGGAGTAAGTGGTGGCCAAACAAAAACATGGCCTCATCAATCCATGAAATGCATGACAGTTAAACTGAGTCAGGTAGGGAGATGCAGACTTCCGGGTTGGGGCCCACCCTCGGGACTATAAGAATCGATGGCTGGAGACAATAGGAGACATGGCTCAAAATCGTTGTCAATGGCTTACGCAGATGTATTCAGTCTCTGTAATCTTTCATATATTTCTTTCTACCATTACTCATTCTGTTTCACTCTTATACTTGTCAAAACTCTATTGATTCTCTTCACTCATTTTCTTGTCTACCTTTGTGTGCTCTTTGGAACGTGGCAACTCGAACTGCTGCACTTCGGTGCCAAGTTCTATGTTGAATCCAGCCAGCCAGCCAGTCTGGGTCTGGGCTTCGCACTTATTGGCACTTGACAAGGAGACGTATGAGTAACCTTTAGGAGACGGTTTTCCCTATCCGACACGAGCTTGTACCGCCTACTGCTGCAATTAGAGCAGCTGTCAACAGGCTATCCGTAATATTTTTTTGATTATAGCTTGAAACCACACAGTATTTTTGGTACAAGTATGGAATTTTCAGCATATAATATCGGTAGCCCAAATTTTTCAGGCCGACCATAGATATCAGGTGCCTCGGCAGGGGATCGAACCACGGACCATGTGCATGGTCGCGAGAGTCCTAACCGCTGTGCTACCAACGCACATTATATCAAACACAATTAATTCTACAGGAAGTGTATTCATGCATCGGTTACACTGAGGCTGTAGTTATATCTTTCTGGAAGATGTGGTTCAAGGCATCCCTCTGATTAACTTCGACTACAACATGTATATAGTACAATTCTTCGCTCGAGTCTTCTCTCTACATCAATATATATATATATATACATATATATGTAAAACTTGAGCACTGTGGTAGTATCTAATTCCCTATTAACTTTTTATTGGACATATCATATAGTGATACAATACCGTTTACTTGATGATGTTTCGAATACAACTTATGATCCAAGATCATATAAATTGCAGCTACGCAACTCCGAAACTTGATTTTCACAGTTTCCGTCCGTCGCTGAGTCAGTAATAAAAAAGCTGGTAAAGAAAGAAGGTTAGGCATGAGGCCATCCTGTAAAAATAAACACTGCGACAGAAACTTTAAGCCTTCTAGCTTGAAGCCCTATATTCCACTTCGAAGGTGAAGAAAAAAATAATAAATAATAATTCGCATTTGTTGCATGGTTAGTACAATCTGCTAGATAACCAGGACACCATGTATTCCAAGATGAATTGATAAATCACGCTTCCGTTATCAATCTCTCCCCCTTCACCCCAGTTATATTAGATTATGAGACTGTCACATTGTCCCATCTTATTGCATAGATGTGTGTAACTGCATACACTGTTATTGACGAGTTATTTTCTAGACTGCTTATCTTATTAAGGTCAAATAATCCAGATTTTGGCAAGTTTCTGTGGCTTTTTTTCAACATAATTCACCCTGTCCTAATCACTTTAGCCTATCTGTTTGATGTCACAATCATTTTTTAGGGAAATAGAGGAAGTAAATTATTGTCTTCCATAGGCTCCATGGGGTTTTCTAACCGACATAGTCTGTTTCTATTAGATGGTTAGAGGCAATCGGCAGGAAGCCTTGGACCTAGGTTTCGTGCTAGTTGGCACTCGTCAGCAAGGCGTATCTGCAACCTTGAAGGAACTCATGTCCCTTCTGAGATTCGAACCCGCGTCTAAGGCTTCCTGCCGATTGCCTCCAACTATCTAATATCATCAAATCAATGTGCACCGTGATGGCGAGCTACCTAGAATGGTGGCCTCATTGCAAGCTTGACTGATAGAATTCAGTCTGCACCAAAGAAAGGACTAGACACGTCATACTAGTTACTGTTGTCCAATAAAAATACCCACTACAGTCCTACAGGAGGTCAATCGCGAGCCCGAATAGCTCAGTGGTAACGTCTGTGACTGCAGCACTGAGTGACGCGGGTTCGAATCTCAGAAGGGACATCAGTTCCTTCAAGGTTGCAGATACGCCTTGCTGATGAGTGCCAACTAGCACGAAACCAAGGTTTAAGGCTTCCTGCCGATTGCCTCCAACCATCTAATACCAACAATTCACAGTGCACCGTAATGGCGAGCCACCTAGCATGGTGGCCACATTGCAAGCTTGACTGGTAGAATTCAGTCTGCAGCGAAGATAGAACTAGATACATTACACTAGTTACTGACTAGCGTGCAATCAAAAATAGTCTGTTTCTAGTAAGTGACTCTCGTTGGAGGTTTGGATGCCGCTTTTATTCCTGCTTTGCTCAGAATTCTACCTAAGGTTTCTACAGGTTCCTTCTCTGTGCATCTTTGTCATACATGTCATCGTCTGTTCACAGTTAATAATTACCAAATACATCTAAAAACAAATTGTGTATATATACGCATTTCTTTCTCTGTGCTACTTAGATCTTCAATCAAATGATGATAATAATGTTAGTGTACAATCCAATACTTACTTGCCATGAACAAATTCAGCAGGCAGTAGTGAATGCCAAGTTAGTTCATCATTTTTTAACGGCTGTTGACCGACATCAGCACAGAACAATGTAGGTTTACTTCCAGGATGAGAAATAGTCAGTGGATATGAAATAAAATAAAGTCGATAACGGAACTAAAACAAATTAATAGACAAAAAAAGAAACAAAACGATAATGATTAGTTAGTATACATATATATGTGGAAAGATGCAATAGAATTTTTTTGAGAAGTTTTATTACAGCTTGAAATAAACGCCTATACGAGCTTGCCTTGTAACCGGAAGGTCCTGGGTTCGAACCCCAGTGAGTGCGTACTGTCGATGATTCCCAAACTAGGATGAAACAACTGTCCATTACTCCACTGCTGGTTTTCAATGGTTCCCTCACTGATATCAATCCGTGATCAACACGTAAAAATGCCTATATTTAAATGTTACTGACTAGATATGTGTGTCTATCTGCAAATAACGACACCTAGGTGGTTAGTTTGCACCACCATTCCGCATAGAATTGATGTGACTCGTTACTTCATAACTTCATGAATGTGTGTAGGAGAATTCTGATTTATGACGGATTGGTTTCAACAGCATAGAACTTTGCATAGAAGTGCAGCAGTGTGAATTGCCACGCGCGATAAGTTTCACTGACAGTTTGTTGCTTCATTTCATTTATTGTGTGAGGGCTGAGATTCTGCCCGGGCGCCCAGACCAAACGAAGCAGATGGTTTTCTTAAGGGACCAACCTCCAGCCTTTGACTTGGAGTCTAATCCGCAAGGCAGTGGAGCAGCGTCAGGAGCTGCATTCCCATGGTTGCCGGTGACCAGTATAAATTCATACACGCCATTTCATCCGATTGGATTCTGGAGCCCATGTACTCCATGGTAAGTGCTTTTAGTCTAACCACTATCCAAACAAACCTGCTGACATGATAGGACCTGCAGGAACATGAGTCCCAACTAGTTAAGCTTGTTGGGTCACTGCGGTATTCAAGTCCGACCACCACGACAAGAGTCGTTGGTGAGAGTCGTTTGTAAGAGAGTTCATGCGAACAAGGCCAAATCAAGCCGGATTTCGACCTGGAAGAGGCTGTGTTGATCAATTATTCACACTGCGAAGAATTTTGGAACACAGAGACAAATTCCAACAGCCGACGGTTGCTTGTTTCATCGACTTCCGAGCGGCATTCGACTCAGTTGATCGAGGAGCACTCTGGTATCTAATGGAGCTCGACGGAGTTCCGACCAAGCTAATCAACCTCCTCAGGTCATACTACTCCAACACCAAAGCTCGAGTCCGAGTGAACAGTGAAGAGTCTCGCACTTTTGAGGTAACCAGCGGTGTCCGGCAAGGTTGTCCAGCATCCCCCATCCTGTTCAATTTCACAATTGATTGGATTTTGCGGCACGCTCTAACCGAGCACCACGGCGTCCAACTTTCGCCCGATATTCACATAACCGACCTCGAATTCGCCGACGACGTCGTGTTACTAGCTGAAAACTTCCCCGATATGCAACAGGCGCTCGATCAGATAAATCACCTCGCGTCTACTATCGGTTTGGAAATTAACACTTCCAAAACCAAAATGTTTTCGAACACATCCACCAGCAATGATGAAATCTTATAACTGAATGGAGCACCTGTTGAAATTGTGCCATCCTTCAGATATCTGGGATCCATAATGCTTCCCAACGGTCAAGCGAAAAACGAAGTGAATGCGCGAATCTCCAACGCCCGGAATGCGTTTCTTCAGCTGAGGAGCGTTCTATGGAGCAAGAGGGAAATCAGTCTCAGGACTAAAATTCGGGTCTACCAAGCCTCCATACGATCCGTTCTCCTGTATGGCTGTGAAACCTGGCCTCTTCGCGCGGAAGATGTACGCAGACTCGAGGTAGTAGACCATTGGTGCCTCAGGTACATTCTGCATGTTCGTTGGCAGGACAAACTCTCCAACGAAGAAGTGCGTCGTCGTTGCTACAACATCAACCAAATTCCAGGACTGGTCCAACAACGTCGCCTTCGGTGGTTTGGCCATGTTCTGCGCCGACCAGATGACGATCTGCTCAAATCAGTTCTAAATCCCTCGCCATTACCATCTTGGCGATGTCGCAGGGGTGGACAGCTGAAAACATGGCTTGGTACAGTCAAGGCTGATATGGAGTGCCTGGGGCTACAAACCGTCTACGGACTCCGTCTGTGGAACAAGAATTGGATAACCTTGCATCAGATCGCCGCGCCTGGGCAGCGATGATTCGAGATGTTCATGAAGCCGGCTCATCCTCCCGTAGGAGATAGCCGAAGTAAAGTAAAGTAAGTAACCACGACAAGGTGGCAGTTGTCGGGCGAGGTGAGTTGCCACACTCCATGTTGTACACAAAGGAAAATAAAAGAGAGAAACATGAGATTCAAAAGAACAATAGTAAGCAGAAATGTGAGGGAGAAAGGATAGTTAGTTAGAAGAACAACAGGATTTTATTCGATAAGGCATATCACAAAGAGTGAATGCATTTGCGCCAGCCATTGAGAGCGACTTTGAGCCATATCACCACCAATACTCTCCAGCTTTGATTGGTTCTTAGTACCTCCGGGACTCCAACCAGGCAATCTGTGCACATTCCTACGTGGCTCACACTAACTGTTAAAAATTTTGTTAGCTGGTGCCATGTTTTGGTCTGACCACCACTAGCTAACTCTTTTTCAACCTGATTCACCCTATATCAGCTAACATTTGCCGTTGAGGAATGCGCAACATGTGCCCTAGCCACCTCAATTTATGTAGCTTCGCAACCTCATAGATTGATTTTCCCTCCTACCTATCTAGCACTCGACAGATGTCTAACCTCAGTACTGCTCATCCTATGATACCACCTAACCCGGCAGATGGGACGTACTTACTTTACTTTACTTCGGCTATCTCCTACGGGAGGATGAGCCGGCTTCATGAACATTTCGAATCGTTTGTAAGAGTGTTGATGAAGTTTCATGGGAATTTGGTACGAGTGATGTCCCCAGAATCGCTCGGCCTTTTGTTTGAGAGTGCAGCTCTAGCCTTTGCACAACCAAGTGTGACCTACAAGGCAGTAGGAGTGGAGTAGGGAGTCCACTATCCATTGGCAGCCGGTGACCGGAGTTCGGTTCATACGCCTTTTTGAATGGGGCCAGACATCCAGGACATCCAACAAGCCCTTTGTCCATACGTCTGCCGGTGAGCTCCAGTGAGCTTCATACGCCAGTAGTTGGAGGTTTGGAATCAGGGTTTAGCCATCTCCCCTAGACTGTCATCCAATGGACAGTCAACCCGGTGAAGAGCGCCGGGTATCCGCTTTCGCCCTCTCACTTTGGTGAAAAACACCTCCGCCACGTCAAGGCAGTGAGTAGGACTTCCTCAGGAGAGGCTATGTAAGACGCCCGGTCATATGGGAGCATTTCAAGAGGTGTGCGGAGGGGTGGCCAACCCGCAGCGCAAGGCACCCACCCCCGACCATCCTGAGGCTTTGGAGGCAGATGGGACGTAGACACCTATGATCAAAGACAGCTAATCTTTTCATGTCTTCTACTTTCAGTGACCATATCTAGCTCACAGCCATAAAGGAGGACACAGTGAAGCACTGAACAGTGCACACACCCTTTCCACGATAGCCAGAGTGATGGAAAGCTGTTTCGTCTTAACTTGGAACTCTTCAACAGTACACACTCATGACTATACTGAGCCTCGAAATCCACAACCATTAGGTTACTAGGTGAACCCGTTGACCAATCATCAGTCACTGGGACGTAGCCCGATGGCCCAGGAAATTCAAACGTCTAACATTTCCCAATGTATAGTACAAACACTAGTCAATATCATCGGTTAGTATGTGTCTTCACACCCCGGAAGTGCATTCCGCAGTCAAACACTCGTGAAAGTAGATTAATTCTCGTGTCTTATTTATTTCTTATTATTCCTTTACGTTCCCAATGGAACATAGGGCTTCAAACTAGAGGCTTAAAGTTTCGGTAGCAGTGGTGTTTTTATCTTTACGCGATGGGGTTGCTAGCCTCATGCCCAACCTTCCCTCTTTACCAGTTATATTAATGGTTTAGCGATGTAAGGGAGTGCGTCGGCCGGGGACTGAACGCCGAATCACCTACGTGATCGGCAAATATTCTACCTCTGTGCCACCGATGCACATATTTATTACGTATAATGCATAACTGCTTGTGTTTGAAATTAGTTGCCCAGAACAGATTTTTCAAGTACCAGAATATGAACCATACTTATCAAATGAACACTGATAATGCTACCCGACTGGGGCAGGCTAAAGGGTGTGGGGTGGGATCCAACCGCGGCACCCTTATAATCCAAGGCCGCGTTTTTAAATCAACAGGCAACAACTTTTCACTGAAAAAAATACCTTTAAAAAAGGCTTACAGCAAGTACTAACAAGTCTCCACCCAAGAAAATTTCTTTTTAAGACCAACTCACTTCATCTTTATTGTGGGAATACCTTCGAATATTGATCAGAGTGGGAGATGAAAAAGTATGCATAGCAAATCCACCTGATGAAGCTGTGTGATAATATTGTTCGAATGCATATTTATAGTCATCCACTGAACTATCCGATTCAGAGGTCATTACCTGTAGATAGGAGAAAACAACATATTGTAAATATTGAAACAATAGTACAGAAAATGTTATAAATTAGAGAATCTACAATTTAGACTATAAAAACGAGTTTCGAGAAATGCAAAAACTTGGGAGAGGAGAAAGAGGAAATGCAATAATTACTGCTAGCTTTGGGGGTTACGCAACAACCTAAGATATTGGATTCTGTAGGAATGAAGTCTGTTCACTGGGTTGGAATCAGTAAAATAAAGGATTATGCAATTAACCCATTGAGTGAACTTTTAAAATAGAACTTAGCATAGAAGTGCAGCACTTAATAAACACAAAGACGAGAAAAATCAAAAGAAATATAGTGTACGAAAATCTATGGGAGAACCAATAGTAATACGGAGAACAATGATGATTTAATGGTTATGCGACGTTACAAACAGTAAGTGCATCTACACCATAGACAACGATTTTGAGCCACATCGTTAAGAGGATCAAGTCATTTGTTTATAGTGTCTCGATGACCCCAACCGGGCAGTCTGTATCTCCCTACCTGTCTTAAACCACTGGCAAACACTTTTTGCACTGGTGTCAGGTTTTGACCCGACCACCTCTAATTCTTTCCAGCCTAATCTTATGTCACCTAACATCGCTCACCGATGAAGGAGATGGCTTGGAATATTTATCATATCTTAGCCATCTCAATTTATATGGCTTTACAAGCTCATTCACTAACTTTCCCACCTTACCTGACATTACGTGTAACCTGAGCATTACTATATTATACCATTTAACGCGGAAGATAGCACGCAGACATCTATGTTAAAAGACAAAATACCTCTCCAGTTCTTCCACTTTCAATGGCCACATCTCATAACTATAAAGAAGGACAGAGCGACTGATATCCGGATATCACGTCTACTCCAGATGTGAAGTAAGTTGGCAAATGTTAAATAAGCCTTTCATATCCGCGCTGAGATATCGTCAGCAATCAGTCCATCAGGGCTTATAGGCTTCTCAATTCAGTGAAGCGGTCAACATGCTCAACCATTCACTTCGTATCTTTAAACTGGAAGTCCATGCACACTAGTCCTGCAACATTATCTTACATTTGATATTGTGAATCACATACCAAGCATATGAAGATTTCTGCTTAAGGTGTTCAGAAGACTGTAGTTTTTCAGCATCTTCACCCAGAGGGACAATGTCATCTGTATAGTCTAGGTCGACGAGACTATGCCCCTGTAACAAGTCAGTTTCCAAGCAGCTAAAGTCGATTAGTGTCAAACCCATTAGTGCAGTTGTGATGAACTTAAAGGAAAATTGCGATGTTGAGCATCCTTGACACACACCCCTGGTTGCCATAACTTCTGATAAAAACTCTGCACGGGAATTTTAATAGTGTCTCCGTTAGTGCAATGGGCTTTCTCAGCACTTTCATACCCGGAAATAACTACAGTACCCTTCGGTCGAAAGAATTTAATACTGCCTTCAGATCGAGAAATACGGCAACTGTTGTACGTCGGTATGCTTATATTCAAGAATATATCGAAGAGTGAAGGTATGACCAACAGACCCTCTTCTAGGCCCAAAGCCTGTCCGATCTTAACGGGTCTGATTCTCACAAGTACCACTAAGTCCACGCAGGATTACTGAACCCATAATTTTAGATACTATGTTAGTCAAGCCAATCCCCCTTTGATGATCACAAGAAGACTTAACTCCATAATTAGGAATTGGGATAACCAACGATTTACACCACTTCAACAAGACTATCTCTGATTCGCATACACTACTTATTATCTTCGTTAAGCTGGACAACAGTTGGTCGACACCATCCTTAAACACTTCCGGAATCATTCCATCAGGTCTTAATCCTACGTCTCCATTCAGATTAGAGAAAGCCTCCGCAACCTTAGTTACAGCTGAAGCTGAAGTCCTAAACATTTTCCATCTAAAACGTATAGCTACCTGATCTATTTGAGTCTATGATTTGATGGAGATAGCCACGTTAGGCAATGCTTCTGCTTGTGTTTGAAGTTAGTGCTGACGATGCACGGAGGATCGTCTGAACAGAATTATAAAAGAATATCACAAATGTCGGTTTAGCTCTATAGGTGCTACCAGCATACTTTTCCGACTGGCAGCTTCTCTACTTAGACACTGAAGTCACCTACCGAAACGACTACACGTGAGTGTTTTGCAACTAACACAATCAAAACGAAAATATGATTACCGAAGCAGTTATAAACAGATCACACTTTCTGTATAAGTTCAGTTGAAAACGTTTTGTTGCGAATGCCACCACAGAGTAGAGCAATCCTGGGATCCTCTGCATCTATGATACTTCGTAGGAGTGAGGAACGCTAATAAGGCTTCTAGTGATTGAGCGGGTCGAATACCTGTCCCCCCCCCCCTAAGCACAATCGTTCTGTAATGTGCACAGAAAACGACGTAAAAGCAGTTGTCTCAGTCCTATCGGTGTAGTAGCTACCACAAGAGCATGTAAATTAAAACTAATATAACATCAACAAATACTCGTCCAATTTAAGCCATTATAATGATGTTTAAATTCCCAAGAAAAGTAAGTAGCTGGAGTGCAAAAGTAAGGGAAAAGAAAAGTCGGTTGATATCAAATAAAAAGGGAGATATAATCAAGTTTACTAACACGATAGCTTATATGCTATCTCAAAAAGACCTACACTCCAAAGCAATTACAGCACCAAAAGATGTCACAGGAATAAGATAACACTACCAAGAATATAAAGGTAGAAGGCACAGACAACAGTGGTAATGGTGGTAACAGAGTAACCAAAGGAGGATTTAATTTCCAGGGACTTCGAAATTTATCTCTTAGCATACATGGAAGTCACAAGGAAATTAGAGACTTTGAATACAACTTACGTCCAAACTATTCAATCTATTAATTCAGTAAAGTAAAAACAAAAAACAACTAAAAGGTACGCAACGCATGACCTAGGCACAAAGTTCGAAGTTATGAGGATGAGAGAATTACAGCTTTGTATTGAGGTAGAAAAATTAAGCAACTGGGGAACTGGTTGTTATCAATATTCCTCATCTCGTCAAGACCATTTTTCCCGACCTAAGTTCACTCAAAAAATGTTACATGAATTTCATCGACCATGAAAATAGCACACAAAAACTTTATTGAAAAAGTGAGGGCGACTTCAGCAGGGCGACGAAAGAAAACGACAAACAAAATGATCTTAAACGGCCTTGTTGACATATTCACAGAGTTAAACCATCCTTCCTATCTTTTCCGATTGCATGAGACGTACACCGAATTCACAAAAGGATGTGAAGAACAGTATGGAGGCAATAAATAGGTTGCCAAACAACACGATATACAATCATCTTGATAACCTCATGTGAAAAAAGTGGGTTTGACCGGGATATAATCTGAGTACACATAAAGGATCGCCATCCTGAGGAACCATTTCATCTTGGAGTATTTACTTATTATAAAGATTTCTACCCAAATAACGCCTTTATTGTCCAAGTTTATTCGGCTGGTCACTTCTTTAAGTCGCTATACCTTACGATAGACAATTTGAGAATATACCCTGTTTGAAAACTTATCTCTTACTTCTAGTGATTGGACTTTTGCTTGCTAAATTTCATGAGCAGTTATTACGAATAATTGCATGAAATCCAGTCTATGGTTGTCTAAGATGATTTCAGTATAAGACATTTGTGTCAACATATCATTTCTGTAACTACTGTCACTTTAAAGAGACTGTGTACAATACAGTACACACAATTAAACCATATCATAACTGTTTATCAAAGTTACGTACTCATTCGGAAATGTGACGTCAGTGTTCGGTGCCCAATGCCAGTGGCCCGCTCAAATTGATAGACCTGAAAACCCGTGTTGATCAATCCATTTATTTCTTTGAAAACGTTCTGGTCTAAGGCGTTTACTAAAACAGTTGATAATATTGTTTTTTATTCCAAGTGCTAGTATTTGGCCAAATGATTTATGAACAAAAAATTCTACAAGTAATTTTTTCCAACTGTTGCCTTTTGGATTTTACGACGAAATTTGAGAAATGTCTTGAACAAAACGCAGTGGATCTAGATATCAATGCCTAGGTCACTGTTTGAAGTATGATTAGCCTAAATTGAAATCGTTACTCTCCACGGCATATGACTGACTCAGGACTATTAAATTTACTTGCTCCTCTCTCAGGTATAATACAGAACAGCGCCCACGTATGCTATGTTCACTCCTTCCACCTACTCATTGTGTTTTTTCTGAATGGAAGCAATGACTGGAAGATTCCAGGCAGCATTCAAGATGAAATCTTGCCTAAGTTGAATGCTGTATTCAAAAGTCATTCTTATCGAAATAACTGGAAAGCTTTTTGAAATATTTTGACCTAATTTGCAATGAAGTATCCTCAAGTCTGGGGATCATTTCGTTCCTTGACGTTATGGAATCCCCGTCTGTTAATTGGGTGTCAGTGGTTCTCCAGGAGTCCAGTTAGTTACGCTGCTTCTGTGACTTCGAGTTCACGTCAACTACAGATAACACTACCATCCATCCATCCTTCTAGACTTGCACTTCAGTCGCATGACACACCAGACCACAAGCTTGATCCACCTGAGCTGGTGACTAGGTTGCTATTGACGCCGAAGAATATTGAAATGGGACTACAATGATTATGGCTCTTGAAGGAATTGTCAAAGTCTAGGTGTATTTTCAGAATGCATCAGCTCAGTACGATGCAGCTGCCATCCTCTTGCTCCATGAAAATCCAAATTTTCCCTGTTTGACTGTCCTGGTTAAGTCGAGCGAACCCATCACTGAAGGTGAAGTGACTAAAGCTCAGTTGAGTACACAGTTTCCATTGATCCCCTGCTGTTCATAGTCAGGATGTCCGCCAACCATGAAGGATGTACAATTCCGATTCCAAGCCAACGCAGTCCTAAAAATCGGCTAGCTTACAAGCCAGTAGTAAGCTGGAAAAGAGGAAAGTTCGACATGAGACTAGAAACCTCACCCTGTAAAGATAACAATAATTCTACTGAAATTTAAAGTCTGGGTCCAAATGTTCTACTCGGGAACCAAAGGAATGAGGAGGGAAAAAAGATCTTCCTACTTGGTAAACGTAGAAGTACTGTTGATGAAAAAGCATTACAACGCTTCTGCTGAAATCTATTTCAAGTCATTACGATAAAAGCTATCTTTCTGTCAAAAATGACTCCTCAAACCTCGACACCTTCTTCTATCAACAGAAGTGACTAGGGGTATACTGAGAATTCACTAGTATGCCCTGAAATGAACATGGGTCCCAGCTTAGTGATTTTCCGGACCCAGGCAGTAATCCATTCACACTCCTTTATATACTCACATTTCATCTTTTCTTATATAAAGGGAATCGAGAGAGTTCTTGTGTGTTGTTTCCTTTGCCGATGGTTATCGAAACTCTTAAAATACATTTTATTAGATGCACGTCCGAAGTCGCTGGATATCAAATAGGTTGGCAGATTATTGCCTTTTAACTACACGGAGGTAACATGTAACACAAGAGTGCCCAAGTCTGAAGCCATCTACTCTCCTACCAACAGCCCACAGTTTTCACGCAGCCCAAAGTTTCATCCCCTAATTTCAACACAACTGTTGTGATTTCACGAATGCTAACTGATGATTATTAAAGCTGGATAGTTTCCTAGTCTGCTATTAACTGACCCGAACTGGTAAAATACAAGAGAAGCACCAAAGTAGGTTTGAAAACGTACAGTAGCCAGTAAAAGCAATTTAGAATCATGTCAGAGATGTATTGTGGAACAGGTATAAGATGGGATGAAACAATAGTCAGTCATGGTCAATGGGAATACGGGATAAAATGAGATAGAATTTTATCTCGATTCGAGAAATCTGACTAAAATTAAACTAGTTAGAATCCTTATGTTTTTTCCGTTCCTAAATGTGAGGAGTCATTTCATTTGCTGCTAATCCACTGGCCATAACAGGCTTTTACCTAGGAAATAGTGCATTAGACACTGTTGACTTACTGGATCCAGGTCAGTGTTCAATCTGGTATAGTGATACTCTGGGAAATCAGTTGGTTAGGCTGCTTGAATGATTTTGAACTCGTTCTCAGTTGGTAACGACAAGTTAAAACACCCACGAGTAATGTGTTGCTGTCAGTCCTGCTATATCCGAGCACTAGTCACACTACTTTCTAATACTTCGGCCTGACTCGCTTAAACTGGTGGCCAGACCGCTCTTAACCCCCCCCCAACTACCGTAAGGAGAATATGACTTACGGCTGCTGAAAGATGTATTTAATGACTACGATTTGAAGGGTGTACAAATAAATAATCACACCGCAATCATGCTGCTGAACTCTTGTCTCTTGAAAACTATACTGACCATGTCTTTCATCCCGGACAAATGAACAAATTGATCAATGGCGACGAAAGGACTGAGGTTGAGATGAGTTGATGAACTTCTTTTATCCCCAACACTATCTCTTATCTGGAGTTTTAAACCCACAAATCTCACTAATTCACACCGTGAGGCCAAAAATACTTTTGGGATAATATGCATGAGAGTACTCAACTGCATAACTGTCCGCAGCATCACGTAAAGCAGAATTTCGAATTTAATGAATAAACATTCACTAAGTTCCTCGGAAAGACAAGTGAGTCTGAGATTTCCACAAAGAAATCTGTACATCCCTGAGGGAAGACATTTGGCCCGTTCGGGAAAGTCCTGTCTACCATTGGACCCAATCAACAAGCACATATAAACAGACTTTCACCAATGGATCTTGGTGGACCCACTGCGTTTCCAAAACGAGCCCACAAACACTGCCTACCCGGCTGGAAAAGGAAGAGATGTTTTTATTTCAATAAATAACTTATGGATTTCACTGGAGGAATCCTTCAAAGTCTTATACAAGATACGACATAACCTCCCGAAAGGACTGGAGTCAAGATGTCGATGCTTGGTTCAAGCATTAATGATCTGAAAACTCGAACCAAATCTATGTATCGAGAGAAAGTACCTTCAAGACCAGTCTTTGTTAGGGAGGTTATAATCAGCGTATTTTCCCCGAAAGCGGCTATAACTAAGTGATTTTTACCATCCGAACCTTATTACCATACTTTACTGCTCAACTACATCGTACCATTTGCTATATTTCCCCCCCCTGCGTCAAACAGTTCAGCAGCTTTCTCATTTTTTCTGATACATAGAAGCATATGGAGCCTGGTCGACAACGTAGTCGAGAAGAAGGCGTTTCGTCATTACAACTGTATTCTGTCTTCTTGTAGTACAGAGACAAGTGAGGGTCCCACAGTTAGCCAAAAATAAGAAATCGACTGTAATACCACCGTGACAACTAATGTTATGGCCTGACATTGTAGAAATCAGTTCTGTCGAAATGAAGCCAAGACGCCGTCCGGAAAGATCCTCTGCATTTGAATAGATCAGACTGCTTTTTCTGGTATTTTATTCTATTTCCTAGTTTCCCAAGACGTTCTTCTTTTCCTGGAATAGCTTTAAATCCCGTGGGTACATTGCACTTATCAGAGTATAGGCTGTTCACTTGTTGACCATAACTACTACAAAGAAACGGAGTGAAGTTTGGGTTGGCGCTCAGCCTTGATGCTAACCTTAGTGGAGGGTTTACAATTTAACATTTACACGAACGTGTTCTGATTGCTTGTACAATAATCGAACAAATTAAACTTTTGAAAAAGTATTAGTTTATGATACATCACGATCGTAATTCATGACAAAACTGATCGTGCCTGTAAAAATGGCTTGTATTTCTTGTTAAATTACCCGTTTATACGTAATATGAATGATTATCATAAAAATTGTTCCACATTGTGTTTCATGAAGTCCTGCTCTAGAAAGTTTCCAGGGTAGGAATTAGTAAGTCACTTCCTCGGAAAACAACTCACGCGCAGTGATGAGTTTGGGCACAAAGGCGATCTGATATCATCCTACATGGAGAATGTCAGTCATCTGGACATTTCAGAAGACACTTCTTAATCCACGTTTGTTCTTTATTTTCATATATGATCTGTTAAATTTAGTAAGCTATCTAGCGTTGTGATGAAATTTTAGCTTTTGGTGGACTTTGAAAAATGAGGATTCAGTGAAGTCACAGGAGTACCCCGCCAACCTGTAAAATGAGGTCTCAGAAAACAATCTAGTCACCAACATTAGAAGAGTCAGGTGGTGTTCATACGGACGCTGGTAGAGCAAATAATCCACCGCTAAGACGGAACGAACAACTGCCATACAGGCGCAGGGCTCAATATTATACTACAGCTAATGGCACTCTTCCGCCAATTATCCACAACTGAAGCAAACTGAATCAAAGTATGTGTCCGGAAGTGCACTTCAGAAACCCTGTACCGGTTGCCCACAAAATTGAGGTAGAAAAACAACGAGACTTCACTTCTTTTAAACTCATCTCTTGTTACTTGTGGAATTCATTTCTGGCAGACAAGGTAACAGGCTCATCGCTTAGTGATCTCAAGAGGAGTTTGTGTGCTCCGTAAAGATGAAACATTTGCGCTCATTTACATGACAGGCTGGGACTAAACAGTTAACCCAGGAATTATATGAAGCGTCAAAATATAAGTTTGGATCAGTGAAATGCACCAGTTTTCACACTTAGTAAGCGTTGTAGAAAATCGTTACTCTAGGCTTCACACGGTTTCCCCTCTTAGAAGTCTGGAGAGACCACATGAAACTGTCCGTGATAATAATAATATTGACAATAACAGTGATAATGCAAGTTAACATTCGAGTAAATGAAAGGCATTTAGGTTGAACAAATATCCACGCATGCACAAAAAAGGGATT